AAGCAGCTGCCTCACAAAGACATAGAGTAACATATTCTCAGTCACAACGGTGAGCATTATAAAAATCTTGTCTAGGTTTGATTCACATGTTTTCGCTATTATAGAGGCAAAATGGCGAGGCAAGCTCAGAATGCTTGTGCCTACGCCAAGCGTCATGGTCGACGCGGACCTCATACATTCAAGATCCTGTCTGAAGCACCTCTGACATCTTCCTTGTTTCACTTTGCGGCTCTCCCCCTTCCTAATTCTTATCTCTTTCACCAATCCCTTGCCGGTTCAAACTTGATCGACGAATCCGACCTCTTGCAATGGGACAAACCACCTCCTTACAATTTCCCCAATCCACCCGACTCTCCAGAGGAAGAGCGTTTCACACAAAATCTCGTTGATGTGATGCATGGACGTTATTTGCGGGTTGAAAGGGAATCTTGTGCACACCGCACAGCCATGTATAGTATGGGAGAGAGTGACAGGCTTCTCAAAGAGATTCGAGACATGCAGAAGAGTTTGAGTGCAGGCTGGAATGAACTTCACACTTGTGTTTCCCGCTTGCAGGCAAGTGTGACTCGGAGACACAAGATCATGGCTGAATGCTACTGCCAGTGGGTAGCACGAAGGATCGTAAATTATCAAACGGAGAAGGACTTGCTAATTACTGGAAAGAATCCATATGTTTAGACATTGTACTACTTTAATTCAACTTGGCTCCACCCTCCATGCACGCTAGGATACTGGCATAGAAAGTACACGAGAACGTAGATAATGTCGGAGATTGCTCATCCCGTCCTCTTGAAGTTGCGTAAGTTGTCGTCCGCGTAGGACAGCAATGATTGTCGCTAATACCCATACACCACAATCATAACCATTAGTCTGAAGAGGTTTGACCTGCGTAAATCATCAAAAATGGAACACTTAGATGTGAGAAATGTCATTGAACTTACACTCAACGGACGAGCTGCCCATCCGTCCAGATCAACATGAACGTTCTTGTCTCGTTGACGGGCCACCATCAGAAGTCGACAAATAAATTTCATGACATCCTGCAAATCCATCAAAATGAACATCGCACGAAAGTGAAAGCGAACCAACTTTGACATCTTGTTTCCATGGTTTCCGTTCAGCTAGACTATCAAAGAGATGAAGCTCCTTTCTTGACAAGTAGATGATGCAAACAACCCAATGGCCGACACCAGATGGCCTATGAATTGGTAGAACCCACACATCTTTCTCCCAATAACGCATCCACGATGTATTGCGCCAGAGCATATCATCAGCTGCATTATAGCGAATGCGAGGAAGATCAAATGTAGAGAAGACAGCTACAGTGGGATTGGGCATGTCCATTTGCAGAAGGACGGCACAACCATTGATACATACGTCGTTAAGAAACGCAGTCGGACGAGTGAGAAAAGCTATGTCTCTCGGCTCGAATACTTGGCAGGGGAAGCCTCCAGTTGACGCCGTGGTTCTAGTAGCTGCGCATCCAGACACGATGACGTGCGAATCTTGAAATGGGGCATGAAAATCATCAATTAGGAGACCCTACTAATACATTAGTGATACTCTGGGCCTATCAACGATATCGACGTACCTCGGGGCAATCCCACACTATGTCAGCACAAAGATTAGACGCTACGTCTTGATCTTCATTGAACTCTGCTCCAGCACTATCACCTTCCAAAATGTCGGCAAGGGCAGCTTGCTCGGGCTCAACCTTCATGGTATCATCTGCCTCGAGCAGTGTTGGCCCGTCCTCGGGAACAGGATCCTGCACCGTCACACTGGTCAAATGAAAAGAGGGACTGAGAGGACCTCCAGAGTAGGTTATAGCCCTATCTAGTGCCTCTTTTGCACGGCTGCTAAACCGAACCGAAGATGCTAATGCATTTGACCATCGCACCTGAAGTCTGAGAAAATGTGAGCGCTTCTGTTGTAATGGAATGAGGAAGCGCTCATCTATAAATAAGAAATTTCGTCAATGAACCTTGAATGAATTGGTAATGAGAACCATACTTTCGGACAATCGGATTGAAAGCTCCAATGCTGTCAGCTCCTCTTCAAAGAAACGACACAAATTGTCAGCCTCCATGCCTAAGCGTTTTTGCTCCTCCCTGCACCGGTCACGTTTAAGAAGGGCACGAATTCCGTCCCTGATGTCTGAGTCTTCCAACCATCGAGGTACCTCTCCAATTGAGGGTGTAACCCAGACATCCTGCATTAATGTCTGGTCGCCACGTAGTTCAGCTAATTTTGTCGGGAGAGGAGTAGGAAGTGGGATATTCCAAGCAGGATTGTAGAGTGACTCTAATCGCTCACAGTAAGAATTGAACTTTCGGATTGCCGTCATGAGAGCAGGTTGGCGTTTGGCTATAGCTTTGCGAGTGTGTTGATGAAGTTTCGTCCCTGAACAATAAAGTTAGAATGGAGGAACAGTATACGCGAAGAGTTACCTAATGCTTGGTGGGACCCGCCCACAGCACGATCAAGTTTATCCCATTCAAAGAAGCTGGCGATAGCGCGCTTTCGAATATTGATCTTGAGATCACGTGTCATGAGAAGGACACGGACGAAGTCGAGACTAACTCCATTGAGCTCGGGGAATCTATCATGAACATTAAGAGAAGAGTATAATGCTTCGACTTTAGTCATGAGACGATCGTGGCCTCTTTGGAGGCTCTCGAGGGCATCGAGGGTGTCATTGGACGCTGTCTCCTTCTCCAGCATAGTCCTAGTAGTCTGCAGGGCTCGTTCTGACGCGTCCAAGTCGGCCTGTAGAGCGAGAACGGTGTCTAGCTCCTTCCTGAGGCGAGCAGGAGCATCTAGAAACAATCAGCATCAGTATTCAGTGCGTGCATATCATAGGCTTGCTCACGAGCACGAATCGAGAGCTGGGCTTGTCGTTGGTCAGCCCACTGAGCCTGCAAGTCATCCACAGACGTTTCACAGCGGTCAATGATGTCGAGGGCAGCAGAGCCCTGGGCCTTAATGCCCCGATTGAGACGGCGTCTGATCCAGTCTCCAAGGTCCGCTTTCATTTCTGACCCTATCGCAGTGGCTTGACGGTCGATTAACCAAAGACGGCGCTGGCGCTAAGTGACTCAAAATAGTTAGTATATTGTTTGGAAGAACAAAATGTAACGCACTGATGATGACCTTTCTACACCAATCAAGCGAACGAATCGCGACCATAACCGTTCAGTCCCCTCGCCATCAGATAAGCCAAGGCCTATGCAAATCCGTGGATTGTGCACCAGCTGACAGGCCCATTCATGACCATAGGCATGCATAGCCGTAGTCGCAAAGCGCAGACGTGAGACAACTTCAGGGGGGAGAATCTCAAACTGAAAATAATTAGTGAATGAATAGCGAATGAATAGCGAACAAATCTGATTACAACCGTGTACATACCTTTGAAAGCGACCGAGCGAGAACACAGCCTACATCATAGAGCGTAACAACCGTGGCTTGAGGAGGGAGTAATGTGAACAGGTGTTCTATCAGTGCTACCGAATATTTCTGCTGCTCTCCAGGAGAGTCGATATTAGCAAAAAATAAGGGAATGTCATGACGGCAAATGAGGGCCATTATTCCTGTGTCGTCGAAGCTGTCCATCGCAGCCTTTTGTTTCTTCCCATCGGCTGCTTCGTATGCACTCTCACATTGATCAATAGCTTCATCAGGCACAAGGGATGTGCGTAGCTTCGGAGGTCGTTTACGTTGTGCATCAATTCGGCGCCCGACCGCATCAACAAACTGTTTCGAAAGGAAATAAGTTGGTTCATAGAAGCGAGGACAGTCACCCGCAGAACGTCGGTGACGATGATGAAAGTTGCCATCCGTAGCAACATGTATGTCCCCACCTTGATCGACGGGTCTGCCATACAGTGTCCCACCAAAGCATGCTGGACAGCGCTGTGCGATAAGTGGAGCACATCGGCCAAAGTGTAAGACAGTTGATGTCAAACTTTCTTCATTGGTTACAGTAGGTGGTGGTGGGGGCCGGTGGCTTGCCACATAGTCTCGACTTCGTTGAAGGCCTGCGTCCACTTGCCGTTCAACTTCGACCTGAAGGACGTCGTACCACTGTACGGCGTAACCTAGGCCACGACGAAATGGTTCCTGCACAACGTCACCCTTTGAGCTAGTTTAGTAACGTGATATGTCATATGGATATACTAGTATCTTACCTGCGAGTCAGTCACTTGAAAACCTCGGCGTGAATAGTGTGTTTTAAGAGCCGATGCGAGAGCATTGATAGCGTCACAAGACCGCTCGAAAAGTGCGCGATAAAATGAAAGTAGATCAACAGATACCGCCATACGAGGTTGTGAAGGTGCGGTAGGGAATAGCCCATGATGAAGGAGGGCCTGCGGAAGGCTGGAGCATTCACAGCTGAGTACATCGATTGATTCAAATCCTGTTGGTACGTTTTGCACTCGTTAGCTCATCCAATGGGCCAGAAGCATGAGTACTTACTGTCAAAGAATAGGCACAATAAACTGGTCTTTTTCTGTGCGCAGGTGAGAGTCGCACATGCTGAGATCACTTTGCAAGTCTTCTCCAAGCCTTGGCCAATAGTGCGGGCATGATACTTCAATTGCGGGTCCACGAGGGTGGGTATGAGCTTTCGCCAGTTTTCGTATAACATATTTGTCGGGTTATCGGGGAGAATACGCCGCTTGTGAGGATTGCGCCCCAAATCTGCGGGCCTATCAGAAACCGTTTCTTCCGATGTCTCAATATCAGTGCCTGTGAATTCCAAGTCATCAAGAATGCTCGTGTGATTGATTCCACCAGCATGATCACCCAACACAGTACAATGAGAAGTCCCTGTTTGGGGGGGTGCATGATCCAATAGTCGTTGTATTTGAGCAAGTAGGCGACGCCGCTTGAGTTCTGCACCAGGTAACTCGACCAGTGTTTGAGTTTTCCTTTTATCTCTGGCTTTCCTCGGGCTTACAAAGTGTTGCCCAAGGCCAAAGGAAACGAGCTGAGCTTTACGAGTATTGAGGGATTTGGTTGGGGTCATGGCGAGAAGAATGCGTCAACTTGCACAAGGACCATAGTACATATTACAGACGCCAGACAGTGCCAAGTACTTTGATTATTAGTTATGATACATAAATAGAAACTCCCAGGCCTACCAGATGACCCTACAAGACCAGAGCCCACCAATGAGCCACCAAAAGCTACAAAATCAAGGACGGGAGGTCATCGGGAGGTGCTATAGGCTCGTGGGAGGGTCGCTGGAGGCGCAGGAGCTAATCCTATATGTAAGCTATTATTAGATAGGAAGGTGGGTGGGTCTTGCAGACGTGTTTCCCACAACATAGAAACCGGGTCTGATAGACCCTTTATAGGCACCGAAATGTCCTGCCTGAGGTGGGCGAGGCTGAGGTACTTCAACAGATTCCTTTTCTAAGGACATGTGTTGTAAGTTATGAGATGTAGAATTTCCAAAAGTACAACTCGCCTTCATGAGACTCCGACTTCGGACCAACGCTGGGATACCCCGATTCCTTGAACTGTCTTGTAACCTGACGAGCACTGAACGACTGACGCATAGCCCATGCGACAATTAGTTCTGGAGCGAGAAGTGCCATTATCATGATCCCAAGTCGCCGCCGTAGGATATGAAGGGTGTTGTCTTTGGGACTCGGAATATTAGGGTGAATGGCGGTGTAGATACACGCAAATATAGTGAGAACGGAGCTGGAGACGATTGTCCATCGAGTTCTTGTCGTGAATGATGGGGCTTTAAAACTGTCGCCAGTAATTGTATTTGTTGTATTTGTTGTAGGTGTAGCTTGGATCACTCCAAAGAGGTAGAAGAAGATGCAGAAAAGTACTACTAGTAAGCGCATTATTGGATGTCACTTTGGGGTGTATCGCACGCATCTTGTTCACTATTTGTATTTTACTGGTAGGCATCAGTAAAATGTACAATGATTGAGGGCCTGGCTTGCCTGATATTCGCAGCACTGTGACAAGGAAGTTAATGAATGTGCATAATGCAACTACTTCCGATCGGGAGCGTTTGAGTGATTGGAATGCAGGTGGAGCTCAGGCGCGAGGTGGACGCGAATTGGTTCCGCGGGATCATGGCAAACGTTAACGTTCCGTCCTTACATATATGTTACTAGTGCCATGGCAAGTAGCCGCAGTGCAAATTCGCAATTCAAGTACTTTAATCTATGATTCTCCAACTTCTTCATCGGGCTGTCAGTGAGCTCAAACGAACCACACTGCAGCGGTCCATCTGCCCCCAATAATATAACACACTCTTGAAAACTCCTTCAAGTCGCTATCTCACGGTGGCAGTGCTTGTCGATGAGCATGTCGATTCTTTGTTCGAACTTTGACATTCTTTGATTCGCAGGAGTCCTGACCGGTAGTCTACCAGTGACTGCGCCCCCTCTGTCTTTCACCGCTAACTGACGGCTGTGTTGAGTTGTGGTGCTTGCCTTGTAACCCTATGTTAAACTGAATCGCGGTAATGAAGTGTACATGCGGCTGCACTGGCATGTGTCGGCCCCACTGCTGCAACATACACAAGAGATTCCAAAGGCTGATAATGGTTCGCGTCGTTATATGCCTTCAACTTGAAAACTAATGTTTCATTATTCCAATCGCAGACTTCTATATATCTACCACGATAATTCCACCTGGTGAGCTTTTAATAGAGCACAACCAGACTTCATGCAGCCGGATGAATATCGCCTAGTAGAGATGAATATCCTTGGAGTTTCTCCCTCGGACGATCGCAAGGTGCATTCTACTCGAAACGGTTCGTATCCTAACTCACATGTAATTCAGTGCCACTCACTTGTCGACTTCCTAGATCAGATCAATATTCAAAAACTGGGACTTTGAGACTGGCGCATTTGCTGCACACCTGCGACGAGATTTACAAGCGAAATCTCTCACACAATGAAGGTAGGCGTGGCTATCACGAGTAACCTATGAAATGTCGTGCTGATTGCAGTTTGTCAAGGGCTGGACGAGGGCTTGTCACGGGCTAGATTGTATATGCTCGAACAAACGACACCCTTTGAGACACCCGGAGTATTCTACCTAAATGAACCACACCTTGTCAGTGTATCCACTCATCGGCGCCCTCAAGTCGATCACCACAGCATCGAAGGCTTTCTGGCGCCTCAAGAATGGGTTTGATGAGGTCCAACTAAACGTGTACATATACATATGAGCGTCTGTTCTAATAGCGTCAATGATAAGCACCTTTCGTGCAGTCGACAGTGATGATCCAGGCCTAACGCGTGTTCAACGGCAGGATTTAATTTACCTTTTCTTCGACCAACTACCGTCAAACTGGGTCGTTGGTTCAATGAGGAGTTTTCAGCCGATCACGATTCTTCTTTCTTAGCAATCCTGGAGTGGCTATGAGTGTTAGTCTTGCGTGTCCTTCGTGCATATCATAGTGATTGAGCGTCTCCGTAACCGCCTATGCTTCATTTGGCGTGCGCGTTTCCTGGTCCTGGTAACTCACCACGTCAAGGGTTTTCTCCTGAATGGTTGGTGATGAAATTATTTCATTGTACATTCCATCACACCGCACGAGAAAATTTACACCTTCATTTTCAAACGTCAGGATGCCCTTGCCTGAATATCACCGGTTGACATAATGAACGCAAGAGTAATGCCTTCCTCGCTATTCTGGTGTGTACTGCCATCGAAATGTTGAAACTCTAGCGTTATGGGGAATACTTATGGGCAACGAGTCGAGGAAGTGGGTCAAAGACTGCAACGATCTCCACGGGCATTGCCGATCGTCTTCAGAGGCGCCGGAGAAGCCAGTCGTTAGGACATCAATGCACCATTCACCATTCACGCATCAGCTTGAGTACTTCGTCAGGCTGTGGTAGAGTTCCCCGTTCACATTGAGTGTGAAACTACCCGTGAGCGCAAAGAAGCTGTATGGCTGAGTCCATGTATGATCCACGGATGCAAATGAGCCGCAAATGAACAAATGATTTAAAGTGAGACTTACCTTGAGATTGCTCTGAAAAACAAGCCTTCATCCCTGTTTTGGATCACTCCGCAAGGGTCCGAGTACCCGCATATCCTGCTGCGGGAATACATATGAGCTACTGAAGAAGAAAACAAAGTGCAAATAACTCACCTTCAGAATGTTGTGTGGGAACTTCGATGCGGGCATGGATGCAAGACAAGATGTCGAGCGAAACTTCATATTGCTCTACAGATGTTCTGGTACGCTCGTTAGCTAGTAGCACGGACTGAATCGCACGAACAAACTGGAGAGCATGACTCACCCTGGGGACGTTGCCCGAGTCATTGAACTGCCTTGTAACATAACGAGCGCTGAGCAACTGGGGATAGCCCATGTAACGATTAGCTCAGGAAAAACGAGTGCCATTACCATGATTCCAAGTCGCCATGAACTATCCATAGTACTAGTCGACTCTGTACGAAATGCTGGATGGATCACTTGAACAAGTGGCTCGACCAGATGCCAATTGAGCAGGATTAGATGTTGTACATCGACGTTCGGAATATATTGAAAGGATGGTTCCTGTCATAAAACTACGTTATTGACATGAGCAGCAATTGTCGAAGTATCAAAATTATCATACCCAGTGCGGGTTTTCAATCGGTGACTGCTCTGGGTGGCCGAACCGCTGTCGACGCTCACTTGGTTGAGGTTCCAATGTCTGCTCCATATGTTGGAGCCTCTGCCCGACGGAATCAGAGTCAAGCCGTTGCTCGAGACGGATCCTGGAATCATCCATCATCCGAACCAGTGTTTAGTTCACCCGGTCAAGCCTTGTGTGGATGTGCTCAAAATCCGAGATGGCAATATCCCTGCGCAGTTTTCTCATGATTGCTGTCGGCGTTTTATGTAGTCAGTAGAAGCTCAGGCTGCTACCAGAGAACACGACTTACAGGGGTGGGAGGTAAAACTGCTTCAACTTCTGAAGAAGGACGACTGCTTCTACAATGTCTTGGTTGGTTGGTGGATCTGAAGAAGACCATGGTCGCCAGATTCGAGATAACGAAATGAACGATACTCCAAAGTTGGACTACATTGTTGCTAATAGAAGACGATTATCGAACAACTGCAGGTAGTGAGGGGACTCGAGGTTGGGTGCATACCTATGGGCTTCCTATCATTGTCGCCTTCCATATTCGTGCATTACTAACCTCGAATGAACTCCTCAAACGTGACGTTGCTGCGGTTGTATTACTGGAGTGAAGCTATATATGCGTTGGGCACGTGTGAAACGCGACTCGGTGTAAAAGGACGATGAACTTGGGGCGGTGGTGGTTGTCAATGATGACGACAAGACTCAGAGAATTAGAAGTCCGATGTGCGTCGTGGCAAGTGGCTGCAAAATTTCAAAGCTTGTCTTCGCAACGTCTCAAACGCTGAGCTACTCAATCTTATCTCATAGCAAGTTCAGTCACGTCGTCGGCCCGTCATGTTTACGATCTGCAAGAGCTTTCCCGGAACTCTGAATCCATGGTGCCCTGAATGTCTCGCGCTTGAAGTCAACGTTGGAGCAGGTTGGAGTTTGCCCTGAGGCTTGTGGCTAAGGGTATGAGCTGTTGTTAGGACCATCCTTTCTCGATCTACTTATTGCCCATTTCACTCAGACTGATCAACAACGATCTGTCGATCGGGGCCCAACCAATGTTGTTTCACAGGAGCGTCCGAATGCGTGGAAGGTGCCGGAGACTGGAGACCAAAAATTCCCGTGAGCTTCCAACAAGTTCTGGTCTTTGCAAGCCTCGATCTTCTACATCCGTGATGAGAAAGAGACATTGGAAGAACGTTGTGGACGAGGAGAGGACTCAGAGGAGAAACGAGTGTGAGCTCCACGTACGTGTATTCACATGTTGTCGATGGCTGGTCGGCATGAACCAGAATATTGAGATAGATACCGCTAGCTTGCTGCTCGTATCCAGATGATATCGATCGTTTAGCACACTGCAAGATAGATAGTGTATGTTTGGCATACAATACAAGTTGGGCAGTGAGACGGACAATGTGGCGAATTCGAATGGTGTTGTGTTACTGACGTACTGTAACACTCGAACGATTACAAATCGAGAACATGATTCTCCGTGTCAAATTTCGAAGGCGATAGTTGCTCCTGAATGGCACATTATTAAAACCTGCATAGTTCCCCATGTTCGTGGCGTACGTTTTCATTTCATCGGACCGAGGAACTCACGTGTCAACTCGCGGAATCCGGTGGTTAAACAAGATCAGTGACTAACCCGAATTATTTAGCCGCACATCCTCGCATCTTGGCCTTGGCCTACTACGACTAAGTACTAGCAACTGAATCCGACCCACATCCTCTGACCGTCTGCTACTCACGAGGCCTCTAATTGAATAAACAAGGGGAACTGCGGCATGAGGTATGTGCCGCACGCAATATCTGCTTTACTAAACTAACCGTGTAGGGCGGAGGACTTGCCAAAGGATTTAACATCCTTTATCACTCGAACAACTCAAGACCACGTCAACGGAGGTGGATTTGGCGATGTCTGGAAATGCAATTACAACGCAAATGGTACTTCAGCCGTCGTCAGTCCACGTGTTAGACTCGTTTACCATGCGCTGGCTTACGCCGACCAATCGATCAACACATAAGGTCGCGGTCAAGGCCTTCAGATATCCAGAGCAATATTATGATTCAGAAAAAATAAACAAGGTAAGAGTTATGAGGTCCGGATATATTAGCACATGCTACTTATACCATTTGTATCATCCAGAAAATTAACAGGGAAATTGGCATTTTGATGATACTAAGCCATGACAATATTGTACCGTTGTTGGGTACAGCGACAGGATTTGGACGGAGGCCGGAGTTGCTCGGCTTAGTAACTCCGTGGATTCCCAACGGCACGTTGAATGTCTACCTGGCATCTCAACACAACGAACTAACGATGCTGGACCGTTCACGCATGGTGAGCAGAATTTTTATCACGCCCTTTCTCTTATCAAGGCTGACTCGAAGTTGGAAGTTGAAGGACGTCAGTGCTGGACTGCGTTACTGTTAGTTTCATATATTTTCTCATGCTTTGGTAACCTACCATGGGTGCAGTGCACTCGGTACCTGTCGTGCACGGGGATATAACAGGGGTGAGCCCGGAGCTGCTGGGGTATCCTCAAAAACTAATGAAACGGTAGGCGAATATATTGATCGACGAGGGAGGCCAGGCGAAGCTAATCGATTTTGGTCTCTCCACCGTTGTCCTGCCCCTTCTCGGCCAGCTACACTTGGCTGCAACATCGATACATGCAGGTGCTATCCCCTACGCAGCACCAGAACTTCTAACAAGTGATATTGGTGACCTACCTTTGGAAAAAACGAAAACGGACATCTACTCTTTTGGTTGCGTAATGCTTCAAGTGAGTTGGTTGTTGTGGTCACAAGATGTTTGCCTGGGGACTCATCAAACAAGATTCTCTCGGGTCGGCGCCCTTGGTCTGAGATCACTCAAAACCTGGAATTGCGTGTTTATGGTCTGATATGCCAAGGTCATAGTCCGCAGCGCCCCACTGGCCACCCTGCAATAATGGACTCAGATTGGGACATCATTCAAAAATGTCTGCAATTCAAATTTCAACTTCGGCCTTCAGCAGATGAAGTATTTGACCTCGTCATGCGTAGGGTTTTGTCATCAGGTCAGCTTGCATAGTTCGTGGTGCTTCTTTAACCATCCACTCATCTGAGCTTCAAGATTCTTCCAGCCCACCTAACGGTCCTCCCGATGATGCATCATTCAACACTGATTCTTGGCCATCACTCCCGAGTCTCAGCACTGGTCCCGTAACAGCGTTCAGCACTGATTCTTGTAAGTTGCATCCATGTCGAGTAAGTGTCGAGGCGAATATATTTCATCATCATGAGTAGTTCGATCGACTGGCTTCCTGAGACATGAACAGAGACAATCAGCACCATCACCACCGCTACCTCCAAGCGCATCGTTGAGCAACCACGAAGTACGTGCTCTACTTCTCGAGACGCATTACCGCAGAGAGCTTACTGATCGAATATAACAGATGCGCCTACGGCAAAGAAATATTGTTATATTCGGTGAAACCGGCTCAGGGAAAAGTTCTATTGTCAACACAATCGCACAATCGCAGCTCGCAAAGACATCCAACGATGCACATGGATGCACTTCTACCGCTCAACGCTACCCAGTAGAAATTTCAGGCCAGCGATTCGTCCTAATTGACACCGCAGGTCTCAACTTAGGGACTGCGGACACAGTGCCGGCGACTAAAGCAGAAAAACAGTTGAAGAATTTGTTGCGTGAGCGCATGAGCTCTAGGTTGGATGGAATCAGCCTTCTGGTATACTGTATGTGCAGCACAATTGCCCCCCACGTCCTTGTTAAGGCCTACAACAAATTCTACTCTGAAATCTGCCAGAAGAAGGTTCCGATTGTTGTCGTCATCACAGGATTGGAGAAAGAGACTCGCATGGAGAGTTGGTGGGATACCAACAGGGAAAAATTCGAGGGCATGGATTTCGCAGACCATGCTTGCGTCACAGCGCTTTGGGAACACCCAAGCTTCCCGGACAACATCACTCATCGTATTGGAGAGTCGGGCAACATTCTGCGCAACCTTATTTTGAACAAATGCTTGGATTTGGCGGTTGACGACGGCTCGGATTTGGCGGTCGACAAGAACTGGTTGAAGCAGATAGGTGGCCGGATTGTTAAGAGGAGACAAATGACGAACTGGAAGTAAAACGTCAGACTTAGGAGATTATGCTGGTACCGTGTATTACTTGCAGGGTGTTCAAATGTTCAAGTTCCTCGTCCCCCTCCGAATCCCAGCTTCTTTATTCCACTCATCCACGCTTCGCCTCAGACGTATCCGTGTCCTTGCACGATGTAAAGTGCATAATCAGATGTCTTACCCGACACTAGTACTCAGACACGCCCCCGATGCCCATGTCCTCCGAATTGCCTATCGCTCCAGCGACGCTGACATGTTCAGCTCTAGCGTCCCCTTTCCCATCATGCAGCTCCCTACTCCTGTGCCATTTTCCCCAGATCCGTGTGCTGAAATCACCCTCGTAGAAGTCGACCTCGCCTTTTGAAATCCAACTCTTGCTGGTGTGCGTGGTCTTCTTTGCAGGAATTTTGATGTTCGCTGGCAACGTGACCCTACTTGGGGCGAGCGGTCTCTGAGGATACTGGTCCAAACTGGAATAGTGACACATTAGCAACTCAACTCGAGCATTGAATATCGAATCTTAATGTATGCATTCCTCTCTACCTTGGTCACACTTCGCAGAGGCACTGACTATGCGTGTGACTGAATTCTCATGTTGATCTCATCATTCCAGACCGACTCTCACTAGCACTCTGCTGTCCCTATATATGTCGGGGCCGGGCTCAAGTAAATTCCGCTCATTGACGGATTTGGGCGCAGTGCAAGCGATGATGAGACGGAACGAACGGAGGAGCGTCAGAATTTGAAATTTTGAACAGAAGCCACGATAACAGGGTATCATGAAAACCAACCTGGTTCCGACCGCAGCACTGCTGCTCAACTAAGCACCTGCGGCTACAGCATGCCCAAGTGACACGAATAGCAGGTCCACCACCACCATCCTTCTCGCCGCTGACTATTCTGTTGCGCATTACTGTGCTTGACCTGGCTTTTGACCTGTCTGTAACCACGACATCGTTTCTCCTCCGAGTCAGGGTCATAAAACGAGAAGCACTGTTAGACCCACATCTTCGGACGAACGCGACAGATACACCACCATATGGCACACAGGCTCGTCTGCACCTCAAAAGAGAATTAATCGCACATGGTTATGTCATGATCGACGGTGCCGAAACAGTTCATTGTAAGTAATTCTTGAAGGAGATGGGCTGGGGGTGCTGATATGCACAGCCTGGGACGGGATACTATATATATATGATACGTTATATGGATGTATCTCCTAGCTATTATTTTCAAACATGTAAACGTCATCTCGCAGCTGCAATCATATATAAGTATACAGATTGTGTAAAAGACCAAAGCTAAGTAGAACAGGCAAGCACGTGGCAGGGAAGCTTAAGACTCCCATTCAAATCCCGCTTCAAAAGGCAGTGCAAGCTTTAACTTTATGACACTGCCTCAGAGTCAGATCTCAGACTCTGCAGACAAACGGTTGTATCGACGTGCCGGCGCACCGAGTTCAATGTATGGCGTCCCCATTCTTTGGTACACCTATAACGGCAGTACTGCCTTGAACTTGCTCGCGCAGCTTTCCGTGACATATCCCGACGTTACTTAAAGCTTGGTTACTCACATCGAGAAATGTCCAGACTTACCCCACTGACTCTTTTCTCCATATTCTTCACCAACCACTTCTTTCTAGAGATCATCGAGGCAGCTTTATATATTGATATTTGATCCAGTCATGTTCAACATCAATGGCAGACGTGTTTTAGCGCTGAAAGGTATGAGTGCTGCACCTCACATCATCCCTCTTCCCATTCTCACATTCAGTCATGCAGTGATCGCTGGCATGAACCTTCCTATTCCATCTGATCCCATGCCCATCGGTTATTATGTCCGTGTCTCTACCTCCAATGGTCGGTGGAACACCACCATCAAGGCTGCAGAGGCGAACCACAATGTTTCATGGAATGAAACTCTCAACATCCACGGGCCCCCACTGACATTTTTCCGGCGGCTCATGTCCATGTTCTCCCGTACATCCGAAAAAATGCGCCTCGAAATTCATGCCTTATACGAGTTTGGGCCCCCTGAGCCTGCATATGCGTTTGAGCCCCCTGAGTCTGTATGTGTGTTTGAGACAACTTTCGAACAACTGCTCGGACGTGGCGGACAATCCAGTAAGTCCTCATTCCTCACCTTAAGCTATATCTTCGTCTCCTCACATCGGTTCCAAAGCAACACTCCCGGCTATCAATAACCTGGGTATATCTCTTATATTGGAAGCGCAGCGTAGTATTGAAATAACTCCACACGCATCATCAGGCAGCCCCGAAGTACGAAGCCTACTTCTCAAGCCACATCACGCCTACTAATAAAATGTAGCAGACGCGCGAACGGGAAAGAAACATTGTTATCTTCGGCGAGACTGGCTCTGGGAAAAGTTCGTTCATCAACACAATCGCACAAAGGCAGCTTGCAAGGACATTCAATGATGCACATGGGTGCACTTCTACCCCTGAACGCTATCCAGTAGAAATTTCCGGCAGGAAATACGTCCTGATTGATACCCCAGGTCTCAATGAGCCGCCCGAAGGCACAGTACCAGACGTGAAGGCAAAAGAACTGTTGAATAGCCTGTTGCGTGAGCTCATGGGCTCTAGGTCGGATGACATCGGCCTTCTAGTGTACTGCGTGCGCAGCAGGACTCACCCTTACAACTTCGTTAAGGCCTATAACAAGGTCTACTCTGAGATCTGCCATAAGAGAGTACCAATCATCCTCGTCGTCGAAGGATGGAGGAATGAGCGGGAAATGGAGAGTTGGTGGATTACCAACGCCGAGCAATGCAATAGATATGGTATGCATTTCGAAAACTATCCATACGACTCAGCTGCAGAGCAGATTGGCTTTTGCCCAACCTCATTGCAAAGCACTATGCAGTCGACACCAGTCGGTCTAAGGGTGTTCCAGGAGCGTGATGCGCATCGTCTCATGGTCAAAGTACTACCCGGTGAATAACAGCAAAGTTTCTCATTATCGAGTCAAACGATCACGATGACGCTGGAGGTCTATTCTCGACATTCAATCCTACTGGAGACCTCGAAGATGATTCTATGAAACAACAGTTGGCGCAGGACTTACACGGTCTTATTTGACACTCCCGTCCCCATCCAAAATAAGTGGGGAGATTAGAAGCTTTGCCGGATTTTCATGTGGAGTGGAGTTCATTTTATCACGACGTACATGATATTTTTCTTGTTCAACATGCACAGTCAGCGTCATTTTATTTTCGTATTGTCTCCACTCCACCCTTTTACTTATTCCCTGTCGTGGTTTGTACTACATCATTAAGTCAAAGACTGAGTACCGAATTCTTCATCCGATTCAGAGTTGAAGGCATCTATGGAATTAATAGGGTCGCAACTAAATGAAAACGTCCCGTTGATGACACTTGGCAAGTGAACCTGGTAGACTGTAAAAAGTTGAGTTTATCCTCGAAGAAGGGGTTGGGCTTTGGTCGTGCGAGTGCTTTACATAGCAGGAGCGGTGGGATGGGCGCGGGTATCGAAGGGACGTTCAAGTTCATTGGTTGGATGTATGAACGTGCACCTAGTTGATGGAAGCTGGAAAGTCAAGGGCAGAAGAGATATCGACTGGTCGATGTCAGATGAGTGTCAGTTTATGCTGACAAGGTTAATAACGTACGAGGCAGGGGTATTGAGGACCAACTCGAAAAGTCGGGGAGACTAGTATGGGGAGAAATGATTCGTTGTAAGTAACAAAACGGGGTGCCGATATCGATTGCACAGAAAAATGAGGACACACTATATGTACTAAGATACGTTAGCTATTTTGAAATATCAACGGTGTCGTGGTCTCCCGCAGGTGCAATACATATTGAGATGCAACTCAGTGTAAAAGACTGATGCTTTGGGTTGGAATTGACGGTGCTTGCGGTTGTTGAGGACGATGAGCTTGTGGCGTTGGTTGAAGTTGATTGTAAGAAAAGTGCTGTCTTCGAGCTGGGTGACAATCAGAGGGCTCAGTTATTTTGCCGCATCACTGCGGGCGTAGCTATTTTAATCGGTTGTCATAACACAAAGTCCGAGCATCAATAATATCGAACTTGCACTGCAGTAGTGAGAGGTTGCGGGATGTTGCCCTTGGAGCATGGGGGCTGTGGAAGTGTAGGAGTTTGAAGCTTACATAAGGGTATGTGACTGTGCACTCGGAGTCATAACAGGTGCTACAAACTCCCAGTTACTATATGTCGCCTCATTCGAATGGATGTTTTGATCGAGAACCTAATCTGTGTTCGACTTTTTTCTGCGACATATTCACGGGAATTCGAAAGAAGAACAGGATGTATGGACAGCTGGTTGTTGAAACCACGAGGATCATCAGCTTAAACGCTCATCGCACTGCCGTTCTTCCGCGTGTTATTGCTGCGGCTTCTGCCTCATATATTGACTTTGATTTGCGTACCGTGGAGCCTGCAGTGAGACTCAGATAAGTGATCATGACCTGATCGAACCTGCAATGCGATATCATTCATTGATTGCACCTTAGCGTCAGTCCAAACAACCTTTGCCTGGCTTGCGGACGTCATTTGAACTGGACGGCTGTCCAGACTCCAGATAGTGATCAGCGGGCATACCGAGTGGGTCCAGTCAGTCGTGTTCTCACCGGATGGTGCTCGCATCGCATCTGGTCCGGTGCGGCTGTGGGATGCAGCATCTGGACAGGCATGTCAGGAGTACACCGAGGCAAATTATTTCTCTCTGAATACAGGTTGCACTGCCCCTCACACACAGGAGCATCCCACCATGTCACCCAACACTTCGTTTCGTTCTCATCTAGCTCCAAGTTGGAACACGCACTGTGCAACCCTGCTTACCTTTTGAGGGTATCTTTCATCATGATTCTAATTCGACCCCTTTCTTGCTGCAGGCTGATGGGTGGATGATGGGACCCAGTCGTCGACTCCTTTTCTGGTCACCTCCCGGTTCCTGACATGCATTTTATACTCCTCGGACTTCATTGGTAATCCCAAGAGGAGGCGTCGAGCTTGATTTGAGCCGCATGGCACATGGGACGCACTGGTCAAGTTGCCGAGATGTGTAAGTTCTTAGTTTTTAATATCCGTCCCTCGCATTTGCTGAATTCAAGGCATCTAGCCGTACTTCGCGATGATATTATTGCGGTAGTCGATGTTAGATATATATGAATCAAGTGTCAAATTTCACTCCCTGTTGATCTTAATTGTCGCTCAACGTTGTCGCCATCTTAGACATGGCCAGACTAGGTACACTCTGTTCCAGCGCCCAGTTGTCGTTTTATTCCCATATAATCGAGTCTGTCAACATCGAGCATCTTACAGAGCGCCCTCGTCTTTATATGATGTATCACCCAACGTGATCCAATGCGCATGCATGTATGCAGGAGTGATCGAACTTCATTTGAACTCTGACAGAATATTCAGCGCCCAGGGACAATAGTTGCCTGCCACGACTATTCCTGAAGGCAAGGAACAAACAATTACCCGGGTTTCTTCGATCAATCGATCTCCAGGTGGGAAGAGCACCACAACACTGATCAGCGTTGCATGCTGAAATACTTTGAGCGCATTGCTGGTGGTGTCGTCCACGCTTTACATGACCATGCTGTCAAATACACTGGTGATCTAGGCATAGTCCCACAAATCAAGTAATCATTCGATCAAATATTCTATCCTACTACACACAGATTTCACCCTTCAGGTCATTGACGTTTTGCAAACGCGCAAAATGGAGGCCTAGCGTAGTGTACAATAAACATCTCTGCAAATCTCATCCTTGGCTCGAGAGACATCTAACAAATTCGACCAATGCACTGAACGATGCTATTAGAATGTATCACCCAAATCTTGTTTGAAATGACTTACCGAACAGGACATCCAGTCATTCCTTTCTCTTGGTATGGCATCGGGCGCGTGAACTACAATGAAATTATCAGTGATCGGAACTAACAATGGAGAGGCAGTCATGATAAAAGACGCATTCCGAATAACGCCATTGTTTAGATCACACTTGTGCTCACGGCATACGTCCTGCATTTGATTTCCCAAGCGACAAGTTCCTACCTCCATATTCCAGCAATATCAAGGTGAGCACATCGGACAAAGGGTTCCTGTCCATCCTTGGCCTCGATGCCATCCACGAACGCCTTAAGAAACAGCGCAGCGGTGCATGAACTTGTTGGTTTCCCACCAGCCTAAAAAACAAAAGACTATTAACGTCAAGTTCAAGCAAGACTAACGTGAAGATAAATGACCGACGTTGTACAAGTCAGCGTTATATCAGTAGATCTGTAGGCCATAATCCTCGTTGAGGGGCATGCGCCAAAAGCGATCGTACTCGCTTTCTCGGGCAACACTCAGTCGGTCCCAAAGGACATCGGAGGTCTAATACAAAAGTTCAGTCAATGGCATGTCGGCGAGTAGTGATAAAATAACGAACCGTGAAAACACCAGTGTAAATCTCACCCAGCGCGACTTCCATAGCCCTATCAATAATAAATTCAGGTTGGGAAGTGTGAATGATCAATACATACCCGATGAGAGTGGCAATGTCGATGACAGAGTGGGGCTTGAACTCGGTTAATGCGTAGTACAATGCATCAAGCTTTGAGGAAGTTAGAATTCACCACGACGTCAGTAGATAGCAAGGGTACTCACCAGCTAGAACAAGATGTTGCCGACTTCGGCGGATTTGCCATTCATAGCGTAGATTCTGGCAGATGTGGTTCACAGGACGAGAAGATGATTGCGAGGGAGGATGGAAGCTTCCAGCGGTAGAATGGCACCAACGGGGAGTTGATTGAACGATCCGTGGCCTTCACTTGGAACTTGACTGCCAGGAGAGTTGTACGTAGTAGCAGTGTATGTAGCGAAGTCTATATTCTGGAGGGAGGACGGATGAGAATGATTTGCCGGATTGTCAGATAAGCTAGAGCTGACATTCCAGGCAAGTCAACCACGGAGTAAAAGAGAAGTGTTGCAAAATAGACTAGTACTTACTTTACGTACCCTGGGTTGGGCCAGGTGAAATTGACGCGGTCCTGCCGCGCCTGCCGCGGTCGTGACGCGCCTGTAACGCGTCTTATGTGACGTGGCCCCGTCACAAATACTAGGGTACAGATTATGTTCAAACACTATCTTACGTCACTCTAAATGAATTCCAAACACTTTGAATCCTCGCTAATGATCAATATATGAGTGTCCATCTGCGTACAGGCCCTGAAATGCAGCATTCACCTCTCACCAATTTGCTTGATCATGGCGGCCCGTGTTCGTACTTCTTGGGGAATGTTCTGTGCCTCTTGTGTTTGTATTGTATTGTCTCTGATCGATCTACGTTTGTTTTCAGACAGCAGTGTGAAATATCGTATCACTGTGTCAAGTCTCGACCCCACTTTATCAAGTCCGGGAGCCTCTGTACTCTGTACTACCACGTCAAGCCCCCCCAACCATGCCATGTCAAGCTTCAGCCAGGCTGGGTCAAGCACTACTCACACCACGACAAGTCCAACATATTCGCAGCCTCTGTACTAATGTAAACTTCCACACTTTCCTATGCTGCGTCAGGGCCCACTTGTATGCCGTGTCAAGCATAGCACATGCCGCGTCAGTGCCGCATCACAGGCGCGTCAATCAAGTTGTGCCACGTCAATGCCGCGTCATGGCCGCGTCAGACCTCATCCATGCCGCGTCACACCTATACATGTCGCGTCAAACCTCATTTCAATAACTGTCAGCGTCACTTAGTAAGTCAGATATACAAGCATTCTACGGACAGTGGCACTCCAAAAAATCATTACTCCAGCCTCCACTCCTATGGCCTAGGGCAGAACTGGTATCGCGCTGTTGAAAATCTATATACCCATGCCTTTTGTGAGTGCTTTGAGATACGGAGTGCACCATACTCTAGGAATTAATCCAACATGTATTCAATTTTTTCTATTCCAGTGAGAGAGGGGATTAAAATTGTTCAGATCAACCGCTGGTTGGGGACCTGATTTCCTGCTATGACCGCTCGGGTGCGCCGTTTCACTGATGCTCTTTGCGAACTCAAATTCGACAAGTAGAACAGGTAATGTAATCGACTCATGAAGCAAGGCTGAATGAGTGGGATTTACTCAACCATTCATTACATTCTGGACCGATTGCGACTTCGAGGATCCATGTTCTCAAGCCGAACTCGAAGATGCAGCAAGAGCGCTCCTCAAAGGTTGTCAACAGCATTATCGATCTCAGGTCACACGCGTCAAAAAAAATTAGTGAAGTCATTGACCCTGCCAAAGCGTCTGAGACAAATTTCCCGCGTCAAGGCTCGTCAGTGCCAAGAAAATAGTCATTAGCTGATGACTAGCTTGTAGTATATGTGCCTATGGTGAATAAAATCAACGAAGGAATGATCATGAACCCATTCAACTTGATGTGAGAGTCGAGTATAGAACATAGGAATGAGTTACACTAGCGCATTTAGTAGCCGCGTGAATGCCGCGTCACACCCGCGTCACGACCGCGGCAGGCGCAGCAGGACCGCATCAAAATAGCTACGCCCCCCTGGGTTGATCCGGCCGCGGCGCCGCGCGCTTCAACCTCACAGAACACTGATCTGCTTGACAGTTCCATGCCTTCTTGCGCAACATGTTGTCTGACAGCCTAGTGTCAAGGGCCCTAAGGTTCAGGCAGTGCTTCGTCACATGCGGATTCTTCGAGCGAAAGTGTGGAATGCCTTGAACCTTCATTTCAGCTTTTCGATCAACATTGCACCACACAACATGCTCCTACTACCCTACAAATCTATGCCCATTGTAAATGAGGCTGTGGATGGCTGCGAGTCGCTTCTGTCCTGTTTACATCAGAGCTGCAGTGTGGATGCCACATGCATGCTGTGGTTCCCTCACTTATAATTCATCAGGACTTAACACGGCATTTTTCGTGAGCTCCAGTATACATCTTACTCTCAAGTGCTAGTCCCTCAGCCATATGTCAAGCTTCGTCCCTGGTCATTTCATTGAATACCCTCCACCTTTTGGAGAGGAGCCGAGCCACCAAGAACGCCCCCAGGACCCAGGTCAGACAGACCTTGTGATCAGTGAAATGCTACAAGTCACTGTCAATAGTATGTGTCATACTAGTCTTCATTTAGCACGTACCAATGATTTTCCAAAGTGATTCTGGCGACACTTTATTTCATCATTACTCAGCTATTTCGTGTCGCGACAGACTCCGTGCCAGACCCACTCAATAATACCCTCCAAACTTTGGGTGAGGAGCCACGCTACCCAGGACACACCCAGGACCCGGAGGAGATACACAGTGGAGTGCAACAAGTCGTCATTACTGGTATGGAATATGTATCTCTGCTCAGCTCATATTAACAATTTCCTTCAAGCTATTCACGCAACTGGTCTCACTCTTGGTCTCCGACGCATCCCCACTGGTTTCCATGTGGTAGTAAAGACAGATGGTGCTGAATTCCAGACGAGCAACAAACCAGTACACGTAGATCAGGCCGTCGTCGAATGGACTGAGCCCATACTTCTGTGTGTCGTCTTTAATCTCATCTTTCATGCACGTATTGAGAAGGACTCTAGGCCGTGCGAGCCATCCTCTACAGTTTGGGTCAGCATGTATGCCTCATTTGAATTGGGTCCCATGCTCTCTCATGGTGAAGTCCTGCGTACATTTAAGATCTCCATTTGAGAATTACTGGATCACAGCAAAGTTCACATCGTCAGTAGCGTCATTTGCAAATAACATTTGATGGATGTTAACGAGTTTCACAGCCATAATCTTTCAGCCCAAGCAGGGGGAAGTCGTATCCCCGTGTACTTCACTGTTCATGACACTGGAGCAGCGAATTTCTGATGAAAACGACGCCGCAGCTCTTTGCCCCCTGACTACCATGAGTGATTAATGCAATCTAGCATTCTGATGTTGAGAGCTTGTAACGTGTAGCTTACATATCGCTATATGGATGTGTTAGCACTAAACACGGATGCCGGACATCGTCTTCTCGCGCGATACCACAGGACGCAGAACAGTAGCGATCTTGACCAATCCATAAACCACTTTGAATGCGCCTCGGATCTCTGCCCCATGGACCATCCCTGCTGCCCTGCAGCACTGTTCAATCTAGCTACCGCAAACTTTCTTAGTTGCCAAGCTGAAGGAAGACACCTCGACCTCGACATCCCCATTAATTTGTTCCAAGAGGCCCTTGATTTGCGTCCCAGTGATCATCCAGACCGAACCGTTACCCAGCTTCATCTTTCCATTGCTCTGCTCTCTCGCAAACGGGGATTTCAAACGGATGCTAATGCAGCCGAAGAGTTACTGAGCGAAGTTCTCGATGTCTGCCACGCCAACAGCCACATTTACAGAGCAGCTTTGATTGCAGTCAAAACATCCGCTTTGCATTCTATGGGAAGCATTGATGCAAATGATCTTGGGCAGGAGCGGCCTGCCACATCCATGCTTCAATTATCGCCGAATCAACTTGCTCTTCGAGCAGAGCGGTGTTTGCAGAGGGATGAGCCCCGTGCCTTAGATGAAGTGATATCCCTTCATTATGATGCATTGGGATACTACAACTCTGAGCATGCGTGCCGAGGGCAATTGCTAGGTATTCTGGCTGTGATGCTAATCACTCGCTTCGAACGTCGAGGCAATGAGGAAGACTTGGACCAGGCTATCGCACTTCAGAGTGAAGTACTGGCTTTGTGCCCAGTTGGTCACACAGATCGGTCCATCTCATTACATAACCTCACGACTCAACTCTCCTGCCACTTTGAGCACCGAGGCAAGGACGAAGACTTGGATCAGGCCATCACACTTCAGATGGAAGCGCTGGCTTTGTTCCCAGTCGGTCACGCAGATCGGTCCAAGTCATTAAATAACCTCGCAATTGAACTCTCCTCACGCTTTGAGCACCGAGGTAACTATGAAGACTTGAATCAGGCTATCGCACTTGACATGGAAGCACTAGCCTTGCGCCCGGTTGGTCACGCAGATCGGTCTATGTCATTAAATAACCTCGCGATTCGACTCTCCACCTGCTTTGAGTACCGAGGCAATGTCGAAGAGTTGGATCAGGCTATCGCACTTCAGACAGAAGCGCTGGCTTTGCGCCCTGTCGGTCACACAGAGCGGTCCAAGTCATTAAATAACCTTGCAAATCAACTCTCCTTCCGCTTTGAGCGCCGAGGCAATGTTGAAGACTTGGATCAGGCTATCACACTTGACAGGGAAGCGTTGGGTTTGTGCCCGGTCGGTCACGCAGATTGGTCCAAGTCATTAGGTAGCCTTGCGAATCGACTCTCCTCCCACTTTGAGCACCGAGGCAATGACGAAGACTTGAATCAGGCTATCATACTGAACAAGGAAGCGCTGGCTTTGCTCCCGGTCGGTCACACAGATTGGTCCATGTCATCAAATAACCTCGCGACTCAACTCTCCACCCGCTTTGAGCACCGAGGCAACAACGAAGACTTGAATCAGGCTATCGCACTGAACAGGGAAGCGCTGGCTTCGCGCCTGGTCAGTCACACAGATTGGTCCATGTCATTAAATAACCTTGCGAATCAACTCTCCTCCCGCTTTCAGCACCGAGGCAACGACAAAGACTTGGATCAGGCTATCGCACTTCACAGGGAAGCGCTGGCTTTGCGCCCGGTCGATCACGCAGATCGATCTAAGTCATTAAGTAACCTTGCGAATCAACTCTCCATTCGCTTTCTGCACCGAGGCAATAGAGAAGACCTTGACGAGTCACGAGAGAATCTATGCTGTGCATTGACTCTCTTAACGCAACATGATCCTCGTCAATTAATAGTCCTTGAGTCGCTAGCTGATGTCCATCTATCATTCCATCGTTCAGGGCTTGATAGCACCGGCGCGGGCGAAGATACCGATAGTCTGAATGTGGCAATGCATCATCTCAACGCAGCAGCAAATGTTGTTTCTGCAGGTTTGCTGTCTCACCTGCGAGCCAGTCTGCGTTGGGTTCGCCATGCTCGTCAACATTCACATGATACTGAACTGGAGGCTCATGCAACTTCCATGCAACTTCTGGACGCTTACATGTCCACGACAGCTTCAATATTGTCTCGTCACAATATCATGAAGGACTTCCCAAGTACACTTGCTGTGGATGCTGCATCGTGTGCTCTTCGCAGTGGTGACGTGTGTCGCGCTGTTGAGTTGTTGGAACAAGGCAGGACTATCATCTGGACCCAGATGACACGCCTCCGCACGCCTCTTGACAGCCTCCAGACATGCGACGATCGTGCAGCAGCCCTGATCAAGAAATTCAGAGACCTCAGCTCCCTCCTCGATAAACCTTCTGTGAATGATCGAGAAGCAACCCCAAGAGTCAATGTAGAAGCAGAAGAAACCCGGTACAGATGTTTGGTGAAGGACTGGAATGGAACTGTAGAAGAGATCTGCAAGATCGAGGGCTTTTCCCATTTCCTCCTTCCCCCCTTATTCTCGGATCTTCAAGATGCAGCTCATGATGGGCCTATCATCGTGCTCATCACAAGCGAGTTGTCTTGTGATGCCATTATTATCCCGCACAAACAACCTCCCACTAAGATTCCACTCCCTACCAATCTTGAGAAACTCCAGACATTGGCGGCCAGACTCCAACACAGAAGTACGCCAGCGTTGACAACAGCATTGACGGAGTTGTGGGATGAGGTCGTCCGCCTGGTGGTCGAAAATCTGGGCGGATTTGCACGGCCAGGCTCCCAAATATGGTGGTGCCCGATGTCTGTCTTCAATTTCCTGCCATTGCACGCTGCAGGCCAGTACTGGAAAGACGGACAGTTCCTTTCACAGTTCTACATCTCTTCATACACGCCATTGCTTATTGTGCTGATAAAGGCTCGCAGACATAACAGGTCTCTGTCAGTATCTTTTGCTGCTATCGGTCAGGATCACCCAGCTGGTGCTTCGCACACTTTGGAATGTGTGGAGCCTGAACTGGAATTGGTGCGGAGTCTTTTACCCCCTCCCCCAACTGTTTCCTTCACCAAGATAACAAGCGTTGATGCAACGAAATCGAGGGCACTGTGCGCGCTGCAAGAGAATACTTGGCTCCATTTTTTGTGTCACGGGACACAGAATTTTGATGAACCCTTCAATTCAGCCTTTCTGATGCGCGACCGACCGCTTTCACTCCTCGATATCACCCAAATCCAAATGGATCTCTCTCAGCATCAATTTGCATTTCTGTCTGCCTGTGAAACTGCAGTCGGTGACTTTAAGACACCCGATGAAGTGATACACCTAGCGGCTGGCCTGCAATTTGTTGGGGTTAAGAGTGTCGTTGGGACATTATGGACAGTCGACGATGATACTGTGCAGTGCTTAGTCGAGGCATTTTACAAAAACTTTTGTGGGGATGGCAAAATGAATTCCAAGCGAGCTGCCCGAGCGCTGCACAAAGCGGTCCAATCGTTGGCTTGCGACAAGGATATGTCCTTGGAGCAGCGCATAGTGTTCGTGCATATTGGCATATGATCAATTTTGTGCGTACTCCAGCTTGTTGATTAACGTGTTAATCTGACGACTGCAAGCCGTGGCTACGTGCAGCCTGTTGCCAAGAACATAAATCTCTTCATTTCGGACTGTGGAACTGTATACCTCCCCAACATGTGCACCCGATGTAAACTTCTATTTGTATTTTCCAGTCTGTTGCCTCAGAACCGCAGGTAAACACTCCTAAAATGCACTGGTGGGTAAGAATGAGGTTCAAAGTCGTATGACTGTTGTGGTATGACACCTCGGCAAGACACGATTACGCTGCGTAGGAGCATTCTTGAATGTACAACATCAACAAAATTCCACACTGCGTCAATGCGCTTATACAATCTGTATGCTGCAATGCAGCTGTGTATCGCAGTCATTAACCATTCCCTGAGAGATATGGAGGGAGACTGGGACAGACCCCAGCTGTCTATTCAGAACAACGTGGAGTAATCAGTGATTTCAACCCACGACGATGACGACAAGTTTTGCGTATCTCCTGGCCAGTGCGAACTCAAATCCAAGTACGAGAGATCAACAGTTCTAAATTACAAATAGATATATAATTACAAAAATTTCTGTCCCAAAAGGACGAGCGAGACGAAAAAAGCCGACGACTTCAACTCTGCAGAGATGCATCTGACCCAGTCACCTATTTATCTGCTCAACTTCATAACGGAGCCTCGCAGCAAGTGGACCGAACCGACTTTATATTCCACGAACGTAACGGGCTCCCACTGGCAAGTACTGCGAAAGCCAAACGAGGGCCTTGACTTGTTTGTGGGTTAGATTCGAGACTGTCGAGGTTGTTGAACATCATTGGATATAATCGCGCGCTGAAAATTTTTAGTGAGGAGGAAAGCAGGTAACTTGAAAGCTGCCGCAGCGTCAAATTGACTTGGACTTCGGACACGGCCGGATGTTGTGATATTACATAAATGGTAAGTGACATAAGTATCACCTCGAACATTTGACCGCGTTTGTGCTTTGTCAATTACTTAGCGTCACAACGCTTGCAACAAGAATTTGCACGTTACCATTAATATTATTTGGTAGGCCTACTTGGTATTAACCCTCCAGAAACAAATTGGGAACCCAGCTGTCTGGACAACACATAGTGTATACTTCCGGCTATCAAGCCTTTCAAGGCCAACATTGGGTCAAGGACTCATTCAAAATTCATGCCAACTTCAATCATATGGAAAGGTTCACACAGCCAGCTTACACATCTCATCTAGGCTCTTGTCCCTCAATATTTCCCCTCCAAATCCTTCGTCATGTCAAACATTGGCAGACATGTTTTAGCACTAGAAGGTAAAGTACTGTACATCCTTCGGTTTCCCTGTTCTCATGTTGCCGTATGCAGTTATCGCGGCCATGAAACGTCCCTTTCCATCTACTTGCATGCCTACTGGCCATTACGTCCGTGTGTCTACATCCAATGGTCAATGGAACATCACCGTCAAGACAGCAATGGCCGACTGCAGTATTTCTTGGAATGAGACTTTCACTATCCTTGGGTGCCCTCTGATGTTTCTCCCGTGCCTCATGTCCATCTTTTCCGGCAAATCAAAGACAATCCACCTCGAAAGTCGCGCATCATATGAGTTTGGACCAAGTGAGCTTGTGGGTGCATTTAAGACGACTTTCGGACATGTACTCATAAGCGACGGAGAGTCCAGTAAGCCCTCCCTGCCCCTGTACCATTTCCCCCAGATCTGTGTGCTGAAATCACCCTCGTAGAAGTCGGCTTCGTCTTTTGGAATCAAGCTCTTGCTGGTGTGCATAGTCTTCTTTGCAGGAATTTTGATGTTCGCTGGGAACGTGACCCTACTTAGGGCAGGCGGTCTTTGAGGATACTGGTCCATAACTGGAATAGTGGTGCATCGGCAACTCAACTCAAGCATTGAATATTGAATCTCAATGTATGCATTCCTCTCTACCTTGGTCACACTTCGCAGAAGCACTGACTATATGTGACTGAATTCGCACATTGATCTCATCATTCCAGATCGACTCTCACTAGCACTGCTGTCCCTATATATGTCAGAGCCGGGATCAAGTAAATTCCATATCTTGGCGCTCATTGACAGGTCTAGGCGCAGTGCAAGTGGTGATGAGATGGAACGAACCAAGGAATGTTGAAATTTGAAATTTCGAACAGAAGCCATAATAGTAGGTACCGTGAACTCTGATAACAGGGTATCAGATCTAAAAACGACCGGGTTTCGATAACAGCACTGCCGCCCAACTAGGCGCCTGCAACTACAGCATGCCCAAGTGGTCCGAATGGTAGGTCCCTTCAATACCTCCACCATCATTGACTATTATGTTGTGCATTACTGTGCTTGACCTGGCTTTTTACCCCTCTGTGACCACAACATCATTTCTCGATCGGGCCTCAAGCTCAAACCTCAGGGACCATAAAACGAGAAGCGCTGTTGGACTCACCTTTTCGGACGAGCGCAACAGATGTACCACCATATCCAGGTGCACAGGCTCATCTGCACCTCAAAAGAGAACTAGAGTCTAGTCGCGCATGGTTATGTCATGGTCGACAGTAATTAAGGAAATGGTCTGGGGGTGCCGATATGCACAGCCCGAGAACTGTCACTGCCAGTGGGAGTGGCGCAGCGACGGGATAACGTATATATGATACGTTATAGGTATATTCAGGTATGTATCTCCTAGGTGTCATGGTTATTTTCGAACGTTTAAATGTCGTCTTGCAGCTGCAATCATATATAAGTATACAGATTATGTTAAAGAGCAACGCTAAGCAGAAATTATACATATGATTAACGGGCAAGCATATGTGTGGAGCAGCCAGACGCCCAGAGCACGGGGAAGCTTACCCCATTCAAATCCCGCCTTCCAAAGGCAGTGTAAGCTTTAACTTTATATCACTACTCAGACTCTGCAGACAAACGGTTGTATCGACATACCGGCACACCGAGTTCAATATTATGGCAACTTGGAGCGTTCCCATTCTTTGGTATACCTATAACGGCAAGCTTTGATCAAGTACTGCCTTGAACTAGGCTCACGCAGCTTTCCGTGACATATCCTGACGTAGTACTATAAAGCTCGGTTCCTCACATTGATAAATGTCCAGACTCGCCCCACTCACTTTTTTCTCCACCAACCACTTCTTTCTAGAGATCCCTAAGGCGGTTTTATATATTGGCATTTGATCAACAGTCATGTTAAACATCATTGGCAGACATGTTTTAGCACTGGAAGGTATGAGTACTGTACCTCACATCATCCCTCTTCCCCTTCTCATGTTCATACATGCAGTGGTCGCTGGCACGAACCTTCCCGTTCCATCAGATCGCGCGCCCATCGGTTATTATGTCCGTGTCTCTACCTCCAATGGTGGGTGGAACACCACCATCAAGACTGCAGAGGCGAACTACAATGTTTCTTGGAACAAAATCCTCAACATCCACGGGCCCCCACTGACATTTCTCCAGCGGCTCAAGTCCATCTTCTCCCACACGTCCGAAACAATCCACCTCGAAATTCATGCCTTATATGAGTCTGGGCCCCCTGAGCCTGAATGTGCGTTTGAGCCCCCTGGGCCTGTATGTGTGTTTAAGACAACTTTCGAGCAATTGCTTGAATGTGGCGGACAGTCCAGTAAGTCCGCAGTCCTCACCTTAAGCTATATCTTCGTCTCCTCACATCGGTTCCAAAGCAACACTCCCGGCTATCAATAACCAGGACATATCTCCTATGTTGGAAGCGCAGCGTAGTATTGAAATAACTCCGCACGCTGTCTTCTTACTTGAGGGTCTTATATGTTGAACAGAATACAATGACTATCACAATTGTATTCTTTAAGACTAAGGTGCCAGCTCCTCAAGTTCACGGTCAACGGATGTCACAACCCTTATAACGAATTAACGCAGGGGCAGAGACTAGGACTCAAACAAGGATATCACAACAAAGAGGAAAGGATAGCAGGGACGTCTTAGGATTGCTAGCAGTAAGCTAATACAAAAGAGGTTTGAACTGAAGAACTACTGACTACAACGAGCTACCTATATACATATATTGAAACGGAGATTGAATCTGAATCTGAACTAACTAACCAATCATTAAATAGAAAAGGGAATCGTACGATGTTTCTAAATATAACTACACTATGATGTCATGGAACGTGTGATGGCTGTGCAAGGGTTCTCGAAGGTTCTGGAGTCACGTGACTTGATCGCTTGAGTAAGGAAGTCGAAATCAGGGATGTCGGAGATAACGGTAGTAGGCGCTAACGGAATAGAGAAGTTCGGGTTAGGGTTTGGAAAGGTTATAGGTATAAACGCTGACTGGGCGCTAACTACAGGCGCTTGTGACGGGCGCTTAACGGGTGTTTTACGAGTGTTCAAGAAAGAATAATGGTTTGTGTTTGGAATTCGTGACATTACCCCCTCTCTAGGGTGAGCGTCATCGCGAACGTAGGATGGTCGAATGTTCTTTTCTCTCCATTGTTTGAAAGCGTCTGTATCCAAAATAGACCCAAGAATTCGTTTGGATTTGGCAGCCGTGGGGTTCTTCTTATGGAATTCCGCAATTAGAATCGGGGAGTTTTTAACGTTTTCTTCTGGCTCCCATGTCGACTCCTCTATCGGATATCCTTCCCATTTTACTCGGTATTGCACTTTTCCTCGGAATTGTCGGCTATCTAGTACTTCTTCTACGACAAATTCTTCCTGATCGTCAACAATGTCTGGAGGTGGTCGGGTGGGTTGAGAATGAGGGATCATTTGAGATGCATAATATGAAGTAAGCAATTCCACATGGAAAACCGGGTGAATCTTATAACTTTCTGGCAATTTCAATTTATAGTTCACTTCACCGGTCTTCTCTAGTATTTCAAAGGGCCCAAGACGACGATCTGACAACTTTTGACTTGGACGACGTTGTTTGATATTCTTTGCGTCTAGCCAGACCTTGTCTCCCTTTTGATACTGAGGTGCGTCTTTAACTCCTCGGTCATAGAAGCGTTTCATGCGTTCATTAACCATCTTTAGAGTGTTTTCCGCATCATCTCTTGCTTCTCTCATTTGATCGGCTCTCTCATCGGCGGCGGGAATAAAGGATGTAGAGTTCGGTGATATTGTGAATTCGGGGTTATATCCATAGAGGACTTTGAACGGACTGTGACCAGGTTACTGTGACTGCATTGTTGTGTGAAAATTCTGCTATTGGCAGCCAAGATACCCAATCGTTCTGTCTGTACGAGGCAAACATGCGCAAGTACTGTTCAACTTCTTGATTTACGCGTTCTGTTTGTCCGTCTGTTCTGGGATGATAGGAGGTCGAGGCAGACCATTTAATTCCTAATCTTTTTGATACTTGTCCCATAAACTTCGAAATGAACTGCGTTCCTCTGTCCGAAATCACTTTCTTTGGTGTACCATGATGTTTCCATACGTTCTTTAGAAATAGCTCGGCAATTCCCTTCGAGTCTACGTCTTTGGTGGTGGGAATGAAATGTGATTGTTTTGAAAATCGATCAACGACAACAAATATACTGTCACATCCTTCACTCTTCGGCAAATCCACTATCAGGTCGCATGAGATCGTTTGCCAAGGTCCTTCTGGGACTTCATTTGGCTGTAAAGGTCCCGTTGGTCTACTTGGGAACACTTTTGTTTGTTTGCATCGATCGCAACCGTCTACGTAATCATGGATATACTTCGTCATTGAAGGCCACCAATAGTTTCTGGAAATTAATTCTAAGGTTTTGGCACGTCCAGGGTGTCCAGCCGGTGGAGAATCGTGAAACAACTCCAGTATTTCTCGGCGGATCTCCTTATCGTTTGGAACATATACCAGTCCTCGGAACAACACCAATCCATCCTCGACATTCCATTCTTCGATTCCTCTGCGCAATTGTACCGGTGCTACTTTTAGTGTTTCTAGCGCTTTCATTACTTCGGGCTCTCGTTCTGTGCTCTTCCTTATCTTTTTCATGAGCGAACTTTCTCCTTCTATGAGAACTTGGCCTCGTTTAGCAGCTTTGATTTTGAAAAATTCCGGTTTTAACAAAATGCGGTCAGAATTATCGTTTTCTACCCCCCCTCTGTGGTCTTCTCTCCGAGATAGACGGTCGGCTTTGTCATTGACTACACCAGGCTTATGTTGGAGCGTAAATTCATACTCCGCCAGGAACAAACTCCATCTGGCTTGCCTTCTTGTCAACTTCTGACTCGTCATAAAGTACTCGAGGTTCTTGTGATCTGTCCAGATCTCCACATGTTGGGGTTTTCCCTGCACATAGTGCCTCCACTCTTCCAACGCACGAATAATTGCTAATAACTCTTTATCGTGAATGTCGTAATTTCTCTCTGCATCATTCATCGACTTTGAGTAATAAGCCACTGGGTGCCATAGGCCATCTTCCATCAGTTGAGATAAAACTGCTCCTGTTGCGTAATCTGAAGCATCTGTTTCTATTTTCATTTTTTTTCTCAACATCTGGCATTACAAGGACGGGAGCTTCTGTAAAACGCTTCTTTAACTCATCGAAGGCGTTTTGCTGTCTCTCTGTCCAATCCCATTTGGCATCTTTTCTCAGCAAATCATTCATTGGTCTGGCAATGTCTGAGAACCCAAGTATAAATCTTCGATAGAAGTTGGCAAAACCCATGAATGCTTGTATCTCTTTTACGCATTTGGGAACAGGCCATTTCAATACTCCTTCTACCTTGACGGGGTCCATGGACACACTGCCCTTCTCCACAATCAACCCGAGGAACTCGACTTTAGACTGCTCGAAGCTACATTTTTCAGGCTTCAAGAACAGGTCGTTCTCTTTTAATCGTTTGAGTACTTCTCGCACGACTTTCTGGTGTTGCTCTCTACTTCCATTCGTAAAGACCAAGATGTCATCGATATAAACGACCACTGTTTTGCCGTCTATTAAATCTCTGAATATCTCATTCATCATGGTCTGGAAAGTTGCTGGAGAGTTCGTCAACCCAAAATACATTACGGTTGGTTCGTGGTGACCAAAAGGCGTTTTGAAAGCTGCCTTCCATTCATCTCCTTCTTTCATCCGAATATTGTTATACCCCCATCGTACATCCATCTTGGAGTACATCGTGGCACCAGTAAGGGCATCAATCAGGTCTTGAGATCTCGGTAGCGGATACGCATTTTTAACCGTTTTCTCATTAAGCCTTCTATAGTCCATTACAGGTCTAAGTTTGCCATCCTTTTTGGCCACAAAGAAGAAAGGTGCTGCCACTGGAGATTGTGAATCTCTAATACGTCCTAGTGCAGTCTCGGCTTTTAACCAATCTTTCAAAGTGTCCATCTCTTTTGGTGACAAGGGGTATGGTTTCGCGTTCGGAGGAAGATCATTGTCATCCTTAAGATCCACAGCATGATCCCATTTCTTTCTTTCAGGGAATCGTTTAGACTCTTCTTCTGAGAACACTCCCAGGTAATCGTGAAGCCAGTCTGGAACCATTTCTTCTACAGACTTCTTCTTCTTCGTAGCTTCTTCTGCTACCTTCTGTTCCGTGGCAACCGAGGCTTTATATCTAATCCATCTTTCAGGACTATCTTCGTCTTCCACCTCTTCACAGGTCGCCTTCTTCATCTCCATGTCTTCGTCGTCATCCTCTTCTGTGGGAATCAGATCCGGAACTACATCTGTCTGTTTTTGTGCTTTTCTGTTTTCTCTATTTTTTTGCCTTTGTTCTTTTTTCGTAATACATTTAAGTGGACACCGGGATAACGAAAACTGTCCTGCATTCCAGTCTATTTCTGGATTGTGATATCTTAACCAATCAATGCCGATAATAACATCATCGTTTCCTAAGTCCGTAATCATGAAGGCTGCTTTGTCTTCTACATGATCACCGATCTTTAGACTTAGTTCGGCGAAATGAGTCATTGATCCAGCGGCATTTAAAGAACCATCTATGTTCTTTACCGGAATAGGCCTTAATAATTTACGGCATATTACATCGTTCTTCTTCACAAACTTCTCGTTGATAAATAATGTTGATGCACCGCAGTCCACAAGTGCTTTCACGTCTGCTTGTCGATTCTTTCCTTTCAAGGTAATCGGAATGTAAAAATGCTCTGATTTCGATCGCAAATATACTTCTGTTACATCCGAGAACGTAGATAAGATTGAGAAACGATTGTTCGGGTCCAAGTCCGCAGACTCTAACTCAGACCTTTCTAAAAACCCTTATCTCCTTTGGCTTTGACATAGTCCTTAAACCATTGGGGCATCGAGTCTTCCTTTGGCACTTCAGTAGCCTTCACTTGCGCTTTTGGAGCGCCCTTGCAGTTTCTTGCCATATGGCCTTCTTCGCCACAGCGGTAGCAGTTGAAAGAACCAGTCTTTCCTTGAGGTTTGGGAGCTCCTCTCTGCTTGTTGGCGTCGACGTCCATGGCGTTACTGTCTCTGGGACCAGCCCTTGGTTCGAAGTTTCTCGCAGCCCTGTTAGGGGTCCAGAAAGAAGTCTTCTTCTTCTCCGCATCTAACTCTTCGAAGTTTCGTCCTATTTGGATCGCATGCTCTATCAATTTCTGCATGTTGTCCTTGTCTTTGTAGGCGATGTGAGCAAGTTGTAATTTGACGCGGTCTTGCAGTCCTGCCCTATACTTCTGGCGTAAGTCGTAGTCGGAGAACTTGGTGTGTGCAGCTTTTTGTTTGAAAGTAGCTGTATACTCTGGAACGGTAGAGGATCCTTGTCTTAAGGAATCCAATTCCCGAACTGCCTTGCCTTCAAGGTCTTCTTGTGCCCACATGGCGGTGAAGTCTTCATCCAACTTCTTCATGGTGAGGGTTCCATCAGCATGTTCTTCAATGTAAGATTGCGCCCATTTAGCAGCAGATCCTTTCATGAACGAAAGCATGACTGAGATTCTTTGCCTTTCTGTGATGCTGGGCCATTGCGTCATATAGAGCGCTATCTGGGTTGCCCACATCTTGGCATCGATGGAATCCTTATCACCTGTGAATTCCGTGGGTTTAGCCATTTTAATTGAGGCTGTGGTAGAGGCGGCGGATGATCCGAGGGATGGGGAAGCGGTGAGTTTGTCGATCTCGGCTTGCTGCATCTGAATCCGTAGAGCTAGATCTTCGTTTCTTGTTGATAGCTCGTCATTCTTGTTTTGCAACGCCGTGACTTGACTTTGCCACAGTGCATTGTTTGCGGCGATCTGTTCTTGTACATATTGTACAAACTCTTCGCTGCTACTCGGCATTCTTGGTGCGGTTGGTTCAGACATAGTACCAGTTGTTTTCTGGAACCCGATTTACTGATGTCTGTGAAGAGCTAGTCGTAACGGCTCTTCCGGAAGGGAAAGATGATGAAAAGGGAAAATGAGAAAGGATACGTAATCTGGAAAACTGAAGCGGTCCCCGATATCTGATCGGATCTACCTCGTACTTCAGGGTCAAAGGGTCCTGGTAAAACCCAACTGACTCTTCCCTAGATACTAACTAAAAGAGATGTGTACGTAACAACTATACTCGCCAAGTGGGAAAACTAGAACGCCAAGGTGCTCTTCCAGCCGAAGCTTACAAGCGACCGAGTCTGGACTAGGAAATTCCTCTAAATACTTGGGTAGAGTAGCCTACGTATCGTACGAAGAAAGGTGATAGGTAAAAAGGAAATTATAGTAACGTTGAGCAGGCAGGGTCTTGGGCCAGCACTCAAAGTTGTAGTGACACGCCTAATGTCGTGAACACCTCCGTATACTGGCGGCTGCAATGTAAGGCAGGGCCTGGTATAGGACTACTAACTACGAAGGCGGATAGGTATGAAATGCGCTCAAGCGAGCAAAGGGGAGAGTGATGAAATCAAAGGTCACAGCTGTTTAAGCCGGGCAATATGAAACGTGTAACGGTTCTGTTTGATTGAGGATCGCGGATGTTCGCAAGATGCTCAGATCAAAGAGAAAAGGTATGCAAGCGGTAGTGCGTGGAGTCGGAGTCCCCTATAGTTCAAACCTAATGTCACAACCCTTATAACGAATTAACGCAGGGGCAGAGACTAGGACTCAAACAAGGATATCACAACAAAGAGGAAAGGATAGCAGGGACGTCTTAGGATTGCTAGCAGTAAGCTAATACAAAAGAGGTTTGAACTGAAGAACTACTGACTACAACGAGCTACCTATATACATATATTGAAACGGAGATTGAATCTGAATCTGAACTAACTAACCAATCATTAAATAGAAAAGGGAATCGTACGATGTTTCTAAATATAACTACACTATGATGTCATGGAACGTGTGATGGCTGTGCAAGGGTTCTCGAAGGTTCTGGAGTCACGTGACTTGATCGCTTGAGTAAGGAAGTCGAAATCAGGGATGTCGGAGATAACGGTAGTAGGCGCTAACGGAATAGAGAAGTTCGGGTTAGGGTTTGGAAAGGTTATAGGTATAAACGCTGACTGGGCGCTAACTACAGGCGCTTGTGACGGGCGCTTAACGGGTGTTTTACGAGTGTTCAAGAAAGAATAATGGTTTGTGTTTGGAATTCGTGACAACGGATTTTCTACTTCTCGGTTGATAATGTGGTGTTCGTGGGTGGCCAAAGGGTAATAAATTACTTCTTTGCTAGATCACTTCTTGATAGTAAAGGAGTAGTATATATTTGTCAGGTTAACTGAAACCTAGTAGGTAATATGGACCTCTCTGTACTGAATGTGGCACAAATACATAAAACGATGGATAAAACGATAGATTATTGTATAGGCGATCCCTGTAAGATAGTATACAATCAATCTAGACTAAAAGAATACGATTGTTTTCAAAGGCAACTCATAGGCCTTCACTTTCTTCGTGATCTCACAGTGTTGAGACAGAAAGTGGGAAAACTCCTGACTTCAAATTCCTACGTTCCCACATGGTTTGGGAAAAGAATGGAAGGGGAAAAACTTAATATATTATGTGAGAATGGAGTCCTTATATACATTTTAGAAACCATCCTTACTAAGCAATGAGTCATCACTGGATTGGTAAGATTATGCTTACAAACCAAGCCTTTTGGTGTGCTGAATCAGCTGCTTACTAAAGTACATGAGTAAAATATTACAAAGCACTGTAAAATATTACAAAGCATGACAAATCATGACAAAACATGATGAGTCATGGAAAGTCCTTACAAATCAGAATATTACCAGTCACATGACATGCTTACAAACATATCTGAGTGGCTCACTGATGTAATCAAGTGGCTGAATAAACATAAACAAATAATGGAAAGAGACAGAAACTACAAATACAACTAAATAAATAGAAACAAAGCTTACATAAGTAGGAAGTATATCCTTTGTACACTCCTCTACTCATCTCCTTTTACACTGCTATTCGTATATGTCATGGTATGAACTCCATACCATGCATGACAACGCATCATCAGGGAGCCCCGAAGTACGAAGCCTACTTCTTGAGCCACATCGCACCTGCTGACAAAATGTAGCAGATGCGTGAACGGGAAAGAAACATTGTTATCTTCGGTGAGACCGGCTCAGGGAAAATTTCGTTCATCAACACAATCACGCAAAGGCAACTTGCAAGGACATCCAATGATGCACGTGGATGCACTTCTACCCCTGAATGCTACCCAGTAGCAATTTCCAACAGTAAATACATCCTGATTGATACCCCAGGTCTCAATGAGCCACCCGAAGGTACAGTGCCAGATGCAAAGGCAAAAAAACTGTTGAAGGGCCTGTTGTGTGAGCTCATGAGCTCTAGGTCAGATGACATCGGCCTTTTGGTGTACTGCGTGCGCCGCGAGGCTGACCCTAGCACCTTCGTTAAGGCCTATGACAAATTCTACTCTGGGATCTGCCATAAAAGAATCCCGATCATCCTCGTTGTCAAAGGATGGGGGAACGAGCAGGTTATGGAGAACTGGTGGAATGCCCACAGGAATCAATGCAGGAGTATGCATTTCGCGAACTATCCATACGACATGGCGAGCCAAGAAATTGACTACCAACACATCCCGGACGACGTCACTCGTCGTGATGCAGAGCCGAGTGGCTTTTTGCGCAACCTTATTGCCAAGCACTCAGATTCAGCGGTCGACACTAGTTGGTTTGAGCGTGTTTCAGGAGCGTGGTGCGCATCGTCTCATGGTCGCAGGACTCAGTGAATAATAGCAAAACTGCTCATTATCAATTCAATCCTGCTGGAGACCTCAGAGATGACTGTGTGAAGCAGGACTTACACGATCTTATTAGACATTCCTGTCCTCATTCAAAATGAGGGGAGATGAGAAGTTTTACCAGATTGTCATGCGGAGTGGATGAGTTCATCATCTTCTCATGACGTCTTCCTGTACATAATATTTTTCTTGTTGAACGTGCAATCAGTGCTACTTTGTTTTTGTACTTCATCTCCACTCCACCCTTTTACTTATTCCTAGATGTTCCTTCGGTTTACACCTCTTCCTTTGGATATCGATCACCTCTTAGTCCTTCAATGAAATACTAGGAGGTGGCGAATACTTGTGTTTATTTATGTATATAGCTTGTTGAAAGTCTATGCAATTCTTTCTCCTTCCTAATATCTATCGTAGTTTGTACTACATCATTAAATCAAAGACTGAGGACTGGTCCGACTCGGAGTTTGATGCATCTATGAAATCAATGGGGTCGCAACAAAATGAAAACGTCCCGCTGATGATACTTGGCAAGTGAGCTCGGTAGACTGTACAAAGTGGAGTTTATGAAGAAGAGGTTGGACTTTGATCGTGTGCATGCTTGACATCCCAGGAGCAGTAGAATGGGCGCAGGTATTGAAGGGACATAAAATGCCATATGGTTGGATAGATAAGCACGCACCTAATCGATGGGAGCTCGAAAGTCGAGGGCGGAAGAGGCATCGACTGGTCAATGAGTGTCAGTTTACACTGACAGGGTTAATAACATGCAAGGCAGGGGTATTGAGGGCAGCTCTCTGCTATCACGCTTCCTTTGCATTGCAAAGCGCGGAAGGATGAGGTATTTGAAACTAACCAGACCTCACTGCAGCGGTTGTTTGACGCATCAAGTAATGCTGCAACTCAACAAGTATTTTGTATCATGTGTGCAGGAGAGCTCTTTCACATGTGCCAAGTGTACCGTGAGCAGAGCTGGCGCGACTCGCGAGGTTGCCACAATTATCCAACTTAAAACTCTTTAATGTCTGAGTAGTATAACTTACAAGTAAAAAAAGAACATGCTAGAGTGTTGGACATTGAAAAATGGCGGTAGTCATTGGAGACTTCTTGGATACAGTGGTAATAGTGGCGACAGGTGTTTTGGAAAGTATGGCAGGCTTTCCAGAGTGGCAGGTAGCAGTTACCAGTAGGCCTGGAAGTTACGCAGATCAACTCTCAATACACGAGGTGTGCCTTCAATGACATGTCGTCTGGATGTAGAGTCGCAAATGCTCATGGGAGAGTAGGAGACTGAGATGACATACGGGAGAATGAGGCTGTATTTGGTAGTTGACAAACATAACAATACAGAATAATTTGTCGGCTCTCGTTCAGATCACAACCAAGACCAAACTGCGGTCCATACACTGTGCGGAGGAACTGTCCAGCGCTTCTCGCCATGATGTCATGGTGTCTTCCACAAGGCTCGGCTGGAGCTCTCAACTACTTACAGGTGACTATATATTAGTGAGTGCCTGGAAGAAGTTTGAACTTCTAGCAGACACTGCCAGATTTCAGGGAGGAGCCTCCAGAACCCAGCCTGGAGCCACGTGTGATGTGCCAGGTGCATGTGACGGTCGAGTATGCCTGCGCAGGGTGATAGTCGGAAGGCATCGCCTGTAATATGCTGGTAAGTGACCCCTGTCATTCCTGCAAATCGGATGGCTGCCGCTTCATTAATCACTTTCAGCCATTCTGATCATGACGTACCAAGGCGATGACATTTTGCTTAATTTTTGGGGAGAATGTGGATCAGCCGCCAGGGCTTTTGATGGATGGGTCTTGGCTAGTCTTTGGCCTGATTCTAGTGTTGTTTGGTATCTGGGCCTCCCGGTAAGTTCGTATTAATGGACTTGGTCAGTTGGTCGGTTGACATTTTGCTTTGTCAAAGACTTGAACGTGTTCAGGCAAGTCCAGAAAGTAGGTGGGTTGTTGTTCCAGTGGAAAACTTCACTATCGCCTAGATGAGTATTCGGGTTTTCAGACTATCTTCCTGTGATAGGTCTAGGGCGCAGATATTGCAGTTTAGTCATTGGACGTCTCCACAGACTATTTAACAGCACTTTTTGTGACGCCCCATGGTTATATTCGATTTAGCCTTATTGAAATGATCTTTGCGCGCAGTGTCACTTAGGTACACTATTAATCTCAAAAGTTGGATAGCTGAGCCATTATATTCAAAGGCAGTCCAAGCCTGGGATCATCATGTCTGATTTAGAATACCAGTGGCACCAGGTTGATGAACCTTACTGTAGGAGCTGTATGATGGCGCGACATTGCATTGCTGAACGAAGTCCGCATGAGCCTCGGTCTTGCCAATTCGACTGAGACTCGTGCCCGTACCTGCCACTGTGACCAAGATGTTCCGAAATACAATGAAGTAAGTGGCATACACCTCGAACATTTGACCGTGTTTGTACTTACAATGTCAGTTACTTAACGTCACAACGATGGCAATTTGGCAGACTCTTGGTGTCTAACTGCACGTTACCATAGCCCTCCGTGACGTGGCGGAAACCAATTGGGAACCCTCCCCAGAAGTGTATACTTCCCACGGCTATAACATCAAGTTAGCTTGCCAAAAAAGGCCAAACGTTGGACCGGTCAAGGAACTCGTCAATTCATGCCAACTTTGATCATGTTCACGCAGCCAGCTTACATGTCTAGTACTGTTATAAAGCCTGACTAGGCTCACTAGGCTCATGTCGCTCACTATTTTCTCTCTAAATCCTTCATCATGTTAAACATTGGCGAACATGTTTTGGCACTGGAAGGTATAGTACAATACATTCTTTGGTTTCCCATTTCTCACATTGCCGTAGTTGTCACCGTCACGAACTTTCCCATTCCATCTACTCGCATGCCTACTGGGCATTACGTCCATGTGTCTACATCCAATGGTCAATGGGACACCACCATCAAGACAGCAATGGCCGACTGCAGCATTTCTTGGAATGAGACCCTCACTATCCTTGGGCCCCCTCTGATGTTTCCCCCATGTCTCATGTCCATCTTTTTCGCCAAATCAAACACAATCCACCTCGAAATTCGCGCATTATATGAGCTTGAACCAAGTGAGCTTGTGGGTGCATTTAAGACGACTTTCGGACAAGTACTCGTAAGCGACAGAGAGTCCAGTAAACCCTCACCTTCAGCAATGTCGTCGTCTCCTGAAACCAGTTCTAAAGTATTATGTTCGGCTATTGATGATCGACGTATGTCTCTTACGTTGAAAGCGCAGCGTATAAAAACAACGCAGCCTGTTGGTCATGCTGTGGGCGGTACTGCTGAGGTATAATGTTGATCCAAAGTCTTGTGATCACTGCTAATTCAGTGAACTTTCAGAGCGTTGCAACTGATCAACCTGTGCACCTCCCGATCATCGAAATAACAGAACAACCATCACCTTCACTGTCTCCACACGTGTCATCGGGCAATGTCAAGGTGCGTGTTCTGTATCTTAAGCCGTACCAAGCTTACCAATAAAATGAAGCAGACGTCCCCGTGGGGAAGAAACATCGTCATCTTCGGCGAAAGCGGCGCAGGCAAGAGTTCAATCATCAACACAATCGCGCGGGAACAGCTCGCGGAGACATCTAATGACACAACTGGGTGCACTTCAGGCCACAAACGTTACCCAGTAACAATTTCCGGCCAGAGATTCGTCCTGTTTGATACTGCGGGTCTTGGAGAAGGGCCTGCAGGCACAGTGCCGGATGCAGAGGCGAAAAGACAGCTGAAGAGCTTGCTGCGTCACCTCATGAGCTCTAGGTCGCCGTCAGATGGCATTGACCTTCTGGTGTATTGCGTGTCGTCCAAAATGACTACCCTTCCTGCCATCGTTCGGGCTTACGAGACGTTTTACTCCAGGGTCTGCAGGAAGAAGGTCCCGATCGTCATCGTCGTGACAGGATTGGAGAACGAGCCAGACATGGAGAGCTGGTGGGATACAAACAAGGGTAAATTTAAGAGCATGCATTTCACAGGCCATGCTTGCATCACGGCGCTTCAGGAATACCCAGACATCCCGGACGACTTCACTCGTCGCATTGCAGAGTCGAGCGAGATTCTACGCAATCTTCTTGTCAACAATTGCTCACATTGGGCTGTCGATGACAGTTGGTCTAATCGTATTGCAGGATTGTGGTGCGCTTTGTCGTCGTCGTAGTTGAAGGATTAAATCTACCACAACGTGTATCTTGCTTTCCTTTTCATGCATGGTTCAGTGTCACTCCTTCACGTTTATTTTGGTTCGCCGTCTCTACACCACCCCATCCTTTTATTCCTCTCCCTTGGACACGGAATCACCTCTCTGTGGTTCTTTGCATCAGTGGATCAGTTCTTGCTGACATTATTATTCCAATGTAACAACATCTGTCCTTTTGTATTATTAGATGTTACGATGTGTTACGATATATGATGATATATGATATTAATATCTTGTCACCGGTTCCCAGATGGCAGCCCGCCCCCCTCACTTGATCAAAGACTGAGCTCCTCTTTACTAGTTACTAGTACTACTAGGTAGCGGTCTGCGTCGAATGGCGTTACCTTATGTAAGCTCTACTACTTACTCACTGCCAGTGGGAGGATTGCTTGTTGTATGGCCAGTCGCATGTCGTGTCGAGTCACTTTCTACTTGTAAGTGACTAGTAGCTTGCTAGTAGCAGCTATCATACTTGGAGCTTATTCGTTTTTTGTTGCAGCCGGATCTTATCGAGTCACTTGTCTATTTGTAAGTGACTAGTAGCAGCTATCATGCTTGCAGCTTATTCGTTTTTTGTTGCAGCCTGATCTTGAGACAGCAGTGATTTTTGATTCAAGTTCTGAACACCGAACACTTTGTCACTACTTGTGTGCATTCAAAGATGCACTTCTGGATCCCCGAAGTTGTGCAGCTTATTTTCGAGTATGTCTATGATCCCGGTCGAGCGCAAGAGGACAACGAGGGTCGCGTCACGGTTGCCGGATTAGCACGAACGTGTCAAGCATTTAGAGATCCTGCCCTGGATGTCCTGTGGGCTCAGCTCCACTCTTTGGATGCACTCGTTATCTGTTCTGGTGGGAGGCGAGTCAACGACAATAGCCAAGTAGTGAGCCATCTTGATCTTCTCTTTCCCAGTATCACTCAGATCATCTTGCACTTAGGTCTGGGAGCGTCCACTGTACGATGCGGACTGGCGCATTCTCGCGAGTTATGTGAAACGTGTTCACAAGCTGACAGTCTCGCCTCAGTTGGATACATGGGATATCAGCGCCATGCATATCCTGAATTGTTTTCCTCTTCCAGGAGCGCTCCTTCCGAGCCTCACAGAGTTGAATTGGCTGTCCGATCGTGAAGACATCTTCCCCTTCTTACATTGTTTCTGTGGTCCCACTTTGCAAACCCTCAGGCTTTCACCCGTCGCGTGGAGTATCCGCAAATGTGTCGCTGTTGCGTCGCTTGCGCCGTCGTGTCCTTCTCTCGAGAATTTGATGTGCCTTGGCGCGGATGATTCGTCGATGCAAGCAATCAGCGAGGCAGTTGTGGGCTGGAAGAAACTTAAAACGTTGGAGGCCGGTCCTGTGAACGAACGGGCTTTGACGCATGCTGCCTCCTTGCAAACGCTCCAATCATTGCGTTTCTCTGCTTCATCAGAGCTAACACCCCACGTCTTGGAATTTTGCTCCCCCCATGCCATCTTAGAGATCGCAGCTCCCACACCTTTATCCTTGCAAGCACTCATACAAAACGTCCATTTTTCGATCCAATATTTGTTCTTTCATTGCTCGCTCTACGATGACGTTTTCCCCCACCTTTTCTTCACGCACTTGAAAATATGCGTGGTACATCCCGAGAAACTTACACGGTTGTCATTGGTCATCGAATCGGTATCAACGGAGGATACTAGCAACGAATCGATTGTCCTCACCTCTCTCATGTTGCATCCGCTCCTATCATTCAAGGGACTCAGTCACTTGGACCTTGGGCGTTTATGCACAGCGCATATGGATGATATCTTTCTCAGCAAGTTGGCTCTGGCTTGTCCAAGCCTAAAGGAACTCCACTTGGGTGACCAGGGGGCCTGGCTCACTGCTCCGTTGCTGACCTTTGATGGAGTCATATCTCTCTTGAAGCACTGCCGCCAGTTGTCCTCTCTCGGGGTTTTCTTCAATGCTACTCTCGAAAGCGACGCCGTACATGCGGCCCCGGTCGACGCTATCAGTCCAAAAATCAAATACTTTCTTGTTGGAGTATCCCCCATCGGTGAACCTGTAAAGGTCGCAGCAGTGCTGTCCTTTCTATTTCCTAGTGCCACTTGCATCAGTCATTGCATTCCTTATGAATGGCCTGAGCAGCCTCAGGGAAAGTTGGAAAAGTGGGAGTCAGTCAGTAAGATGTTTGGGACATTTGTCTCAGCTCGGAAGCAGAGTTGGGAGCAAGGATGGGCGGAGGGAAAGGCTTCGGTTGAGAAGATCACAATGGCGTAAATATTGATTCTGTGTACTGAACAGACATTCTACCAATGTCCCTACCCGTAGAAATGCTACAAGTCACATCAGAGATATCCAGAGCGAAAGCTGTAAACATGTGCGTGATATTGTCCCCCGCGAGTAAATATTAGAGCGATACTAGATCACGAGCTACAAAAGACCCGTCAGCGCGAGCGTAATGTATGTCAAGCCACCTCTCGGCATTTGAAAATGAAGAGTCCGGCGCAGGAACACGGTGAACCTGATAATTGTCCCCGCCGATATGCGCAAAGTAGGCCTCAGGGAGACGGGCTTCTTTACTTGGTTGGTGACATGCTTATTTCCCCGATTTTGGTCGATGAAGGGGCAGAGGGCGTAGAGGGTGCGACAGATAACTGTCTGAGCCCTGGCACCTGTGCGGGAAAGGGTCAGATGTAGTGGGCGCTGATTCACGGCGTTCTTGGATGGCCTTGTGGTGGTGGCTAGTTGGAAGACGCGTCATGGGGAGATAAATTACAAGGAGAAAAGCTAGGAGACAGGCATCACACCAGGAAGTGGTAAATGGGACACGGATGTGCGCCCTGTATTGACGTATAATCCATGGAGCAGACGTGATGTGTGATAAGCTTAAGCTGCCTGTGCTCTCACGTACATGCACTCACCATCTTCTCCTCGTCACTAAATCACGTCCTCCATAATTCGGCCTCTACATTCTCCTCCTTCACTCACTCCGCAGCCATCGATGTTGAGGCGCGCTTCGCCAAAGACGACGAGGATTACTACTGAAAGCCTGCCAACGTAGATGGTTTATTTATAAATGTAAAGTGTAGGTATTGTAGGGAGAAAATACATGTACTTTTCTTTCCAGAAACATAAATTTTACGTTCAGGGCACTGATCTCTGCGTAATAGAGGCGCACACCTGCACGTCAGGTCGCGTCCAAAGGTAACCGTCTCCTCGTTGATCGGGAATGCTGCTACCCATTCATTTGCCGTCCGTTTCATCAGCCGCAGCGTCCCAAGTGAGAGCCCTATTTCGCTGCCATCCATATGCGCCGGGCCCGCCGATGAACGAGTTCGAACAACTTGAAGATGAGCCCACGGTTTGTTTGATTGTGATTGTGTAGGTCATGTGACCGCGTCATTTATAGCGATAAAATAATGCATGCAAGTAGCTCGCCAACCACAGGAATGCCGCATCTGAATATCATTACAAAAGTATGAAGTGTATCACAAGTATTGTGATCAAGAATTATAAGTGCGGCACTAAACTAGTCCATGACACTGCCTTGTATGCGTCGGGAGGAAGATTGCGTAAAGTAGTGAACATGAGTACCAAGAGGACGGCACGAGCTGTGATGTACAATATGACAGATACACCAGTAGTCAGAATACATACAATCTGAACGACCCGCGGTATCAAACCGTGTATGACACCCACAAGAAAACAAACCCAGGGTGTGAAAGTTATAGCGATGGCACTCATGCGCCATAACACGCGTTCCTGATATGTGGGGAACGCAAAAAACCAAGCCATACAATGGATGCCGCCAAATATGGTTGCCATAAGCAATCCAGAAAGCAGAAGAACCCTCTTGTCCGAACCTTCGAGAGTGATACTGCCATCAAATGTTGGAACTCGGAGCTTTCGAGATATGGGCATGAAAGGCAAGCCTATCAGGTCTGTAATTGAGACGAAGACTGGTCCCAAGATCGCCCATACAGCGCCTTGGGAGCTTTCATGGACGCTAAGGTAAACACAATCAGCAATGGTACAATTGTTGAGGCGCATACATACTTAGGCTCATTAACATTAATATGATTCTCTGGCCTTGACTCAGTCGACTTCCAGTACACCGGATGTGGACATTGCACATTGAGAGGCTTGTTCCACCACACAGCATATGTGAGGAAATTGAGAACCGCAAAAGCGAGCGTCCCCGCTTCGAGCTGGGTGGTTTCGAGATGATAGATGGCGCGGGTGATGAGTTGCATAACAAACCAGGCCACCTGAAGCATGATTAATCCTTTCGATATCGCATTTCCTTTGCTCCTGTCGTGGATCTGGTTTGCCGTTAGGGTAGGGGCGTCGATACACTGGTCACGTATCAGCTTGAGGACCTCGTCAGGCTGTAGTGTGTGATAAGGTTTCCCATCCACATAAAGCATGAAACCACCCATCAGCACAAAGAAGCTGTGCGTCTGAGTCCACGTATAATCTGAGGATGCACATGAGCCAACGTTTAGGTGAGCACGACTGGGGCTTACCTTCAGATTGCTCTGAGAAATAAGCCTTAATCGAGCTTTTGACCCACCTCGTGAGAGCACCAGGGAAATGCCTAAGAAACACCAGCACAGATGATACACCTTCAGTAAGCACTGCAAGGAGGCGAAGGGAGCAATTTTCGCGTTGCTTAGGTGCTTCAACAGACTGCTTTTCTAAAGACGTGTAAAGTGAGTTGTGAGATGCAGAGTTTCCAAGAACACAACTCACCTACGCTGGGATACCCCGATTCCTCGATCTGTCTTGTAACTTGACGAGCGCTGAACCACTGGCGCATAGCCCATGTGACGATCAGTTCAGGAGTGATCAGTGCCATTATCATGATCCCAACTCGCCGCCGTACGATACCATTAGGACTGTCTTTGGGACTCGGAATATTAGGATGAATGGCACTGTATATGCACGCAAATAGAGTGAGAACGGAGCTGGAGATGATGGACCATATGGTTCTGGTCGTGAATGATGGAGCCTCAAAACTGTCGGTGGTAGTAGTACTTGTTAACGTTGTATTTATTGTTGGTGCAGCTTGGATGACTCCAACGAGGTAGAAGAAGATGCAAAAAAGTACTAGTAAGGGCATTATTGGATGTTACTTGGGTGTATCGTACACGTATCATCTAGCATGTGTCCTGTCCACTATTTGTATCTCAGAAGGTACAACATTAATGAGGCCCTGGCTTGCCTGATGTTTGCAGCATGGCAAGCAGATCCGGGACTCGGAAGTATCTCTTCATCGGACTGAGCTCAAGTGAACCAAACTGCAGCCGGTCTGTGACGCGTGACGGCAGCTGGCTGGGGCCTCCAATAACATTGTACTAATTACGACACACGTCAAGCCCGGTGTGGTTGTCGATGGACATCTTACGATTCTCTATTCGAACTGCCTCTGGTTCGCAGCAGTCCTGGCTGACAGTACTAGTGACAGCTCTTCTTATAACAACTCGGATATGTACGACTCCGGGGCCGAGTCCATTGGTAATGAACCACATATAGTGCTAGCACCCTCCCAAGCTTGCACTGCCGGCGCTGCAGCATGCGAAAGAGATTTCAAAGGCTGGCAATTATTCACGTTAGTACATGCCTTCGACGTTCTAACTTGAAAACCAATGTTTCATTACTATTCCAATCGCAGGCTTCTATCTGCCACTATACTAATTCCACTTGGTGAGCTTTTAATCTGCTTAGAGCACAGCCAGACTTCATGCACCAGGATGAATATTGCAATAACGCCCTTCGAAGCTTAGTGGGATTGAATATCCTTGTTGCTTTCACTCGGACAATCACAAATTGCATCCCACTTGAAACGGTTGAGGTTACCCTGTGCATTAGAAGACTAATGTGAACGGTTCGTATCATAACTCACACATAATTCAGCCGCAGTGCAACTCACTTGTCAACTTCCTAGATCAGATCAAAATTCCAAAGCTGGGACCCCATATTCATAGGTCGACTAGATACCCGATTGTTTTGAGACTGCGGCGCATTTGCTGTACACCTGCGACAGGGTTTACAAGCGAAATCTCTCACACAACGAAGGTATGTGTGACCATCGCGAATAAGCTATGGGTTATCGTGCTGATTGTAGGCTTAGGCGAACGGTTGTCAGGTTCAAATCATACACCCGGACTGGGGTTCAACCTGGTTCGATGAATAACTGACATCCTTTGATACATCCAGGGTAATCTGCGTAACCGAACCGAACCGTGTTAATGCAATGTCTTTTATTCACTCATCGGCACCCTCAAGTCGATCACCACGGCATCGAAGGCTTACTGGCGCCTCAAGAACAGGATTGATAAGGCCCAACAAAACGTGTGCATGTACGTGTGAGCGTCTGTTCTAATAGCCTCCACGATAAGTACCTTGAGGCTTGTGCTGTCCGAAAACAGTTAACAGTGATGACCCAGGCCTAACGCGTGTCCAATGACATAATTTGCTTTACCCTCTCTTCGGCCAACTAACGTTAAACTGGGCCGTTGGTTCAGTGACGAGAATTTTCAGCCGATCACGACTAAGACTTCTTAGCAGTCCTGGAGAGAAAATTCACATCTTCGATTTCCAACGCCAGGATGCCCTTGGGCCTTGCCTGAATATCACCGATTGACATAACATATCTAGCTAACGCAAGAGAAATGCCCTCCCCAGTATTCTGGCGCTGCGGGGGATATTTGTGGGCGGCGAGTTGGGAAACCGAGTCAAAAATTGAAGAACGATCTCCGCACCAATGGTCCACTTACGTGTCAGCTTGAGTACCTCATCAGGCTGCAGCTGTAGTGTGGAGTTCCTCGTCCATATGTAGCTAAATCATGAACGTAAAAAAGCTGTGTTGTAAATCTAGGGATGAATGTGAACGGCAGGGGGGATAGGTGGTTTGAAAGGACACGAATCAGAATTACGATTGCTCTGAGAAACAAGCCTTCGACTACTTTTTGGATCACCCCGAAAGAGTCCGAGTTCCCGCATATCCTGCACCACAGGGATATGACTATTGAAGAAAAAACAAAGTGCAGATAACTCACTTTGGGAATGCTGTGTGGGAGCTTCATGACTGGAATTCAAGAAGCAATATCAATCCATATATTTAATATTGTCTCGTCGCTGATCCATCTCACTAAGCATATTGCAAAGAGCGGACTCAGACACAGAGATAAGCGCACACTAGTGCGTTTCAAAGCTGTAAACATATGCACCTAAATTCATGGTATCATGTCTAATGGCAAGAGTCAGAACTAGGTATAGCGAGTAGCTAGATAAATATAACGAATGTGCAAACATACCTCAGGAATAACGACTGAAGGAAAAAAAGATTAACGAACGTGTGACTATAGTAGGCGTTGCGTTCCGACGCGTACTGATATGTATATCTCAACAGTCCTCGCGAGTAAATACTAGAGCAATGCTAGAACATCTGACTTTCCACGCCTTATTAATGCCATAGAATAATTATTAAATGTCCCCTTCGCAATAACTCGTCACTCACAGTCGGTTTCTAGTACGCGCAAGTCTTTTCTGCTTCCCTCTAACTTTCCTCTCGCTGCGAATCAGACAGGCCTGTCGAATGAGATCTTGCAATTCTTGTTCCGCCTGTTGCTTCAAAGAATCGTATCCGAGTTCTTCAGCTGGAGCAAATGTTGAGAATAGACGTCCGGCGCCATCATACATGATATGTTTCTCGACCCACTGATGGGCAGCTTGGCGATCGTCCAGTCCTTTGACCACGACGACGACCGGTACCACATTCCCGCGATACGCTGTACAAAACGCGTAGAACTTCTGACGAGCTGCAGAAAGCTCGTCAGCGCGAGCGTAGTATATGAGAAGATCCCCTTCAGGCCTTCTCTCGGCATTTGAAGATGAAGAGTCCAGTGCAGGAACACGGTGAACCTGATAATTGTCCCCGCCGATGCGCACAAAGTAAGGCTTCAAGGTACCACGGATGCAGTGTGCAATCTCGACTTCTTCGTTTCGAGATGGGTCGCAGATGACGAGAGTGGAGGGCAGAGACCTTTCGCTATTCCCACTATCGCTGATCATGTTTCGCACAGCAGCGAAAGACTGTTTGAACCAGCTGTCGTCAACCACCCAATCCGAGCAATTCTTGACGACAAGGTTGCGTAGAGTTTCAGAAGACTCTTCGATGCGACGGGTGAAGACATCTGAGATTCCTGAGTGTTTTTGAAGCGTTGTGACGCATGCATGGTCTTCGAAATGCATGCCGCGACTCTTGAACTCCTTCTCATTGGCACCCCACCAGCTCTCCATGTCCGGCTCGTTCTCCAATCCTGTGATGACGACGACAATCGGGACCTTCTTTCGGCAGATAGCAGAGTAGAAAAGATTGTAGTTCCGAATAAGAGCGCGACGGGCTCTCGTGCTACGCACGCAGTATACCAGAAGGCCGATCCCATCCGATCTAGGGCTCATGAGCTCATGCAGCAAGCTCTTCAAGTTTTCGTCCGCCTTTGCCGCCGGCACCGTGCCTGCAGTGCCTTCATTGAGACCCGCGGTGTCGAATAGGACAAACGTCTGGCCAGAAATTTCGACTCTATGGCGTTGATAGGCGAACGTGCATCCAGTTGCACTGCTAGATGTCTTCGCTAGCTGCGTTTGCGCGATCGCATTGATGACTGAACTTTTCCCTGAGCCACTGTCACCGAAGATGACAATATTTCTTTCTAGCGGCCGAATCTGCTACATTTATCAGTAAGCCTTGGGGTTATGTGATTCAAGAAGTAGGCCACGTACTTTGCTCATTGATGCCTGTGGCAGTAGGGGTGGGGGAGGAGATGGCAGTGGTGACGGCGAAGATTGTTGTCCTTGTTCGGGGGCCGTTATGCCGCGTTGACTCGAAGCAGACGAGCGCAAGTCGAGTGCCTCTAGGTGGATGTCAAGTGCTATTCTTTCGTAAAGGTCAGAAGGATCGCCGTGGTGATTGAAACGGTGCCCGAGAGTGTCCGATAAAACGCCGGGGAGAATACTAAGTTGATCATCATCAGCACGACATACTGCCAGTGCTTCACGTGACAGATGAACAGCCTCATAGAAATGGTCTTTATTGCCGTCTCGTTCAAACCGTGCATAGAGGTCTCCAGCAAGCTTGTTTAGTGAGTATGCACGATGTGGGTGCCGTGGCGGACAAAGTTCAAGCACAATTCGCCGAAGCGATATACTCTCGTCCGAAGGATCACTAGGAAGTGTGTTGCACTGCTCGATGACATATGGTATGCCGTTGGTATCGAATACTACTTGATGGAGATGGCTGCCCTCGACACAAAGCGGTAGAATGGAGCGGTAAAGATCTGCGGCCTCACGGAGATCGGAATGGTCCCTTTTATGGGCATGACGCTTGCAGAGAGCATGGCAAAGGTCGAGGATGGATAACGGATGTTCGATATGTCCTCGGGGACGGAGCGTGAGTGCGGATCGGAAAAGGTGAATTGCTCGGTCAATATCGCTTTCAATAGTCTTGGCGAAACCACATAAAATGGCATGAGCAAGGTTGGAAAGCGCTGCAGCGCGATGTGCATGACCATGGGGACATTGGTCAAGCACTGCCTGAAAACCCTCAATGGCGCTATGGAAGTGCTCGCGAAGGTTGCTCCTCCAAAAGAGGGTGTATGCATCGCGTGCTGCATCAGTTTCAAGACCGATTTTACACTTGAAATTTAATTATATTAGCATTGACCGTAAGTCGTTGAATTGATGAAATACCTGCATGGTACCGTCTGCATCGTAGTATGGTACTTTTTTACGCCGTGCCTTCAATTTAAGAGATATGCGCTGATTATCAACAGCCAGGAATGATACTTCGAAACCGCTGTCAGGGAACAACGACATTGTGAGAAGTAAGAACTCACCGGACTGTCCGTCGTGCGCAAGCAATTGTTCTAAAGTCGTCTCAACTGTACCCACAAGCTCGCCTCGACCAAGCATTTGGCCACACTCAAATGAGGCGCGAATTTCGAGGCGGATTTCTTTGGAGGAGCTGGAAAAGAAGGGTAGAAGCCACATGGGAAACATCAGTGGGCTTCCACGGATGGTGAGGGTCTCATTCCAAGAAACACTGCAGTCGGCCATTGCAGCCTTGATGGCAGTGTTCCACTGACCATAGGAGGTGGAGACAAGGACATAATGGCCCGCTGGTGTGCGATTAGATGGAACGGCAAGGTTTTGGCCAGTAATCACTGCATGCACGTGGGAATATGAGAAATGTGAGATAGAAGGATAATTATGAGAGGTATGATACCTTCCAGTACTAAAACATGTCCGCCCAGCATGTATAGAACTTATATAAGGCCGGCGTATTAAGGCTGCTTGATAGGCTCAGTGATAGTGGAGGATTTGGAGGGAAAGCGGCTGCAAGAGGATGCAGCTTTAGTATGAATCACGGCGACATGCCAGCTAGGATTCTCTGTGAGCATTTTCATGCGCATGTTCAAATGTGAAAGTTCCGACATGACCTGTATACTATTGCATTGCCTGTATGTTGGAGAGACGCTCAAGCGAAAGTGAATGTGTTCGAGGCAAGGAGGCGGTTCTGATTTAATTAATACCAATTATGTAACGTGTTCGAACTTCGAAGTGACCCACAATGTTCCGTTTCTCTCGATATCGATCATTGATTGAGTTACTTCAGGATCACAGCTCGAGCTTCAAGTGGACTTACCACCTCAGGCTCCACAAATCGCGTTAGTGAGCGCTTGGAGAATCGGAACTTATCCGAGATAGCAGCGCCACATCTCAGGGAGGAGCACCGTGCTGGTGACGATCGACCATGCCTGCATGTGGTGGTTGGTGGGCAGGAAACCTGCGATAATCCTGGAGGCCGGCCCCTATTTAGAATTCTTATGGACTCTGTCCTTCCTACAGTGACTGCCATTTGATTCCGGGAGAATGCGGAACCAGAAATCCAGCAGGGTTGTGAGCTTCTGGTAAATTTGCAGTGAACTTGATTCATTGTTTTTTTTAGCGTGTTCTCTCTTCGATGTCATCAAGATGAATGAAATTTGAACCTGTTCGAGAACGGTCCAGGTTGTAGGCAAGTCGTCCTGTTAAAAATTTCGAGGTTTCACTGTGTCCGAGATGCTGTGTTGTCTCGGAAGCACGCCAAAATGCAGCGTGGTGACTCAGTCGGTCTTTTAATTATATACTGGCACCAACGTTTTTTCGACGTGTACTCGCATTTGAAGGTTCATTAATACAACGGTTCGTCACGGTAGTAAGAGTGTTGCTCGTGCGAGGTACTCGGTTTGTAGTGCGTCCATCCAGATTCCAAACCTCGATGTTCCTGCTAATGTACTTCATGTTCACCTCTGCTCATTCCCGCCAATGCTGGTGTCTTATCACTGGACGACATCGCGACTTGCAGTGGTATCGCACGCTGTATAGCATTATCTCAAGTTGTATCCTCACCCTTTTCGCCTGCACATGGACTTCGATCCATCTGAACATTTCATGTCATTCGCCACGTGCCGGAATCATACTCGCCGCTTTGGTTGCTCCAAAGTTAGTGATCTTATGGGCCATGCGGCAAATCTTCCACGCGGGCAAGTTTGTAAATAAATTCAATGATGAATTATTCAAGGGTGAGTCGATTCGTGAACCGGGATTACCACTTAGCGTTACAGGGAGTTTCCGGTGGAGTAGGACCCATGGGTTCTTTGCCATGATGGGCGGGTTTATACTCTATTACAACGGTCAACCTCATCACACCCTTGCCCGACGAACTTTTCGACTTCATACTTTCTGGGAGAGTCGATCAAAACCAAGCTGTAGAGATAACTGGGGATGAGATTAAAGACAAGAGTAAAAGGGACGTGGTCTCCAAGGCAGTCCTTGTCCTACAGATCACCTGGTTTCTTACTCAATATGTCACCCGCTACATCAAACACTTGGTAATTACGCAACTTGAAGTTGGCACGCTGGCGTTCGCCGTGCTGAATATCATCACCTGCTGTTTCTGGTGGAAGAAACCCCTTAATGTGCAGCGTCCTCATCGTGTGTATTTCAAGGACGAGGTACAGGAACCCTGTAACATCAAGTAGGTTGAACAACGTCAAATTCGCCGCTTCTCACTAACGAATTGAGTTAGAGAAAGAGGTGATTCCGACGAATGGGATACACCGATTTACCGCGTTTTCGGACCATTTTTTGGCATGCTGGGCGGCCTCGTCGACCATAAAGATGACCTGAAACTTTATTACGAGCCTCTTCGGGTTCCCACATTTTTGCCGATTACCAACGCCTTCAATTGTAAACGAGACACCAAGATAATAAGTCTTGTCGGACTTGTAGTGATGGTCATTTTCGGTGGACTGCAATTTTTCGCATGGTTTTCCCTCTTCCCTACACACCTAGAGCAAGGTGAGTACGCTCATCATCACTGGCTTACCTTTGTTTGTTGTCCCGTGCATGCTGCTCGTCTCTATCGGCGTCGCCGAAACGGCGGTAGGATTGTTCTTGTTCTTCATTTTACCAGTGATATATTTCGTTGCACGTATAGTCTTACTGACACACATGGTTATTGATTTGCGATCGCTTCTTTCTGACGCATACAAAGCAGTATCTTGGATATATCTCTTTCCTTATTTGTAGCAATCTATACTTACTAGGATTGTTTGCAACACCTTAGCGATGCTCAATTTCAAAGACGACACTAAACTCCGTAGTTTCTTATCAACGCTCGAGTTTCATACGTGGCCTGGTGCCCGCTGTTAACCAATATTTGCTTAGCTAACTACTGCCCCTGTCCTCTCCAATCTGATGTCAAGTTCAGTTTTCTTGCGCTGATCGTCACATACCAATCACACATGATGACACAGCCATGCCGCCTCATGCATCTGTCACAGTCGCATTGGCAGACCGCCGTACTTGTTGAGTCAACCCTGATAAAGTGTGTTAAACTGTATAAGATCGTCGCTGTATACAAATGCTAACGGATATCGAATCTCCAGGCAAATGCCAGTTGTAAATGAAAGCCTCACTGCAAGTAATCTTGGCACCGAGACTTCTTAAAATGAGGCTTTCATTTGCAACAACAAATGGTATACCCATGGATAAATGGGTCTGCTGGGAGGCCACTTGGCCAACCGTCATCTTCGATATCTGGTCCGCGGGAGATGTTTGCCGGGTAAACCCGATTAAGTACCATCTTCGAATGAACTAGTGAGTAACTAACGCCCGAACATATCGCTGCATGCATCATCTCAAGTGATTACGTAGGGTTGTTCTAGCGCGCAAAGGTCTGACAACAAGAGCACAATTTATAGCCTACAATCACCTAGAACAATGTCGTTCTAAATTCAACCTCCCTTCCTGCATCCCCGGTACTCTTTTACATCCATGGCGCACGCGCCCAGCACAGCTCCACTAAACTTCATTGTCTTCGGTGAGATGGGCGTCGGGAAGAGCTCGTTGATAAATCTCGTTGCTGGGAAGACACTCGCCAAGTCCTCTGCCGGTTTAAAATCCTGCACTCTCGAATCAACCGAGTATACAATCGCATTATCTGAACCCCAGCTTAATGTCAAATTATTTGATACAGTGAGTACGTGAATTGTTCCAACGTGCCGATATTTTAAGTCGAGACCCATACAGGTGGGGTTGAATAACACCACAATGAATGACAAGAGTTATCTAGATGCGCTAGTGAAGGCGCATAAAACTCATCGCCTCCCTCCAGAACCAAGGAGGTGTACACGGCTTGCTGTTCTGCATCAAGGGCGGCAACAGAATATTGGAATCTACGCAGCAGAACTACAGGTTGTTCCACGAGTTCCTGTGCCAGGAGAAGGTGCCCCTTGCTCTGGTCATCACCAACCTCGAGAACGTAGAGAACATGGATGACTGGTGGATGGAAAACCAGGATGTTATTAAAGAGTATGGAATAGCTCCCGTTACGCAGGTCTGCATCACTACCATCAAGGGCCTCAAAAACGTATACGAAGAAAAATACTCGGAATCCAGGAAGAAAGTATGTGATATGTTGACTACGCTTGGAAGGGGAGATGCGTGCTTGGTGGATATTAACTGGTTTGCGCGGATGTGCAAGAGGCTGCGGCAGTTTTTCATTCCAGGCAAGGCGCTAGGGAAGAGTCGTGAAAAGATGTTACAGACGCTCACGAAGCGTTGCAAGCTGCCCAAGCAAGATGCAGTGCAGCTTCTTCAAAGGATTGAATCCGACGGCGAGGAGAACTAGTGACTTGACTAAGGCTCTTGTATTTTATTGAACATGATACTCATAGACTACCCAATACTTAGTAGTATATCCAATTATCTAGCATGCTGTCATACATATACCCCCGTCTCGCAATCGATCCACTCTGCTCACAAATGTTTGCACTGTGGTCAAAATTCCGAACCATATGGTATACTGGCGGCCTGGCTTACTACGCCCACACCGGTCTCTCCTGAGAGCTGCCTCCTATGTTGGACCCTTGAAGCTGTGAAGCTGTGTGCAACGTCGATCGATACCCCTCTTCTGTTTGTTCGCAACACGTTTGGATGTGCAATTTGGTCAGCTTTAAATCCTGACGTGTCATACCTTTCGGCGTCCTGAAGAACAGCCCCGCATGATCGGGCAGGGAGCACCAATTCATAATACTGCTGCTGCGATATTGCAAGCGCTGTCAGGGACTCCGATCTGTGCCCTGGCGCTCGTAGTCTTCCTTAATCAGTGTCGTTAAACGTCCCTTTTTAATAATGTGGCAGCCAATGACTGCTTGTCTAGCCACCGTGACGAGGTCAGGGTTCACCATGCTTTGCACAAATAAGTTCAAAAGTACTGATTAGACCCTCGAGAACCTCACGATAATGCTCATTTGAACAGCATGGTGCTGCAGGGCTACATAGCAGTAGCAAGTTGCGCCGTCTTTGAGAAATTACTTGGGAAGCGTCGACTGCATTGAGTTGAATGAGAAGAAATGAACATGCACCGTGCGCGACTATAAACAGCTCTGATAACCAGCAGCAGATTGCTAACCGTCCGCGCTTGTGGCAGGAATATAAGGGCGAGAGAAACGGAGTGCCACACATTCTGCTGGCAGGAGCCGGAGGGCAGTGATAGGAGGGCAGGTGAGAAACATGCCGCGGCAAGGCGTTCTGTCTGCTATGTCAGTCACGTGTATGTTCAGCCACCGACTCAACGATACGATAGTTGGAACTTGGCCTCTACCTAGTTCACTGCTCTATTGGCGCTATCTTCGGAGTCGCCGACGACATCGATAGTGCAGTGGAGAAGCGTAGATTTGTTCTGCGCTCTTTGTCGTTTCGTGTCATTCGTGTTTGAGACGATCAACTGCCTCCACTGGCAGGACCCAGGTGGCTTTTCATGAAATCACTGCGTGACGCGATGCTAACTCTAGTACTATCGGATTTAGATGTTGGAAATGAAAGCCTCATGAATACTGCGTGTATATGGATGCAATAATTCTGTTGGACGATGCCGCCCTTGGTCATGGGGGACTTCTTCAGCGGGTAAATCCGATGGTTTCCCTTCTAACGCGCAGCCTTCATGCATGAACTGATCTAGGGCGTCAAATAGTAGCATACCTGACAGGGTGACAGAGGTGTGTCATCCTAACAATGAGCATTCAACATTTTGTATATACCCTGGAGCTCTCGCTCCACGCCTCCCTTCTTGCTCCCACCTGGATACCGTTTCGCGCCACTGTGCGCGCACCCAGCAGTGCCAGTCACTCCCTCCAGCTTCCGCAATGTCCTCTCAAACGGGACCACCAACTTCATTATCTTTGGCGAGATGGGCGTCGGCAAGAGCTCGTTGGTAAATCTCATTGCTGGGGACCAACTTGCCGAGTCCTCGTCCGGCGCTCAATCATGCACACTCGAATCAACCGAGTATCCGGTCACATTTTCGGATTCCCAGCTTAATGTAAATCTATTTGATACAGTAAGTGGACGCAATGATTCCCAGCGTGTGGGTATTCTAATCCAAAACAATCTAGGTGGGCTTGGAACAGCCCCACTATGAATAACGCGGGGTATTTGGATGCCCTGGTGAAGGCACATGAGCTCATCGTCTCGCTCAAGAACCGAGGAGGTGTACATGGCCTACTTTTCTGCATGAAGGCTGGCAGAGTGTCGAACACTATGCAGCAGAACTACAGATTATTCTACGAGTTCCTATGTCAGGAACAAGTGCCCCTCGCTCTGGTCATCACCAATCTTGAGAATGAGGAGAATATGGACGACTGGTGGACGAAGAACAGGGCACATATCGAAAATTCGGGCATTGTCCCCGTCACGCATGTCTGCATCACAACCATTAAGGGCTTCCAAAACGCATACCAAGCCAGATACCTCGAATCCCGGAAGAAGGTGCTAAATATGCTTAAGGAACTTGGAGATCGTGATCCATGTTCGGTGGACGTGAGCAGTTGGTTTGCGCGGATGTGCAAGAAGCTGCGGGAGTTTTTGGTTCCGACGAAGGGGTTGGGGAGGAGTCGTCAAAAGATGTTACAGATGCTCACGAAGCGTTGCAAGCTGCGCAAGGAGGATGCGGTGCATCTTCTTCAAAGGATTGACGCGGATGATGTAGGGGCTTGATTAAATTTAACAAACGTCATGCTCATATATTAATATCCTGAAGGCCTGATAGGCTATCGAGTATTTAGTACTAGTACTTCATCCAAGCATACCAGCATTTCTTATTCATACAATACAATACTACCGTCTGGTGATTGATCCGAGTGTTATCGGATCACTCTGCTCGAATTCGACCGCATATAATGGACGTTCACATCGATCCCTCTTGAGCTTGAATTTGCAGTAGTAACCTCGTTTGGTTCCCCTGAAATTGTTCTAGTCTCTCCTAGGCAGCCTGTGACCTTGGCGACGACAATGCATTATGCAGTCGTTGCTATATCAGGATTCCTAGGTTTGTTCCTTGATTCAGGAACAAACCTAGGTAAACGTTTACTCCTATATCATAGCCAATACTTGCGCTCATTGTCACTGCATTCTGTAATTGGCCGCGCCCGAGGCTCTTCCCACTCGGATAAGCATATAACTATATACCTTGCTGGCAGGAACTAGTACCGGCAGTCTCCAACATGACTGAGCAACTCCCCCCGTATACTACGCTTCCACAGCCAGAGCCCGAACCACCGCAGTATACTCTTCCAGAGACATTCAACATCGGACGATGCAACACGCAGCACCTCGTCCGCCCAGATCAGCTCAAGGCCATCTTCAGCTTCTGGCAGCGTTCAGCCACCTTAAGCAGCGGGTCGTTGCCAGCGAGAGCCTTATCGCAGGATTAGAGTCGGACAGTGAGAAACGTTGGGTATGGTTCGTCAATTTGGCCGTTGAACGGTGCGTGCCTCGCCTGCGTTGTGCGTGCGCTTGCACTGGTACTCACTGCACTGGTGGAGCGCAGGTTCGAGAGGTGGTGTTTGACAATCAAGCAATCTGATACAGTAGAGCAACGACTGCCTCCCATTGATGTCACCATGGTGTGGCACTCCTATCTCCTGAATCCGAGGCAAGCATGTCTTTAATTCTTCATAAATAATGAATCTAACGTTTTTCGGTCACATCCGCAGCTGGTATGCGGAAGACACCGCGCGGATCTCCAAGCTCAAACCTCTCGCTCATTTCACTGATTACTTTCCTAACCTCCTCGTGCGCCACAACACTTTGAACGATGTCCCGAGCTCGCTGAACGTTATGCTAGGTCAACCATGATCTACTAACCACTGACGCACCACAACATGAACGTGTCCTCTGCTTGGGAGCGCCGTACCAAATTACCGTATGATCCATTTGCATCTGCTGCGGATCTCACACACAAATCTATCGAGTGCCCATACTGTTATCGCACGGTTCTTTCGCGTATGTCCCTTGTGCTTGCATGGCATGGGAATCCATTCTGACAACCAGCTGTAGCGTTCTTGCAGCCGAACGGGAAGGGATATGCCCAGAGCAACTTTAGTGTCGAGTGTGAATGTGCTCAACCAATTACGAAGGAACTTCTCGGGCTATACAAGTTTGCGAAAAACATAGTTGAACCAACAGCGCCTGATACATATCTGGCGTGGGTGTCGCTTTGCTGACCATGTTGAACGACATCTAATATAATCTTATACACACAGTGCAACTCTACATACACCACGTAACATCTACGACACTGGGCGCGGAGACACGATCAAGAAGCGCGTCCTCAGCTCGTATATCATTTTCCAGAATAACGAGGCAAGTGATCCCGTGCGCCAGATCTTGATAAACGTCCAGTATGACGCTGCGCGCATGCGTACCGTACTGAACAAGCATTTGAAGCCAAGATTGTATGTCTTATTTTTGTTGCAATGAATACATTTTCTCAATTGAGGGACAGGTTGAATAAGATCATGGTGCCTACACGGACGACAGGGTGTTTTCACTCGATTTGGTCGGTGCTGTAAGCAGACCCTCACGTTAATTGTATTCAAGGACTGATGTACGAATCTAGGTCCTCCGACAAGCATCGTTTGTGAAGAAGATGGTCAACCTTGGGTGGACCGAGCCAGGATATTTTGCTAGCGAGGTAGATACAGTGGCGCTGCAGCATTGCATAGCTCGGTATCACGCGTGCGTACTTGCTTCTTTCTTTCTACGGACTGCACAAAACATTGCTCTGCAGCTTTTTGAACATCATGGCAGAGTCCTCCTGCCTCGTTCTTCGTGCCCACGCTCGACATCGATCTCGGGTGGCATACCCATCAACTCATGGCGAGTCAGTATCAAAATGACTGCCTCTCGCTCGTGGGACGATATGTTAATCAGTATGTGTTGTCATACAATGCGGAACACGCATAATGAATACGCATTTTTCAGTGATGACAAAGTGGAAGAAGGTCAACTTGCGACCTCCTTCGACATTACCTGTCGTGCTTGGAACGTAAGCTATTTCCCTGGAATACGATATTCCCATTAAACTCCTCTAAATCATAGGACCGTTATCGCGTACCCTACATGCACTGCGGGTGTCCACTGCCAGGAGACACAATCGGCCAAAAGCTCCGACGCCTCGTCTCCTCTCAAACCACCAGCAACGTGCTTTTACTCCCTCCCAAATCTGACGCACGTGCTGCTACGCACCCAAGTGATCACAACGCCGTGTTTGCCCTGCACAATATGTCCGCAAGCCTGCGTCAACGGAAGAACCGTGCACGCAAGGCAGAGATCCGGAGACTGCGTGCAGAGCGGAACGGGAGGGCTGTGAAGAGGGATGGGGATGTTGATCATGGGATTGCATTTTTGTATCCTGTGCCGATGTTCTATTACTACGCTGGTGGATGCGTTGCTGCTGCTGGAGCGGTGGTGAATGGAGGTTTGGGGTGTGCAGCGGTGAGTGTCGTTGTGTTTGGATAATGAGGGATGCTGATATCAGGTTTACAGGGGGCAGGCGGCTGCTCGATTGGTGCTGGTGGTTGTGGGACGGGATGTGGTGGTGGCTGTGGAGGCGGGGGTTGTGGAGGCGGGAATGTTTTTGGAGGCGGAGGCGGGGGTGGTTGTGGAGGCGGAGGCGGTTGTGGAGGTGGAGGCGGTTGTGGAGGCGGGGGCGGAGGCGGCTGTGGCGGCGGGTAAACCAGACTGCCTGCAACATTTTCTTGAATCTTAAATGTCTCTATGTAAGCTTATCTGTAAGATATTCGTCCGGGATCAGATATTGTACTATATATTGATTGGTCTTCATAGCATCACGACAATACAACTTCGCGCTAGCCAACAGTACCGTTATCAATTCCCATGATCGAGAACATCCTCTGCATCTGCGAAACGAAGCGGCATGTGCTTGTGCGATATATATCACTAACATCCCGAAATTGAACATGGAAATGCACGTGTGAAGGAGGTCGATCAACAACGTTGTCGTAGCCTGGATCCTTTGTTTAGGTAAGGCAGACGTTCCGGAGGAACTTCGTCACCTCAGTCCTCGAGATCCTTGAGTTGACAGACTTGCCGTAATGTTTGCGAAGAACTCTCATTGAAAGCACCATAATGATTCAGCTATTGCTCAGACATAAAGACAAAACAGCATTGATGTATTCCTTCTTATAATTCTGTCGTGTCTTTCCTGCTAATGAATGAGAGACCCTCTGGGTTTTGTGAGCGATTCAGCGATTCCAAGGAATGTTTCAGCAAGTTGAACCTAAAAACATGTCAAGTGGGCTTGACGCTCGCCGCTGGATGAAATTGCATACCGTATCTAAGGCTTCTGTGTATGAGGACGGTGTAACTGCTGCGGGGGCCAAGTGGTCTCGTGGGGCATTGTTCTGGATCTCAAGAGCGACCTGAAACATCCTTCTCAATGTCGCGGAATGTCTATTTGTGCCAAAAGACACGGAGTGGAAGGATAGTGCTTTTCTATATCGAAGTTAGGAAATCAATGAATCAAAAGAACAGCCACAAACCCGAGGCGGACTGCAGCGTGGCACAAATCTTGAACAGTTTGGTTCTCGATAGGGCACTCGCCATCCGACAGAAAGATGATAACAGGAGTTCTATAGTATACACCTGTATAAACATTGTACAGATCAATCGATAATCTGGGACTCACCTCTCCGTGCTCCAGTGTTGCTCCATGACTGACTGGGCACGTTGAATCGCAGCAGTGAAATTTGTGCCTACCGAAGTGTTGTGACGTATCACAGCGTCTAGTAGCTGGTCAGGCGAGCTGGAGAAGTCGTTCACCACGACGTCCACAACGGACCGATCAAATAGGATGATACTGTAAGAGTCTCGTCTGGCTGATTGTCGACCAGCAACTGCCGCAGCTCGGGCAGACCAAAAGCCGTACAGGGACGAGAGAACGGCGCCAAACCTGTTGTTAGAACGTTGGATAATTCTGTCTGAGGCAGGAGTATTCCTGAGAGGTTGTCGGTCTGTCAATCTCATAGAACTAGATCTGCCAATAGTCAGCATGCGCTGTGATATTCAACATGTGGCATGTAATACCTATCCGCCACAAAAATTCTGGTGTACGTTCATTAGCAACTTTCCTGTAGAACACAAGAAAAGATACCTTACACATGGAATGCTTGCTGCATCACCACGGGATTCCTGCAAGAGAAAAAATGCCCGTCGTTGGAGACGTGACCGAGGGTCGCTGGGGCGTTGTTTGGATCCATTGGAACGTGAAAGAGAGGTAAGGTACAAAAAGATGGCTGAGCGGCATTGCCTTGTGCAGCACTGTGTTCAGGACCTGGTGTCAGGATGAGTAACCAACAAAGATCGGCAACAGAGAAGACTTGACCGCTGCACATGGCGTCACTGAAAAGGGAATGTGATTCACGTTATGGACTAGGGACTGAGAAACCCACCATTTTGCAAAGTTTGTTTGTTCCTCCCGAGAATATGGATCTTTGAAGCCTATACACATCATGATACCAGCGACACAGGAACAACATGTCGACTTACCACTCCGCCGCCAGAAAAGATTATGTGTCAAAAAATCTTTGGGACGGTCCGGGTGTGGTAACAGTCTCTTGAAAATATGCTGAGCTTCATTGTTTCCTATGCATGAGGCGGCATCCTCCGCACGACAGTAGTCAATGTGGGCGTGTCTGCCCAGCGCCTGACAAACGAGGTTGCACATCATTGGTGCGCCCTCATCATTTGAAGAGAAGCGACGACCTTCGACCTCGAGACCCGAATCATCAGGGCCATCAACTGCCCATCGTGACGAAGACATGGATCCGTGTCTCGTTTCATGCTCTTGTTGCGGGTGACCTGGTGTAATGGTTCGTAAAGCGTGACTGCTGAGGTGCCCCAAATATACCTACCGAGCGGTGATGTACAATAGTAACCACAGTGATTACACCTTGAAAGACGAAAAAAAATGAGGAATAACCGCAAAAATGAAAGAAAAATACCAACTTTGTTCTGCAAAAATGCACTACTCTTTGGTCCAAACTATGGTTGTGCGGACCTGCATGTGCTACCAGTCCTGGTGGTATCGACTTGGCACATCTCAGTCGTTTAGCCACTGTTGAGGATGAGTCAGTGGCAGTGTCAGAGAGTTAACCAACTCGACACACACCTTGCGAGTACTGCGAACCAAGATCGTATGTCAACTCAGAAAATGATGTTCACAACAGAAACAGCACGCCACCTTCGTATACTGGAACGTCTCGTGCCTTCCCGTGAACGTCGCCTCGATCGATTGTGGCGCAGTCTCAATTTCGCAGATGCCCTCAGCAGCGCAGTGCATAGAACACGAATGCTCCTCCCTGGTTGAAGTTTAAATATTAAGATACAAAGATACACTGGATGGTTGTCGACAAACCCGCAAAGATGAATAGCGTCGTCTTCCAAGCCATGAAGATGGTCTGTATTCGCACAGAGTCTCTTGCAAAGTTGGCAGGGGAAAGAGCAAAGTCGAGCATCGCATAGGTGTTGGTCATGGTTCACGTCACTGCGGCAAATGAGGTGTCAGAAGGTGGTGCGAAGCGTTCATTTGATGACTTACCTTGGAATGCCACAAGTACCGCGGCAAGGGGGAGTGGATCCGTCACCAAACCTGAGCTTTGACAGATCGCAGGGCTAGAGGCGTTTTAAGCACGTAAAAAGGCTATTCGAGGTTCAAACCTACCTGACCGCAGGCATGCACAGTAGCAGCACATAGATGGTCGTCTTCTGCGTGACCGATCACCTAAACAACAAGTTCGATGGCCTTTTACCCACAGTAAAGAGGATCCATCTCACCTTCGTACACTCATCCAGACATCCCCGTCTCCCAAAGAGTTTGCAAACTTGACCACAGAGATGCGCATTTACAATACATCTGGAAAGGGCGAATCCAATGTGAGTTGGTGTGCGGATGTGATCGCGAAAGACTTGCATATGATAGCCAGGATGTCCCGCCCTGAAAAGTTATCAGTCATTTAATGCTGCAGAAGTACAAATTTTGGCTTACGACATAGAGCAAGCCTTCGTCTCTCCAGATGACGCACAGAAATCGCAAGAATGTGTGCAATCATGAGTAGTCTGGCAGTCATGCTGTCCGTCATGCAATCTGCTCTGAATGCAGAGCAGTTCGCAATTTTCACACTTCAGTTTGCACAACTGCAAGTTGCTCTTCAAGTCCACTGTTGCGCTTTCAAACGCTCTCATGAGCTCGTCAATACTTGCTTGCCCGCTTTGAAAGCGAGCAACATTCGATGATATCCACTCGCGAACATGGGCGACGCGCAAATTGACCAGACTGTCGATATGGGTGAGTAAATTCTCAATCCAAAGATCATCCGGCATGTGATGGCGAGAATCATAATCTCCCCATGCATGAAACAGAACTTGGAGAGCGGCCTCTCGAGGAAGTTGCAACTCCCCCCGCCAATGAAAATTCCGACAAAGTATCAGGCATGTCAATCGGGACATCGTCATCCAGGTTCTTGATAAATGCCAGGTTAATAATGTAATTCAAACATCAGATAGCAGAAGTCACACCTTCAAAGGTTCTGTGTCAGGATGAACCTCCTGCAGTCCGAATGCTAAAGCGTTGGGCAACCGGGCGAGAAGAAGTTGTGCTCGATGCGAGGCCATCGATTCTGCGATACGTCGTTTGTCAACTGAACTAGTGATTACTGTAATAATACGCACGTGACAGAGCGCCCCAATCATTTGCCTGCAGAAAATCTTATGAATGCCCTCCCAAAATATACGGCGCATCAAGCGTACCTTCAGTTTTGCCATCAAGGTCTTCACCGTATGAAGGAACTCTCCTGCTGTATTATGAGTGAGTTTTTGTTTGTCCAACCGACGCTTAAGGGCTGGGAACAGTTGGTAAAATTCCTGCGACTCGATCACCGGCCTACAAAAACGATAAAGTTGTATGTAGACATAGACATAGGAACCGCTGCACACACCATGGAATTATATTCAACTGTCCAGCGTGGAGGCAAGAAATGAAGTTTGCCTCTTGTTCGTCCTGGACAATCTTCTGAAACTTGAGAGCGAACCTGAGTATTAACTTGAGTATGCGCTCATCAAGATATGGCCAGAAACGTGCTCTTTAGTGACATCTGTTTTGTCTGAATCCACGACATCCTGGAAAGTTGTTGAGGTTAGGAATATGAAGAGACTATCAGAAATGAAAAATCACTTTGATGATGATTGCCAATGTTGATTGAAAGAGACTTGGGTTGGCTGCTGGATCGAGGACAGTCGCACTCGACTGGAATGACTGGAATAGTCCTGTAATATCACGACTCAAGGCAAAGTTATTCCGGAATAGCACCTATGAAACGATGTTAAGCTCTGATTTACAGTATGAAAGTAGCGGCGAACCAAGTTGGAAATTGCAGTATTGAAAAGGACGAGTAAAGTATCTTCTTGAGTGGAGCGCTCAATACTATGGACACCTTTATTCAATGAGGATTCAGACATCAACACGTAAAATCGCAAGGATGACTTGATTCAACATACCTTCGAAATCCAAAGCGACCACAAGGGTATCTTTGGTCGGGGTCACTGACATCCATACTCCTTCCGTCGTGCGCATCGCAGATCCAGCGAAAGATGTGTCCACGAGATGATTCAAGGAAAAGCTTTTCCCCACAGATTGTTCACCCATAGATGACACAACTTTGACAGGCTTGAAGTAAAGTCAGTGCCTTGTGAGAAATCGTTGAGCATTCAGATGGACCATACCTTTTTGGCCATGTATGACTGAAATAGAGATTCATACCAACCAAAAGACACGTAGTCGACAATGCGGTTGACATCCGCGCCAAGAAGGGACTTCTCCAGTTCAGTAGAATACACGCCATCTTTGAGTGGAATAAAACGGTTTTCCTTTGTCACAGCGATCTGGATAGGAATGAGACAGAGGAATTCCGCCAGCCATTCACCAGCACGAAATTTTGATACGCCCCACTCCGCACCGTCGAGGTGATCATGGTGAAAAGCAGAGTGTGTCATTGTAGAGACAGCGATTCTCTTGAGAAGATTTGCGGTTGGCTTCTTTGACATCCTTTCAAAGTTTAAAACAAGATCGTGGAAGTGCGGCACAAATGTATGATGGTCCATATCTGTAACGAAGACCAATGTTCGCTGACACCTTTTACTGGACGACGTTATCGTTTCCCGCTGAACGGCAGGAAGAACCGGGAAGCGAGTCCACACTTCGGCATGACAATCTATGAGACAGTTGTGGGCGGTAACGCTCTCGGGCTTTGCATTCCCTCCTCGGGCACCCTTTTCTTTGAAGGTGAACTCTGTCACTTTCCGGGTGATATCGAGAGCAATAGATCGACATGATTGAGTGTCGACGTCGAGTGAGACCAAATGCACGATATTCCGGCTACTAGTCAGTGAAGTCAGAAGCAGTGGCTGGTCTAGTGGAAGATCAGGGATCTCGAGCGGGATACCATCTGTTGAGCCGAAGGTGCTCCAGTGGTAGGCGGTTAAGAACAAATCAGACCCGCAAACATGAGCCGTGATTAAGCAAGAACCATCCGGAGTCGAGTAAATTGCCATTGGAATCTGAATGAGGTTGAGAGTTGCAGGCCTGTGATGTATAAATTAGATGTCTTTCGCTCTTGTAAGCATAAATCTGACCTAAACTGCATTGTCGTCAGGGAGTAAACTCTGGCCTGTGCTAATGTATCAACGAGCAGCAATTCTTCGCCACCGCAGATGAAACACGCATGATTGATGGAAGTCCCTTCAAGATACCATTGAGTCAGGTTGACCGCACTGCCACTGGCCTGAAAACCGAGGGTATCATCAAAAACGAAGATGTGTAAGAAGAGCTGATGGCGTGTTCGTCAGACATGTCCTAGCAGATCCATAGTGAAACGAACCTTCTCTGTGGCAACAACGCTCAGTACACGCTTTGACTCGTCAAAAGCCAGAATAAAATCCCCGATCTTGTCACGGTACAACTTTTTCCCACGGCTGCTGTGAGTCAAGGCGCCCTCGATGGCAGTGAGATGTTCCAAGTACACCGTCAGGTTTCCAGACCGATCAGTCATTGCGAGCAGGATCTTCTCGCCTGGAAGTAATTGCGCCCTCCTGTGGATTCCTGTATCAGTTATATCTAGGAGTCGAAGTGCAAAGAGCGCATACACCACTGAATGACCAAGGGGTAACAAGAACGGGAACGAGTTCCTGAATTTTGGTGAGGGAATCGAACTAGAATCTAACTGTAAAGAATGTAGATCCTGCGTTGTCAGTTGCATGGGGTGAACCGTGCATTCCAGCTTTGGCTCCTCGAAAGATTCCCTTGAACCAGTTATTTGCACCGGAGATGCTGCTAGAGACCGTTTCATTGGCATTCAAAACTATAAAGAATGGTTTGCTTACCATGATAGTAACCTCGTCCATCCTCGATGGCATCGATAAGAAGGGCGTGCTTGCTAATTTATGGTTATGGATGTGATGGAGCAGAAATGCAGAAAAATTGCTCACGAATGATGACCCGTCTGTGAATGGGCATTGATGTCAGCAATGAACCTCTTTCGTAATTCGGCCAGTTGCTGCTCTTCACTGATGGCCGCTTCGCTATGAACCCGGGCCACAGATTCATTAATTTGTATGCGCAACGATGCATGAGCCAAGGTCTTCGTTTGGGCCGCTAGAAGCGATCTGAAATGCGCCAACGCAGCAGCCCTGGTACCTGCAACAACTTTTTTCATGATAGGAAGCTTTTCCATGTCATCCAACCTAGCGAGCAACTGAGTGTCACTGGTCTTAGATGCAGTAGCCTCTGCAACTCTGAAGGTCTCATCCACGAACTGGGAACCTTGCCCAGACGAGATGAAGGAATTAATACTGCTCCAAGCTTGCTTCACTAATCCCTTCGGCTGCTGCTGCGGGGAAACCTGTTTCCCTAGCATCCTGATAGATTCCTTGACATGTCGCATGTCTTCGTGCAGGATTACATCCAGGAAGTCTTCGCCTTCCATCTTGATGTCGGGAAATTGACGAAGTAGGCTTTCCGCGATATAGACTCGTTGCTTGTAGTTCTTGAAATCGTGGCTGTTGATCTTCTCGATGCGCAGCTTTTGCAACGTTTGACGAAAATTTTTCTCTATTTCTGGGTATAACTCAATGATGGTCGAAAGTTGATCTGGATAACTGTTACTATGACGCAACTTCATTGCAGAGATGACTCGGAATACCTTGGGGTTTAGAGCTAGCCTGCTCGCTTTGCGCGGAATGAAAGGAAGAGCCATCAGTTGGCATACTTTGCGAATGAATCAAAAATGGACGAGGCTGTTTTAAATTTCAAACAACTCACGAAGGAGCGACAGCAGGTTCAACCGGATCTAGACACGCCGTTATTATCAAACGACTCGATTACACAGATGACATACCTTGAGCTACAGGGTCGTCTCGTTCGCTCTGGTCAGGGGAAGGGAAGGAACCATGGGTGAAAGTGCTGAAGTGATCGAGTTAGATAAAGAGTGTAACGCAAAGGGATACTAACGGAAATTTCTCAACGATGGCGTCCACCAATTCCCTGTGGAAGATGCGAGTGAGAAAAGGCAAGTCATTCTCGAGCTTCGTCTTGATGCTGGCCTCAGTTGATGCTTTGGTGGCCCTGACATTGGAGGAAATATCGGCAGACTCCCGCCGCCATTGTTCGCACAATTGCGGGAAGCGATTCCGAAGGCCAGCACTCAGTAAAATATGCACCGCGTTAGCATCCAGATTCTCCTTCACTCGCAATCTGTCACTGTGTCTGAAGAGGTGTCAATTGAAATCCAGGAACTGCCACTAAGAGTAACACCCACAACCAATCACCTAACTGGAGGCGAGTGACCGACCTACGCTTCCAAACATCGGTGATCCGCCTGGCAGGTAGATATTTAATTGTCATGAACCCTTGAGTAGTCTCGCCGTGCAACAATCGAGGCTTGTGCAGTCCAAAATCTTCTGGTGCGTCCGGGTGAGGCTGGGGCATGGCTATGCGAACGGATGTAGCCTACATGCGCTTGTCAGCACTGCACCAGTGGTAATAAATTGGGCAAAACCTTGAATCCAGGACGTAGCTTTACGGCTTCTTCCTGCTGGTTGGTTTTCCTCACTTCAAATGTGAACATTCTATCAGGCTCGTCGTCGTCTTTGTCCATTTCCACCACGGTGTCTTTGCCTTCCTGTCCAATCCATACAATGGAGCGGGCATGCTCAGGGGAGATGAGTGCCATTATTTGGTCGCACATTGTTGTCAGGTACCTAATGCCCTGTGTCAAAAAAAATACCGAAACTCAGAGAGAATTAGACGAACCGCATAAAGGTAACACGGTTACGTTTCACGGATGAAGGAGCTGAATCATCCCAAGTGGCATCCTCGGGCCAGTAGACGACGAACAATTGTTCATCGGAAGTAGCTTCACGATTTGTTCGGACAATGTAAAGCCCAGAACGAAGGTTTGGTTTCGAAACACTGGCCTCGCTGTTGTCCACAACAAGCTGCGCTGCTCTACAGAAAAGAAAAGTTCTTTAGGATGTCGATCTGCAGCTCAAACTTTGCATCTCACATGTGGTCGTCGACAACGCCGAGAGACAATAAGAGTCGCGCTATTTCTTCTTTGCTCCCATAAATGCCGATGGGCTTCACGTTCAAGCCATCCAGCACGCTGAACTTGACTTTCGTCATGGACACATATGAACCAGGACAAATGGTATTGGTGAATGCCCGGAGTGAATCCTGTGCAATGATAATTTTGTCCACTAGGAGCAATCAGCGAAGGAAAGTTCAGCAAGGACAATAGAGTCACCTAGTCCACCGCTCCCTTGTTCACTGATCAAGTCCAAGACCCGATACATCCCTTCAATCGATTGGACAAGGTCACGAACATCATCGTGCGGAGGGGAGTCTTCCACGTCCATCTGACAAAGAAGAACGTGGAATCTCCAGCCCACATCATGATGATCACAAGGAAACTGAACTTACATAGTCTTCACCATTATCGGATATTATTGATTGATACAAGTCGTCATCCGAGTCATCTGTCCAATCTGTTTGATCACCTTTTGACGTGTGCGCTTGTGAAGTCGAGCGCTCGTCGTCGTCGTCCATCTCGTCAAGCTGATAATATGAACTTTGTGGATCACGGAAAATCTGTTTGCGAGTTCTGTGCTGAGTAAGATGTGGGTGTTAACGTTGTAACGTTGAACGTTGAACAAGGCGCAAATGCGGTTTTTAATATTAAAGTTGGTGGCGGTGGCGGATAGCTCACCAGCAGGCAATCTGCAGGCTGCTCGCGTGCTTTATTATATATGTGACATAATAAAGCACGCGGCGGCACTGCGGCAGCCTGCAGATTGCCTGCCAGCAGTGTCTTCGGGGAAGACTGCTCTGCAGCACGTTTTCTTGAATACCTCTCAAAATGTGTAAGTCGCATCTCTAACCTCACCGTGACATGTCGATGATAATCGGATATTACATACGGTAGCAATGTCGTATTGGCAGGAGAATTCGAAGAAAGAGTTCGTCAGAGGAAATAATGCACTGAAAGATGAAAGGTGACAATGATAAGCTGACAATGAATCAAGTGCACATTTGATATTCAGTAGGTCCTACGGTATGCATCTATAAGCCCGCGTCGGGAAATTTCCAACATATGGTGAATGATCAAACTTGATGCAGAAAAACAAACATGAAAAAAGAAAGCCGTGTCTCGCCTGTCACTTCACATAATCAACTCCAAGGTCTACAGCAGAATACAATGGACGTCCGGCGCCACCATGTGTCATATGACTCGACCCGATGATGAGCAGATCTGCTATTATTCAGTCCTCCGACCACGGCGAGGCCGAGGAGCACCACGCTTCCGTAGTACACTCGAGCCAGTTGTCGTTGGCGCCCCATCCAAGCAATTGTTGACAACAAGGTTGCGCAAAATTTCGGAAGACTCTTCGATGCGACGAGTAGAGATGTCCGGGATGCCTGGGTATTCCTGAAGCGCTGTGACGTAAGCATGACCTGCAAATTGCATGCCATGACTCTCGAACTTCTCCCTGTTGGTATCCCACCAGTTCTCTATGCGAGTCTCTTTCTCCAGTGCCGTGATGATGACAACGATCGGGACCCTCTTCTGGCAGATCCCAGCATAGAACATGTTGTAGGCCCGAGCGAGAGCACGAGGGGCAGAAGTGCTGCGCACGCAGTAAACCAGAAGGCCGATGCCATCCGACTCGGGGCTCATGAGCTCAAGCAACAGCTTCTTCAACTGTTTTTCCGCCATCGCCGCCGGCACCGTGCCTTCAGTTCCCTCATTTAAACCCGCGGTATCAAACATGACGAATCTCTGACCGGAGATTTCAACCGGGTAGCGGTCAGAGCTAGAAGTGCATCCCGATGCATCATTGGATGTCTCCGCGAGCCCTTGTTGCGCGAGTGTATTGATGATCGAACTTTTCCCCACGCCGGTTTCGCCGAATATAACGACATTTCTTCCCCTCACATGTGTCTGCTGCATTTAATCAGTAAGAGTGACAACCTCGAGAAGTAGGCCACGTACTTCGGCATTGCTCAATGATGCGGGCGGAGACAGTTGTGGTGGCGATCGTTTCTGTTCAAATTCCGGTATTTCTGAAGATTGAACTACACTCCGCTGATCATAGTGCCTTTCGCTGTGCTGGCCCGACGAGATCTGGCTGGCATGCAGTTTGTTGGTGTCGAGCACTACCTGATGAAGATAGCTCCCCTCCACACAAAGTGGCAGCACATAGCGAGAAAGATCCGTTGCTTCGCAGAGATCAGCGTGAGCCTGTTGGTGCAAGTAACGACATTGGAGAGCCTGGCAGAGGTCGAGGTTAGAAAGCAGGTGATCAGGGTGCCCCGGGGGACGAAGGTCGAGTGCGGAGCGGAAGAGGGAAATGCCATGGTCAATGTCAGTTCGGACGTTTTTGGCGTTGCCACGGAGAACTGCATGTGCAAGGTTGGAGAGTGCTGCGGCGCGACCTGGATGGTTGAGGGGACATTGGTCAAGCACTGACTGAAAGCCACGAATAGAGTTGTCGAGATCACTGGCAAGACTGCTCGTTCCAAAGAGAATGTATGCATCACGCGCTGCATCAGTGCTGCGACCGATCTCACTCTAATTGGTTGACTAAATTAGCAGCGATCAGAAGCCCTTAGATTAACATACCTGCTCATTGCCGCCCACAGCATGATTGGCCATCTGCGTAGTTTGTGAGCATCGGGCTCTCAGCTCAAGAGATATGCGCTGATTATCAACAGTCGAAATTGATACTTTGGAACCGGTGTCAGGGAATGAAAGCATCACCGAAGGTGAAGACTCACTGGGCCACCCATCGCTCCCGAGCAATCGTTCGAGAGTGGTCTCAAACACACCCACGAGTTCACCTTAGGCCAAGCATTGGTCCAGACTCAAATGAAGCACGGATTTCGAAGGTGGACTGCTTTGGATTTACGGGAAAATATGGGCATGAGCCATCGAGGGAACTTCAGCGGGCTTGCGTGGATGGTGAGGGTCTCATTCCAAGAAACACTACAGTCGGCCATTGGAGCCTTTATGGCAGTGTTCCATTGACCATAGGAAGTAGAGACCAGGACATAAAGGCCAGCGGGTGTACGATTGGATGGAATGGCCAGGTTCACGCCAGCGATGACTGCATGTAGGAATGTAAGAAATGGAAAACTGAAAGATAATGTGAGTACTACCTTCCAGAACTAAACCGGGTCCGCCACGCATGTTTTACAATGGTACAGGGGTCGTCTAAAGGAAAGGAAAGTACGTAGTTGGCAGAAAAATCGAAGAGGAAAGGGCTAATGACAACGTTGCCGGGAGAGGGGGATGATGCAATGACGAGTACTCAATTAGAACAATGGAACAAACGGTGTGTACGTAAAGCCAGTATTAAAATCTTCTGCGACTGACTTTTCGAGCTGAGTCGCGCGCTAGTCACTGGCCCTTTTCACAGAAGTCGGCACTTTCACAAAACTCGTATTTCCAGCTATCATAGCTATCATTTTCTCTCACTGGCAGTTTGGCAGTACACGCATACGACTTGAATCAAAGGAACGATCGATCGGTCGACCGGTCGCGGACTTTCTAACTTGTGACGGTCTCGCTACTGGCGGTAGTCATGATATTAATGCCATATGCCATGTTGCATCCACTTGCCAATAATGCAGAGTAGAATGAACATGAACGCGACAATAGACCTGATGAGCTGAGTGGTAAGGGAGTCTCAACTTGAAGGCATTCAATCATTTACTTACTCAAGCTTCTCTGCATGCTCCTCCAGTGACCTTGTTCGTATCTTACGATAGCGACTTTGCATCACGATATTAATGCCACCAATGTTTCTTGAACTGATTGTCGCACGGGCTATGCGCCAGCAGTTCAGCGCTCGTCGTGTTAAGGACTTGGGGTATTTGGGTGTTCTTCATCTGTCAGAGCAGTCTGAAAGCGAGTCGTGCATTGTAAACTCTGGGCATGTCAGACAAGTCACCATGCGCGTCCTCAGATCAGGAGTCTGCTGAAGCACCTATAGAGCAATATGAAGGTGAATCGGTCATTCTATCATGTATCCTGAACATGTTCCTCATGACGTGTGCTCGTTTCTCAAGGTCGTGACGAAACCCTTCGTGGTTCTTCAGCAGTTCATCGTACTCCACTGTTCATTTCAATACATGGGGAACTCGTACCCTTGCGAAACCGTTCAAAAAGCTATTTGGGGTTCATGTGTTTCAGAGCAATTGGAAACTCGGCCCGATCCGTGCTCTCTCTCAAACTATACCTGACACTTAACTGAATAGATTACGCGTGGACTCAGACGCACAGTTGATGGGTGGATGGGGAACCCTACTCGACGCTACAGCCTGGTGACCTTCTCAAGCTGATAGGTGCAGGGATGTATTGATACTCCGGTCCCAACGGCAAAGCAGATCTGCAACCGGAGTGAAGCGAATGTATCGAAAGGATCGATTCTCTTTCAGGTGGCGTGGTTTGTTTTGCAGCTCATCTCCCGCGTCATCTATCACCTCGAAATCACTCAGCTAGAAGCCGAGACACTAGCATTTGCGGTTCTCAATTTCATCACTTACGTTGTGTGGTGGCACAAGCATCTCGATGTGAAATATTCTCATCTAGTCTACTGGAAGTTGACCGAGTCAGAGCTAAAAGGCTACATTAGTATTCATGAGCATGCCTACGCCCCAATCAGCTATATCGCTACTGATTATGTTTACCACAGTATCCCTGAAGATGACCCACTCACTGTGTTTAAGATCTTTACTCCGGTCTTCTGCCCCCTTCACGAATTGATGGGCGGGTTTGTTATCACGTACCACATCTCCAAAGCTCCGAGTTCCAACATTTAATAGCAGCATCGAACTAGAAGTCTGCGACACCCAGGCCCATTTTCTACTTGGATTGATTATAGCAATCATCTTTGGCATCCATTGTGTCGCTTGGTGTTTTGCATTCCCCACATTTCAGGAACAGGTCCTATGGTGCATCAATGCCATCGCTATCACTTGCACCCTGGCATAGCTCATTTTATTCTTTTTTGACGTCCTGATGCATAGACAAGATGTAGCACACGCCATGAACTATAGTTTGTGCTATGTTTTCCATCACAGCACACGTCATCTTATATTGGTCACCGCTTTGTGTAATCCTCCTGACACATACAAGGCGGTGCCATGGACTAGCCTATTGCCACACTTGTATATAGTTTTTGCTTATGGTACATGTTACACACTTCTGAGCTCATATTTGCTTCTTTCGTTTCTCAGAGCTTGGGCAATAACTCGTGTCAGGTACTGCATACAGGCTCGACCCCACACGACTACATAATATCACACAAGTACAATTGTCACCACTAAACGTCATTCTTTTCGAATGTTCGACGCATCCTTCGATCAATGTATGAGAGACCCTCTTGGCTTCCTGAGAGATTCTGCAATTCCTAGGAATGTTTCGGCGAGTTGCACCTACAGACAACGTTGAACACGCCTTTTATGCGTTCGTGCAATAGCATTCTTACCGTATCTAAGGCCTGCGTGTATGAAGACGCGACTGTTGCTGCCGCTGGGGCCAATGGATCTCTTGGGGCATTGTTCTGGATGTCAAGTGCAATTTGAGTCATTCGTCGCAAGGAAGTAGAGGCTCTATCTAGACCGAATGATACGGCGTGGAAAGACAATGCTTTGCTAGAGATTGTGTCACAAGTTGCCAATCCAACAAAAAAACAGGCCACGAACCCAAGACGAACTGCGGAGCGGCACAAATCTTGAACAGTCTGATCCGCAACGTTGCACTCGCCATCTGACAAAAATATGATTACAGGGCTCCTGGAAGCAATGTTAGATATTAGACATGTTTATGGAAGATCGACGCACCTCTCTGTGCTCCAATGTTGTTCCATGACTGATTGAGCCTGCATAATCGCTGCAGTGAAGTTCGTGCCCCCATCGGCACTATAACGCAGAACGGCGTCCAGCAATTGGTCCGGAGAACTGACGAAATCGTTTACGAAGGCATTCGTAACGATATGATCAAACAGAATAACACTGTATGAGTCACGTCGGGCTGCTTGTTGACCACCAATTGCTGCAGCACGGGCAGACCAGAAGCTATATAGGGAGGAGAGGACGGCACCAAACCGGTTGTTAGAGCGTCGCACGATTCTGTCCGAGGCAGGCGTGTTCGGAAGGGGATGTTTGTCACCAGAGGCCATGGAGCCAGATCTGCTAATAATTAGCAATAGTAGCTAAGCGAACATTGTCCTCGCACCTATCAGCCACAAAGATTCTGGAGTATGTGTATTGATTAACGTCACTGCAACTGAACTTCAGCCGACCACTCACACATGGAATGCTTGCTGCATAATCACGGGGTTCCTGCACGAGAAGAGATGCCCATCATTGGAAACGTATCCCAAGCCGACTTGGGCATTGTTGGGATCCATCGGCGGATGAAACAAAGGCAAAGTGCAATAAGATGGCTGAGCAGCATTTCCGGCTGCAGCAGTGTGCTCGGGACCTGGCAAAACGGTAAATTGCCAATGGGACAAGCACAGAATGAGCCATACCGCTACACATTGAGTCGCTAACAAGGACATGAATTCAATTGTGTTATCACATGTTGAACATTCCAAACGCACCACTTAGCGAAATTTGCTTGCTCCTCCCGAGAATAAGGGTCTTTGAAGCCTGCGGACCATGTGAGCCCAGGAGTACAACAATAAGATTACTCACCGGCTCGCCGCCAGAAGAGATTGTGCGTAATGTAGTCCTTGGCACGTTCCGGGTTAGGCAACACTCGCTTAGAAATATGCTGAACCGCGTTCGTTCCCTCTGCAAGCAGCGGCATCCGGGGCACGACAGTAGTCGATGTGAATGTGGCGACCCAATGCCTGACAGACGAGGTTGCACATCATCGGTGCGCCCTCATCATTTGAAGAGAAGCGACGGCCTTCAACCTCGAGACCCGTATCATCAGGGCCATCGACTGCCCATCGTGACGAGGACATGGATCCGTGTCTCGTTTCATGCTCTTGTTGCGGGTGACCTGGCGTAATGGTTTATAAATGTGACTGCTGAGGTGTAGCAAATGTACCTACCGAGCGGCAATGTGCAATAGTACCCACAGTGGTCGCACCTGAAAAGATGGAAAAAAATGAGGAATGATCCGCAAAAACGAAAGAAAATATCCAACCTCGCTCTGCAAAAATGCACCACTTTTTGGTCCAAACTATGGTTGTGCCGACCTGCATGGGCTACCAGGCCTGGTGGTATCGACTTGGCACATCTCAGTCGTTTAGGCCACTGTTTAGGGCGAGTCAGTGGTGGTGTCAAAGGTAACCAGCTCAACACGCACCTTGCGAGTACTGCGAACCAAGATCGTATGTTAACTCAAAAAATGATGTCCACAACAAAATGAGCACGCCACCTTCGTGTACTGGAAGGTCTCGTGCCTTCCGGTGAACGTCGCCTCGATCGATTGTGGCGCAGTCTCAATTTCGCAGATGCCCTCGGCAGTACATTGCACGGAACATGAATGCTCCTCCCTGTTTGAAGTTTAAGTATTAAGATACAAAATAAACTGGATGATTGTCGACAAACCCGCAAAGATGAATAGCGTCGTCTTCCAAGCCGTGAAGATGGTTTGTATTCGCACAGAGTCTCTTGCAAAGTTGGCAGGGGAAAGAGCAAAGTCGAGCATCGCACAGGTGTTGGTCATGGTTCACGTCACTACAGCAAATGAAGTGTCAGAAGGTGGTGCGAAGCGTTCGTTTGATGACTTACCTTGGAATGCCACAAGTACCGCGGCAAGGGGGAGTGGACCCGTCACTCAACCTGAGCGTTGACAGATCGCAGGGCTAGAGGACGTTTTAAGCACGTAAAAAGGCTGTTCAAGGGTCAAACATACCTGACCGCAGGCATGCACAGTAGCAGCACATAGATGGTCATCTTCTGCGTGACCGATCACCTAAACGACAAGCTCGACGACCTTGTACGCGCTGTAACGAGGATCCATCTCACCTTCGTACACTCATCCAGACATCCCTGTCTCCCGGAAAGTTTGCAGGCTTGACCACAGAGATGTGCATTAACAACACATCTGGAAGGGACGATGAGCTCATGTGTGGATACGATCATGAAAGGCTTAACATATGGTTGCCGGGATGCCCCGCTCTGAAAAGTTATCAGTCATTTAATGTTGCACAAGTACAGATTTTGGCTTACGACATAGAGCAAGCCTTCGTCTCTCCAGATGACGCACAGAAATCGCAAGAATGTATGCAATCATGAGAAGTCTGGCAGTCATGCTGTCCGTCATGCAATCTGGTCTGAATGCAGAGCAGCTCGCAATTTCCACACTTCAGCTTGCACAACTGCAAGTTGCTCTTCAAGTCCACCGTCGCACTTTCAAACGTTCTCATGAGCTCGTCAATGCTTGCTTGCCCACTTTGGAAGCGAGCAACATTGGACGATATCCACTCGCGAGCGTGGGTGACCCGCAAATTGACCAGACTGTCGATATGAGCGAGCAAATTCTCAATCCATCGATCCTCTGGCATGTGATGGCGAGAACCATAGTCGTCCCATGCATGAGACAGAACTTGGAGAGCGGTCTCGCGAGAAGAAGATTGTGGCCCCCCTGCCAATGAAAATTCAGTTGAAGTATCGGGCATCTCAATTGGGATATCGTCATCTAGGTTCTTTATAACGCCAGGTTAAACATGATTGCAATAAAAAGCAGCAGAAGCATTCCATACCTTCAGAGGTTCTGGGTCAGGATTAACCTCTTGCAGTCCAAATGCTAGAGCATTTGGCAACATGGCTAAAAGAAGTTGCGCTCGATGCGAGGCCATCGATTCTGCAATGTGTTGTTCGTCAACTGAACTATGGATTCTTTAAGAGTACACACGTGACAGAGCGCCCCAATCATTTGCCTGCACAAGTTCTAATGAGTGCTCTCAAAATGTACGACGAATCAATCATACCTTCAGTTTCGCCATCAAGGTTTTCATCACATGGAGGAACTCTCCTGCTGTATTATGCGTCAATTTTTGTTTGTCCAGTCGACGTTTGAGGGTTGGGAACAGCTTATAAAATTCTTGCGACTCGATTACTGGCCTACATTGGAACAATCAAAACAATATGCTACCATGAGAGACGTTTCACATACCAAGGGATGATATTCAACTGCCCAGCGTGGAGGCGAGAAATGAAGTTGGCCTCTTGTTCGTCTTGGACTATCTGCTGGAACTTGAGGGCGAACCTGAGGGACGATCTGAGTATGCATTCCTGTGGACACATCTGGAGCATACTCTCGAGTAATTTCTGCTTTGTCCGAATCCACGACATCCTAAAAGTCGATGAGTCAAAACACATGAAAAACAGATTTCAAGAGGTGGAAAAGTACCTTAATGATGATCACCAGCGTCGATTGAAATAGACTCGGGTTAGACGCTGGGTCGAGGACGGTCGAGCTTGATTGGAATGACTGGAATAAGCCTGTGATATCTCGGCTCAAGGCGAAGTTGTTCCGGAATAGCACCTACGTCAACGACGTTAGGAAACCATCAGAAACACACAGCAGGCAGCAAACCAAGTTAGAGATCGCAGTATTGAACAGCACGAGCAATGTATCTTCTTGAGCGGAACGCTCAATACTATGAACACCTGTTAAGGGAAGATGTCGATATCATAGAATGTCCACCGATGGTTGGTTCAACATACCTTCAAAATCCAAAGCAACGACAAGAGCATCCTTAGTCGGAGTCACTGACATCCAGACCCCTTCTGTCGTACGCATGGCCGATCCCGCGAATGACGTGTCCACAAGATGGTTCAAGGAAAAGCTTTTCCCCACTGATTGTTCGCCCATGGACGACACAACTTTGACCGGCTTGAAGAAGATTGTACCAGAATGAAGTCAGTGTCACGCGACTCGAGGCGTTCATGTCAGCATACCTTTTTGGCCATGTATGACTGGAACAAAGATTCATACCAACCAAAAGACAGGTGATTGACAATGCGGTTAACATCCGCGCCGAGGAGAGACTTCTCAAGTTCGGTCGAGTATACACCGTCCTTGAGTGGAATGAATCGATTCTCCCTCGTCACTGCAATGTGAATTGGAATGAGGCAGAGGATATCCACCAACCATTCCCCGGCTCTGAACTTCGACACGCTCCATTCTGCAGCTCCGAGGAGACTATTGGAAAAACCGGAATATGTAGTTGCAGAGATGACCATTGATTTTAGGATGGTTCCCGTTGGCTTCTTTGACGTCCTTTCAAAGTTGTAAATAAGGTCGTGGAAGTGCGGTGAGAACATATGATGGTCCCGATCTGTAGTGAACATCAATGTCCGCGGACATCTGTTACTGGACGATGTGATCGTCTCCCGCTGAACAGCAGAGAGAACCGGGAAACGAGTCCACACGTCGGCGTGACAATCAATGAGACAGTTGTGTGCGGTGGCGTTCTCCGACTGAGCTCCTCCTCCTCGGACGCCTTTCTCTTTGAAGGTAAACTCCGTCACTTTGCGAGTGATGTCGAGAGCGAATGATCGACAAGAATTCGAGTCAATGTCAACCGTAACCAGATGGACAATACTCCTCTTTATTAGAGAAGTCAAAAGCAGTGGCTGGTCCAGGGGAAGATCCGGAATTTCGAGCGGGAACGCCACTCGTCGAGCCGAAGGTACTCCAGTGATAGGCGGTCAAGGTCAATTCAGAGCCCACACACGAGTGACGATCAAACAAGAACCATCTGGAGTGGAGTAAACTGCCTTAGGGATCTGAATGAGATCAAGTGTGGCAGGTCTGTCATACGCATATTAGCAGTCATCATTTACTGCGAGCCGAGTTCCTACCTAAACTGCATCGTTGTCAGGGAGTATATTCTGGCTTGTGCCAATGAATCGACGAGCAGTAGCTCCTCGCTACCACAGATAAAGCACGCATGAATGATAGAGACATCCTTCGCCATACCACTGAGTCAAGTTGATCGCGCTACCAGAAGCCTGGAAACCACGGGTGTTATCGTGGACAAAGATGTGTAACTAAAAGCTGGTGACATGTTCGTTAGACCCGTCCAGAAGATTGTTTGTGGAAACCAACCTTCTCTCTAGCGACGACACTGAGCAAGCGTTTTGACTCGTCAAATGCGAGAATAAATTCGCCGATTTTATCGCGATTAAGCTTTTTCCCGCGGCCCTGATTCAAGGCGCCTTCGATCGCGTGAAGGCTTTCCAGAAACACCATTAGGTTCCCATGCCGATCAGTCGTTGCAAGCAAGATCTTATCGCCTGAGAGAAGTTGCGCTCTCCTAAAGCAAGAGCGTCAATTCATTGATGCACCGCAATGTCAAAAGCACTGACGCAACCGAATCCCCGAGAGGCAACTTGAACGAGTACGCGTGCCTCCCAGTGAACTTTCGGCGAGGGAATTATGGTAGGGTCCATTTTCAAGGAATGTTGATCGTGTTCCATCAGCTGCATGAGATGGACAGAGAATTCACAGACAGGATCCTGGAAATATTCCCTTCGGCCAGAGATGAATATCTGTGCTGTTACCAATCATTTCGTCAGGGTGGGTGTGCACGAGAATAGCTGGACTTACTTTGGTAATATCTTCGTATCTCCTCGACGGAATTGATGACGAAAGTGTACCTATCAACTTAAAATGAAGGCGAAGTAAAATAAGTGCGGAACCACTAACGCATGATGCCCTGTTTGCGAAAGATCATTTATTTCATGGATAAATGCCCTCCGCAACTCAGTAAGTTGCTCCTCTTCATGACTGGCAACCTCTCTCTGAACCTGAAGTAGACACTGATCGGTTTGTATGCGCAATGCAAAATGCACCAAAGCGCGGGTCTGCTTCGTCAAGTTTGATCTAAAGTGATCCAGAGCGGCTGTCCTAGTTTCTTCCACGATTTTGGCCAAGATACGGGGTATTTTGACATCATTCAACTCCACGAGGAACTGGGTATCGCTGATAGAATCGGCGTCCGCCTCTTTTAACGTTTTGCCGAAGATACGCAGATCCAGTTCGGAGACGATGGAACTGAATTTACCCCAGAGAGCGGTTACCAATCCCTTAGGCTTCTCATGCGGAATGATCCCTTTGCTGATCAATTTGAGGTTTTCCTTAACGTGTGACATGTCCTCCTGGAGAATGACATTAATGAAGCTTTCACGGGCTTCCTTCGGCATATCAGGAGAGTTGCGAAGGACGTCCCGGGCAATGCAGATCCGTTCTTTGCCGTCCTTGAAGTTTCGATTGTTGATTTTCTCCGAATGCATCTTGCGACGGAGCTCTTCCCCTATGTCTGGATACAAGGCGATGAGAGTATTAAGCTTATCTGCGCAACTAATTAATAAAATGTAGAGCATTGTAAACATGACATACCTCGCACTGAATTACGTTCCTGTTCACTTCTAGTGGGATGCAGAGAGAGATCGACAGCGGAGGTACTTGAAGAATGATGTCAGTGATACACGACGACCTGTCCTAAGTATAACTCACGAAGAGTCGGTACCGACTGGAATATCAGCCATGGCCGAATCTGTGAATGGTATCATGCCAAGATAAAGTGATTGCACGGAGGACGGACCTAGAGTCGACGGACCGTCTTGCTCGCATCCTGTGGGACATGGGAAAGATTCGTGAGTGAAGGTACTAGGGCTGAATTAGACATGGGTAAAGTGTGCGAAGTAAAAACGCACGAAAATTTCTCGATAATAGCATCGACCAAGGCTTGATGAAAAACCTTAGTTAGAAGAGGCTCCCCCCTCTTCACATCCTCTCTAACCCTTGTTTCCTCTGACCCCTTGCTCGACCTAGTATTCGATGAGATACCCGTGGATCGCTCCCGAAACAGTCCACACTGTTGTCGGAAACGATCCTGGATGCCATCATATATCAGAATGCTCAAGGCATCTGCATCCAGGCTCTCGTTGATCAGTAAGGCATCACTCTTCCTAGGGAAGTGTCAGTTGACGGCCAAAGTCGAGCTGCGCAGTGTAATACCCACAGGTAATTGCGCAACTGGATGTTAGTTAAGGATTGGTTTTTCATGGGTTCGGCATTGAGCCTGCCCGGTTGAAATGCGACGGTCATGAACCCTTGAGTCGTTTCAACCATGCAACAACTCAGGCTTCATCAATTTGACATCCACTGTTGCCTCTGGGTGAGACTGCGGCATGGTGATATGCCTGGACGTAGCCTATAGAAGCGGCTCTAAGTATTCGGCCACTCATTGATAAACCAAACTAACCTTGAATCCCGGGCGCGACTTTACTGCCTCCTCCTGCTCATTTGTTTTCGCGACTTCGAACGTGAACAGTCTACTGGACTCATCATGGTCTTCGTCCAGATCCATGATGGCGTCTTCGCCTTGCTGGTCATTCCATACGATCGATCGAGCATGCTCTGGGGAAATGAGTGCTGTGACTTGATCACACATTTTCATGAGGTATCTGACATTTTTCGTTAGGAGCAGTATCTAAACTGAGAAAGACTTAGACGGACCTCATGAAGGTCACGCGGTTGCGTCTCACAGACGAAGGAGCTGAGTCATCCCATGTCGAATCCTCCGGCCAGTAGATGAGGAAAAGCTGTTGGTCAGGTGTAGCCTCGCAAACCGCACGGACAATGTACAGTCCAGAACGAAGACTCGGCATTGAAATGCTGGAGTCATTTTGGTTCGTGACGAGTTGTTTGGCGCTACACAATGAAGTTTATCAAAGTGTCAACCTGAATACTGGCAATGATCTTACATTTCTTCGTCGACAACACCCAGAGATGACAGAGTCGCACAATTTCACTCTTACTTCCGTACACGCCAACAGGCTTCACGACGAAGCGGTCTAGCGCGCTAAAGTTTACTTTCGTCATGGACACATATGTGCCCGGACAAACACTGTTGATAAATGCACGGAGTGAGTCCTGCGCTATAATGACTTTGTCCACTAAAACTCAGAGTCAGCGAAGGCAAGGCTTGTCAATGATAGTGAAGATACCTAGCCCACCACTCCCTTGTTCATTGATCAAATCCAGGATCCGATACATACCATTAATCGACTGGACAAGGTCGCGAGCATCACTATGCGGAGAGGATTCTTCCACGTCCATCTGAATCAGAACGTGAGAACTCCAGCCCACATCATGATGGCCGCAAGCCTGGAGGAAGTAGACCTACAGAGTCTTCTGCATTATCAGATCTTACTGATTGATAGAGGTCGTCGTCCGAATCCTCAGACATGTGAGTAGAGTCTGCTGCATCACCTTTCGACGCTGAGAGTGCTTGTGATGTCAAGGGCTCATCGTCCGAGTCATCGTCCATCTCGTCGATCGTGATCGATGGTGCAGATGCACGGGAAAATGAGCCCTGGGCAAAACGATTCCAACTATTATCGCCAGTACCGACTGGTCGATCTGTGCAGATTATGAATGATAACTTCCCTGTATGTGGAGTCCACTAACCGACTCCTTTCCCTTTGTCTATCCTCTGTTTCTTGAAGGGCTGTATACCTTGACTGGCACCGTGACTGTCTGGGAACAATTCTGGTGGTACATACGATCCGTCCATGATGGTGGGTGAATGTGAAGAACAGAGAACCTGTTATCACCCTACTTTATAGTTGTTGTTGCCTGGGTCTAGGGTTAGTTAGTAGGCCTCAGCCACCAACCACGAGGCAAGGATGTTCATACTAGTACTACGTAATTAGCTCATTGTACTAACAATGTTAATGATCTAATACGATTTGTGTCTTCGCAATTAATATGATTATGTCGAACAAGGTAGGTATATAGGCGAGTGCATGGGACATGTGGATGAATGTAACGTTTGAACAGCAATAGCTGAGCTGTTTAATTGAGTTTTACATAGTTGATCTCGTCTTCAAGCTGGTCCGTGCGTATACGCGTCGCGTCTGACGCATGCTCTCGAAGTGAGTCTCCTAAACGCTGATATTCTGGCAGACGTATTCTCGTCTTGGCCATAAAGTTGTAATTAATTGCCCCCCGAGGATTTTACTTGGTCGGAAACCAGAGAACCTCATCTACTTGTCCTCTATCATGATGCCGCTCAGCTTCCCAAAACGCTTCGATCCCACGATCAACCCACGATGTCTCAGAAAAGAGCAGTCTTAACAAGTCCCGAGAGAGAGCTATGGAATACCAGCGGCATAGGGCGAATCTTACGCAGAACCTCTTCACTGCTAGCTATGTGGACATCATCAATGATCATGATACAAAGTTTGGCCATGCAGTAGAAATACAATACAATAGCCTCACCATCATATAGCCATCAATCGCCCTGTAAAAGATCCCCCGCACGATCTTGTTCACGACGCGACTTTGGCGGCTTCACCACCAAGTCTGCTTGTTGCCTGCAAACTCAGATTAGAGCATGAGCTTGCACATCTCCCATATACACTCACAAACGCATCCGCAACAGTAGCTTGCGGTTGGTGCTTTGTATTTCAGCAGCGGTCTTTATGGCACGCGCGAACAATTCGGCCCTATGATCTACCTTTCTCGCTTTCAGGATCTGTAGCGTGAATGGTGTCAGTAATCTCCTCCCTATAGCTATGCAAACAAGTTTCACTGGCCTTGTTCTGACTGTCAACTCGACCTTGAATCTGGCCGCTTTGAATGAGTGCAACTACCTCCTTCTCAACCTCGTCAACGGTCCAGCCGAATGCGACGCTCATCCTGTCGAGACGAATGGTCTGGAATGGCTGGAAGTAAAGCACGACCGCAACATTACGAATGAGGTTCGTTAAATCATATACATGTGAGTACATATGAATGTCCACGTAATGGCGCGTCTGGCGCAAGAAAGACGAGTCAGAGTTATAGATATTAATAGACTTAACAAGCATACCGAATACCGTTCAAGAAGTTCCAGGACGTTTTTGAAATCGCTTGAGAGATATGACTGGGTCAAGTCTCGAACATATGGTTCTTGCTCGATGTACGCAGAGAAAATAGCGTTTCCCGTAAGTTGAGACTTGATTGCAGATCGCGACATGCTGGCAAGAGCACATAGAGTCCCATATATCGCAAAATCACCGGGAGCGACGAGCTAGCAGAGCATAAGCAAAGATTGGCTGGATGGAAAATCTCGCCTACCTTGCCAATCCAATCACCAAGAGAATCCGGAGGGCCGATCTTCAGGAAAAGTTGGGCAGCTTTTTCGTAGTTGGCTTGTCCTAAGTGGAACAAAGCCATCGCAAAATCCAGCTTGGACTGTACCTGGTCACGTTCTGCTGACCTTTTAGGTGGCGGGGCAGCTGAGATGTTGGAACCGGGAGCGGTATTGGATGCTGCTGCTGCGCTTGCCGTATCAAGTGCACCCTCAGCCTTAAAGACGTAGGAAGATATGTGTGAGTAATTGCGTTGTTCGATCACAAGCTATAGGAGACATGAATAACCGAACAACAATACAAATGAACTAAAATCTACCTCTAGCACAGAAAGACACATGTCAAGAACGTGTTGGCTTGTTGAGCAGAACTCCCTTGATTTCGTATAATGTTTAAGTGCTTGGGTATAGTCTCCAGTGGCGCGGTAGAAATCACCGAGGTCCCTGTGGCCCATCTAATAGAGAGATGATATTTAGAGTTTCTGAAGGAATCAAAACGCTAGTCGTACCCTTATGCTCTCCTTAATCATGTTGTTAGAATACGTCTTCAGCTCGACCTCTAGCTTCGTTCTCTCCGCTTGATTCTTCTTCGTAACATCTTCGCACCAAACCGTGTTCACTGAGCAAAACTCGCTAGGAGGGAGCTGCACCTCCGGAAGGTCCGCCACAGCATCATATGCATTCATCGCAGTCTGATAGAGGGTCGGATCGCGAAGCTCCTCGATCTGCGCGAACGCCAGTTTCAATGCCTGTGGTGCCAAAGTCGGACATGTTGAGATAATGTGCACAAGCCTGTCAAATGCAGTACGACCTCAGAGAGTCGAACCTCGATCTAAGCTAGTGCATCAAGAGGGGCGTATGATTCATACCAGAATATCCCGAGATGTATGCATCTAGATCGAAAGGATGAGCATCGTCCACTGGTCGGATTCGTCTCCTCTGGACTGCGGGAGGTTGCAATAGGGAGGCTTCGTTTTCAATATAATCAATGTCCATCCGTAAGACACTTGGGTAGGAAACGGACGTGACGGTCGAGTCCCAATTGCACATTCTGTTAGGCCGCAATGAGTCAGCCAGTGATGTATTGCTTAGGTCATTCACCATATGCGGGCCCTTGGCACAGTTGGTAGCGCGTACGCTTCGCAAACCGTGATTGCGTAAGGTCGTGGGTTCAACTCCCACAGTGTCCATGTTTTTGGTACTCCATCTGTGCCACCCTGTCACTGGTTCTGGTTGCTTCTCCGGCCTTTGCTACAGTCAAATATTGATTGTCTGAAGCCCGCTACAGAACCAGCCAAGTTTTCTTTTTCGACGTACAACACCCAAACATGTACATCCTTATACTAGACGCAGTGTCTCGATATTTCAAAGATTCAGCAATCCAAGCGTGATGATGGACTCGGAGGTGTTCAGAGGTCAGCATCCATGCGTCTTTTTGCTGAAGACATGATTTCCATGGGTGCCCGTCCACCTCCACGAGTCGTGACGTGTGCAATAATCAGCTGACCATTAACTCTGATATAACCGACGCGCTGAACCGGGGGATTATTGTGACTGGCGCCGAAGCATCCTATCGCGTCATAGAAACATGCACGTCTTGCCGAAGAGCCGCGCCCACAGAAGTAAGGGAGATGAGATGAGTTGAGGGCAAGCCCTGTCGCAGAAATACGAAATCTCACCAAACTTACTGCAAAAGGTACAGGTACCGCGTCATGAGATGCAATTGATGTACAACATGCGCTGGACACAAGTGCGTCCCGTCAACACTCGAAGGTCGGTGACATAAGAAAAGGATAATACTGGCTACTCAAATCTTTTCCAGGCGTGTTTCTCAAACTCTTTCAGTTTCGCTCGCTTGGTTGGGCTACAGGGTAAAGGACGTCAAAAACTGCACTAGAACATATCACGAATACTCACAGGATGGGTACGCGAGGCTCGATGAGGGCTCTTTGCTGCATGCTACGGAAGCGATCACGGAATAAGTTGCCCTCGGGCTGATGGAAGGCTATCAGCAATGTCGATAAAACTGGCGCAATCTACACACCTTTAGCGTTCGTAGGTTTTCGCTCAGATCCTCCCCAATCTGAACCTCGATTTCATTTTCAGGAACTTTATATTTCCCTAGCCGTTGGCCAGCCAGACCCTTTCTAAGCTTCATCTTCAGCGCCAACTGCCTTGCCAATCGCGCTTGATTTTGTTGTTGGCCAACTTTCTCCGCAGTTGAACGGAGAGATTTAACCATTGTTATCGTGGCAAGCATTTTTTTTCTCGCCGCCTTTTCTGCCAAGGCTCGTTTCTAGTGCAAGCTCAGCGACAATGGTAAGGAAGCTCCAAAAGGCGTACCTCCTCGCGCAATCGCAGCGCCTTTGCTCGTTGCTGCTTAGTTTTACGTGTCGATGGTTTCTTGGGTACAACCGCATCGTGCTGTGGGACTGGTTCGCCGTCATCTGTAGGTATCTCGTCCAAAGTCATTCCAAGTGGAAGGCCCTCCGTGACATTTGTAGCAAGTGCACGTGCATCGGCAACCTTGCGTCGAACTTCGGCTAATTGATCCGCTTCATCTTGTCTACGTCGCTCCAGCCTGCATGCCTCCCTAATAAGCTCATCATGTGCCGCGGCAGGGGGGTTGTATGATGATCCTTGATGTGGCTCCAACACAGCAGGAACTTCTATGATATCACGGGGATGAGATAATTCCGGGCGCTGTGAATATCATCAGCAAATCGATGGTGGCAGGGAAAGGAAGAAGCCCTACCTTGATCTTGGGTTTCTTCGTATGCTCTAATCCATCAGCTACTTCTTCCACCTCCTCGGCAGTCCATGGGTCATAAGAACCGCTATGTTTCACAGCAGCGCTAACATCGATTAAAGCACTCCCTGCACCAAACTCTGTGTGGTCCATAATCGCATTGAATGGACCCTTTCTGGGCCGCTTTGCAATGCGAAGAAGGCGCTCCTTGTCAGCTCTACTGACTTTTGATCGTGATGGTATAGAGTCTTTTGTTGGGCGAGAAAACACGGCAGGAATGGCAGATCGTTGGGAAAGTATTTTCGTGGAAGTCAACTCAGCCTTAGAGTACCGCGGTAACGACTTGCGGACTAGATAGTTTTATGCTTTTTACCTAGAGATGTCTTGCAAGAACTTACCTTTATCATCTCCTTTGGTGTCTACAACAAATAATTGATCGTCTGTCTGTTTCTGTAGCGTAGAACTGTCAAAGTCGATGTACGCGATTAGATGGTAGACATGTGGAAGACACGAATTTTCCACACCCGATGACTCGCTCCTCTGAACGCAGACTCTCTAGGCCCTGTTCCACAGGCTGTATATCAATGTTTTTTCGCCATGCCTTCTTGCCCTTACGGACTCGATTGAGCAAGTTGGGAGGGTGCACCGACACCAGGCGCAGCGTTTTTTTTGATAGAAGATTTTGAAGTAGAAGAGACCTTGGTGATTTTTGTGAGAGCCATTTGGTGGTGGCAGCCAGCCTCCTTGACTCTTGTCGATGAAGTTCTGCAAATGTCACGCCGACGTTGTTACGGTGTCACATTAAGCTGCCGTCAATTTCATCTCAAATTCCGGCGCGTCTACTTAGGAGGGCCATGGCATGATGCATGATATACATCAGCTGTACTATAGCAGTTCATATACGACTACGATTCGTATTTGCTCACAGTTTCGGTGAGACTATGTAGCTGCCTCGGCTCTCCTTACGCTGAGTACAAACATTTTACGTAAATACTACTTAGTCCGAGTCATATTCCTTCTTTGTTATGCTTTTCATGTTGCGCACGATCGTGCACATGCCCAATCGCACGAAATACCCTAAAGCCACCCACTCGCATCCCTCGCACGTAGCTGCAACAAAATTGCCCGCCTCACGAATGACAACCTTTGGTTCAAGAATCCACTTTCCAACTCCCCCCATCAGGCCATGTAGGATCACGCAGATATCAAGCAGCCTGAGCAACCGTACGTATTCCGTCCAGCACCTGCCACCCCTGCCCCGGCTACCGTGCCTGCTTCTTTACCACCACACACCTCCACAGCGACGCTTCCCGTATCCTGGCCACCGGCGCACCCCATGGGGGCAACTCGCACAAGCTCTACTCAAACACAACGGCCGTGTCTTCACTAAGGGCATTGGCGAACCAACCTTTCGGCACATCTTTTACGCGCCCACTCGGTTTCAACTGAGAGCCTAGGCTCGATTGTGGACCGATCGAGGGATTCCGGTAGGGAGTCTGCATCCATCAAAGCGAGAGTCGCAAAGAGACGACCAGTGTGTGCGCCGATTCGTATTGACAAAAAGAATGTTCCCGCGAACCGATTTGTCATTTCAGACGACTCATCCTTTCAGCTACAGTGACCGCAACAGCGGACTTTCCGACGCCCGCCGTGCCATGCAACCAGGTGATTCGGCCTTCTTCACGGTTGCCTAACTATTCGTGGATGTGCTTGAGGAGGTCCACCCGGGTCCCTTCCAAACATTGCGGATGGGGTAGACGTTCGCGAGAGTCATGTTCAACACCCTTGACAGTGACCTGGACCCACTATCAGAGTAGGATAGTCGTACCCTTGAGCATACCGTGGCCATTCACCGCGGGTTGACGGTGTTTGGGCGGGTATAATATACCAAATCGGGAACCAGGCGCGCGACAGCCATTGAACACCGTGTTTGATTCTCTGTTTTTCCTTCCTCTGAGAGCTTGAGGATCACAAGTGAATGCTATACTGATTTCTGTCATGTCTTTTGTACCCCCGTGAATCATTCTAGCACGAAGAGTTTATTGATAAATACGAGAAATCTGCCGAGATTACTGATGACATTGAAGCAGACACAGTCCGTATGCAACATTTAATTTTGCACTGACACTGACAACTATACAGAACGAGGATGATTTTGGTGACTACTCACTTGGTTCCATGTCTCGTACTACTAGTAGCGAGTTGGATGAGAGTTTCTTCGATTATCAACTGTGAAAACCAAGGACCCACTCGCATGGTGGCAAAACAACTGCCGTGCTTATCCAATGCTGCATCGGATGGCACTCGACTATCTCTCTGTCCCAGGTATGTCTCCTTCGAATCCTCTTTCAATCAATCAATACTTATTATCTTGCTCAGCAACATCAACTGCGGTTGAACGTGTCTTCTCGCAGGGCCGGCAGCTCCTTCATTTTACTCGCAACCGACTCGCACCATCAACAATTCGTGCCTTTCTCTGCCTCGGAGCGTGGGGCAGAAGTGATCTTCTGGTGATGGAGGACCTTTTAGCCGCTGTCAGGACTCAAAACGGAAGCGAAATGAAGTCGAAGCAGAGGAGAATGACAAGGAAAAGTAGTACTATTTTATTTCATTGTTGTTAATACTTAATACACTCTTCTTGGTAATGTACCCGCGGTGTTCAGAGACACCGCGGTGTTTTCCATAAACCGCGACATTGACGGGTCGGTGTGTACCCGTACCCGTGAAGGGTACGGTGTTGGCGGGTGCGGGTGCGGTGTCAACTTTCCGACCCTCGGTGTTACCCCGTGCGGTACCCTAATCCCAGGTTCCTTCAGACATACCCAAGAGTTGTCAACGAGGTCAGGGAGTGATAATAAGACATGAGAGATGAAAATACTGACATCAAGTCAATAACTAGGGTCAACGGTGTTGCGTACTGAGCGCAGTATGTAGCTATAATGAGTTAGGCAACAACACAATCAAAGTGATGGAAATTATCAAGGTGTCAAAGCTGCCTGAGATTGAATCAATGGATGTCTCGGGTGGGTGGAGTACTCTTCAAGTGGAAGTTGAATATAACAGTTGTTCAAGTTTGACCTAGTTGAATCATTATCAATGCGCGACGTAGGTCATGGCCTGCCTTGCGTCATCTAGTATTTCCACCTCATTTAAAACCCTTGAACCTATCTGCTGCATTAATTATAGATCCCTATGTACAGACACGCGCCAGTTTCCAAGGCTTACGCAGACACTTGCATGTGCGACCCCAGTCAGTGTTCCTTGACAATCACCGTGTCATATCACTCACTCTTCCCCTGCATGCAATGCTTGTCTCTTATTCGAGTAGCCTTACCCTGGCCTTACATACGTCCCATCTGAATCCGTTCTAAATGTGCATCGGGGCGGATATGATTTGGTACTGGGCTGTGTAAGGTATGATATATACCTCACATCATCCTTGACCTTACATTTCTTACATTCCCTGCATGTAAGGAGTCACTTGGACGAACCTAGATCTTCCATCTGACTGCACGCCAAAAGCGTCTTATATGTCATCGAACAGTACAATACACTTGCTGGAGATCCCTCAGACGAGAGTAACTCGCATCGGCATTTTCGATATCCCGCCACATTCACGATTGAGTCCAATTCTGTCCAAAGTAAGTACTACCCGTCAGCTGTACTACGTGAAGTAGACGTTTTCCGTCCACGATTCGTATCTATCTATGGTTTCAGTGAGACTCTTTGCCTTCTCTCTCCCGGCTCCGACCGCAAGTCTGTGCAACGGAATTCTTAGCGGTGGATCATCTAGGTGAGTGAGTTTCTCAATGACCGCCACCGCCTTTTCAGTGTCTCCGTCAGCCGGAGTTGAAGTCATCCATTGACGGAATTTAGAACCAGGTAGCTCTGGGTCTGCATAAGCTGGATGTTGAGGGACGAGTTGCATGTTGCCCTTGAACATTCCCGTCCGGAATGGACCTGGTTCGATTATGGTAATCTATCTGGCATTAGCTTGAGTTACATCTTGAGACTAAAATGACTAAACCTGTATGTTCCAAGCCGGCTCCAGCTCTTGTGCGATGCTCTCGCTGAATCCTTCCAATGCTGGAGATCCAGTTTCAGACACTGCTATGGCCTTAGACGAACACACTTACCTTGTTTACTGTTGGCATACATAGCTGCTGGTGAGCATTGAAATCACGCATGGCTATGTTCACTCACGATGCGGCATAGTAGGACGTTGCAGCTCTTCCACGCAAACCCAACGATGAAGAAACCTGCAATAATCTTCCTCCGATAGGTTTGTTTACTTCCCTGAACATCCGAATAGCCTCCCTTGTGACATTTGATGCACCCCAAAAGTTCACTTCGAAGATCTGACGAGCGTCCTGATCGCTCATAGACTCCATCTCTCCGAGAATAGCCATGCCCGCGTTATTGAACACAACATCGATACGTCCGAACACCTCTTTGGCTTTTGCAAATGCGGCAGCCACCTCCGAGGTCTTTACGACATCCGTCTGGACGATCAGCAATTGGGAAGACGGATACTGTTCGGCAAGATCGGACAGGGCTTCCTTGCGACGCAGAGTTGCGACCACTCTATTTCCGTTCTTCAACAGGAGTTCTGTCATCGAGCGACCGAATCCCGACGATGATCCAGTAACTTGCATTGTTTCGTCAATTCTCAAAGTTTGATGAGCAAATACCGAGAGCTTACCTAGCCAGACCTTTGATTCTGCCATGATTTTGTTGTGGATTGCGAGGAGATGCAGATGCAATTTACAAGGGATCAGATCTCAGAGCTCTTGGTTTTATATCTGTTGATCAGCGCCATGACAGACGATTACTCAGTTAATCGGACGGGTCTTCAGCCAATTGCAACGCCTCCTCAGTCAGCATGACACTCCTTTCCTTTGTGATAATCTCACTAATTGACTTTTATGGGCGGTGATGAGTTATCATGCAGCTGGCAGCAATGACACGGGGTCCCGGCGAGAGATTCAGAAGACGCTGGAGAATCTCGCCGTGCTTGGCCAATCAGTTTCATGTAATACAATTTTGAGTTGAACTCGACATTCCATCATATGCACATGTACATCTCTTAAACCTGTTCGCATAACTAAGATGCGGCCATGCGCGGCGGCCAGTCTCGGAGGGAATCAGTCAGAATGTATGATATTCGGCAAAAGGGACCAATTACGTATTTACGATACACGTACTGGCAGACTCCGTTCGGCGTTAGAGTCTTCTCCATGTTCACCTCAACTGTCTTACCCTGAACGTAATCTATACACTCGATTGTATTGTGCTTCATTTTCACCTCGACAATGCGGCCCATCAATACACAGGCAACAAAATGGCGCGGTTGGATATTTCTCGCCTGTGTTTTCCTCTTTTTTATGCAAGCTGGCCTCTTCGCCGGTCACAAAGATCACACTTCTCAACGAGACTCAAGTTCACGAGCAAATTGGTTTTCGACTTCCTCCAAATGGCTCCCTTTTGTCAAGGATGGGACATCATCATACACCCTCACTGAACATCCCATACCGAAATTGATGGCGGATGCCGAGGAGAAGTTCAAACATCTGCTTTCGAAGCAAAGCAAGACTCTCAGAGACGCTGTGAATGAATATAGGAAACGATACGGGCGCGAGCCTCCCAGAGGGTTTGGAGATTGGTGGCAGTTTGCGCAGGAACACAACCTCAGACTGGTGGACGAGTTTGACGCCATTAATGAAGACCTGGCGCCTTTCTGGAATATGTCGGGCGTAGAGTTTCGAAGGAGGACTGTCCAAGTAAGTATGATTTATACTCCACTACGGTACCATGACGTTCATTTTGCAGGTCAGCGAACTTCCATCTATTGATTTGGTCCGCATCATAGATGGCAGGGCCGAAGGCGCCTCCATTGACAGGTTCGATACTGAGCGAGGACATAGAGCAATGGGATTTATGTCTTTGCTGGAGAGTTTTCAAGACAAGGTGTGTATGTCCACCCCTCTCTACCCATTCTTTCTCTTCATGAAGGTCTATATAGCTCCCTGACATGCAATTTGCAATCAACTCGAAGGCAGAGGGCAGGGTCTTGGTACCTTGGGAACACCGCCAATTTCCTAACATGACGTTACAAGATTCATCAGGTCTGCTATGTCATCAGTGGAATTGGGGTCATGCATTAACTACGTGTCAGGTGGAATAACTTCCATGGTTGGAACTGGCTTCACTTCTGATTGGAGGGGGGAAGGAAGCGTTTGGGCAGCTTATCGCCGAACGTGTCCTCCTGACACTGGAGCCCGTCAACTCTACAGTTCATACCGCAATCCCAATGCTGAGAATTCAAAAGTCTTTTTGGGCTCCACTCCAGCTCTTGGAGACGAATTCACCTTTGTGCCAAGCGTCGAAGATTCAATCGATTACTGTTCGTATCCTTGGGCTCACTACTTCCATGGTCACTTCTTCTCGGACTGGCGCACGATACCTGTGCTTTACCCCGTTTTATCGCCCGCGAAGGTCTCAGGGTTCTCGGATATCAGGATTCCGAGCCACTATTATGTCGGACAGCATCCCAGGTACACCTATGGGTTCAATTCCGACGGTGATCAACCCAAAGATGTTGATGACTTGGAGGTTCCATGGGAAGAAAAGTTAGACGTCGTTTTCTGGCGGGGTGCGGACACTGGTGGTGGTAGCACTCCCCCAGGCTTTGCGTCGCATTACCAAAGACACAGGTAATTCTTTCCTGAGCTTGCTACTCTATCACGCGATCCTTATCTTTCACGACAGATTTCTCCACATGACACACGAGAGTGTAGCAGGAAATCGGACGATTGTCCATGCTGACCCCTCGAGCGCTAATGATTTCATTACCACTGAGGTGCCTGCGCGACAGCTAAATGCCGAGATAATGGATGTTGCATTTGTTTCGACAACTGGCGGGTATCCTGGCGGCGAGGAAGCACTTAGAAAAAGTCACCGCTTCTCATCACCCGTCCCCTTGGGTCAGCACTGGGCGTACAAATATCTCCTTGATCTTGATGGTATGGGTTACTCGGGACGTTTCTTGGCACTTTTATCTAGTGAAAGTGCCGTCGTAAAAAGTACTGTGTGGCGGGAGTTTTTCTCAGATTGGTTACAGCCATGGTGTGTTTTATAATTGGCACTCGGATGCAGGGCTGAATGGCAAGCAAGGCTACACTATATACCTTTATCCTCGTCTTACGCCGAGATATACAACGTCCACGCGTATTTCTCAGGACCGACGCCCTCAACTTTGGCAGCCAAAAATTTGACTACAACTCACCCAATACAGTCACTAGACGGCGACCAGCATTTACAGCGCATCGCACGTGCGGGCCGGCAGTGGAGAAAAACAATTGGGAGGACAGTCGATATGGAAGGTTCGTTCTAGCTTTGCGGGCATGTATTTGCAAATTGGTTGACCTGACTTGGTTTGGCAATAGCGTACGTCTACAGACTATGTTTGGAGTATGCCAGACTCTGGGCCGATGATCGTGACACGATGAATTTTGTGCTGTAATATAGAGATAGGCTGCGCACTGCGGCAAAGCCATCTGTGTCCTGATGTTGATCGTCTCACTTAATTTCAATTTCATATCAGTTTTCGTGGAGCATTGGGGCCATCACAGTTGTTCATATAACTTATGCCTTTGAAGGATGCAAGAGAGATGCGGTACGTGTCAGATTTGCGGTCATTAATTGTGGGCTTGCGGAGGGCCAAACTTCGACTTGATAATCGCCGTTTCACAGAACATGGGAATCAAAAGTCATCGACAACAGATTCCGGGCGCAAACACGCATATCAGAAGAAACCGGAACTTGGATTGGAATGGATTGGGCTTCTGTGGTGCATATCGACTGTAGTGGGGTCTTGGGTATAAGAGAAGCATTCAATGTTACTTATTGATACCTCTGAAGGGCGCAAGGGAGATACGGTGTGTCGGACTCGTAGCTATTAACTCTAGACACGCGCAGTGGTCAGTGATGTGGAACATTATTATCGTGGTGGAAAGACGTCGACAACAGATTCCAGGTGTATGCGGTACGGAGCAGGAATACACGGAACTTGGAAGCAGACGGCCAACCGTCATTGCAGTGTTATCGTGCCATGTGAATGGTTGGTGATTTGGCGGAGCACGAAAAACACGAGGACACTGTACTACTAGCAGTGCGAAGAGACCCTCTGCCAACAGATGTGTGCGGGGACCTCCGATCAAGGCTGACGGATCAAGGTGACGTAAGATTAGTAGTACGGGAACACCCGGGATTGCCACCAGAGTACTCTTGGTTAGCCCCATCAATTCGTGTTATTACGTTTCGATGTGCTATCAAAGGGTTTTTAGCATCTTTGTCGTGCCTGTTTCTCGCTTGACAGTGGCGTACGGGACGCGTATTGTTTGGCAAGGGCTTTAGAAATAAACAGAGCCAATGGATCACCGACGTCAACGGGCGGATAATCGCTAAGTCGCCTTCGAAACACATACTACGGACGCAGCATCACGGTCACCATCATGTTCGCTCACATCGGATCTATGATCTGGACGCAAGGCCTCTTGATGCTGATAAGCACACCCAATCATCCCCTGGGGGTCATAGTCGCGATATCAAGAAAAAAAGCTGGCAGGGAACCCCGCGGGCTGAAACCAAGTTGAAATACGATACAAGATCTCGAAGCTATTCGTGGAACCGCACATGACCTATCTACGGCAACATTAATGCCCGTCATTCGAGAAAATGCGAGCCTCAGGCCGTATCATTCTCTTGGGCGCAAAAATAGACTGGACCTTCTCCGCCCAAATCAGGCTACCTGGTCTTAGGAAGAAGGGGGGGTGAGATATATAGATAAGGCGACCCTGACGAACAGCATAGCATGGTCAATAAGGCGGAGCAAAGGAATCAAACGGAGTCATCTGGGTTAAGACAAAATTCGTGGGTACGATGACCAGGATTCTTTAAATTGAGGATCACCGGTTGAATCGTCCATGATGATCTCGGTGATTCCCCATCTACTCCTGCTAATCCAGTCATCAGTCCACGATCAGTTCTCGGTGTCTGACGATGAGAGCGTACATGGTATGATTGGTCATGGGGACCCCCGTTGGTTACATTGAGGACGGGCAAAGGTGTTCTGGAGACGGTCGGCTGGCTCACATATTGCTGGTTCTGGCATGCATCTGCATATATTCTTGAATCTGTCGCTGAGTAGGACGAGGAAGCCGTCCTTGGCTGTTTCACTTGGTCGATTCAGGTGTAGGCTGGCTACACTAGGTGGACCCCTCGATCATCGATCTATATTCGTCTTCTCTTCCCGATGGCGACTGGACCTTGGTATCTGTGTTGGGCATGCCACAGATCCGTATGGCTGCGTTCACCGCCATAATTGGGATCTGGCATGTTGCCTTCTGTCCACCGCAGGAGGCGTCCGAGGCGGGCGTGACTATCCAATGGCGGTGTGCGAAGATGTGGAAGGCGGCCTTGCATAGCTTTGTCTAGCCACCTTCCTTGAAACGATCTGCGACCGGCGCTTTGATATGTGCCAAATGTGCAGTACACACAGGTGCGCTATGGACACCCTGGGCCTCGTGTTCACATCTTACTAGGTTTGTTCAAGATGCTGGCGGTGACTGAGCTTGATGCTCGAGTGTAGCTGCAGACATATTAGTGTCTAGTCACATCTGGTATGTAGGTAGCGTGAAGCAATATGTTTTTTGTTGGACAAAGTACGAACCCGAAGACTGGTTGGATTTGGGTGGATGGTACCGCTTCCGCTTCGGCACCCCGCCCGAGTCACGTGCATTTCATAAGAAGCGCTGAAATGAAATGTTTTGATTCAAACAATCGCGGATGACCGGGAGTGAGTATTTTCTGCAAGTTTGTTGTTGATCTGCTGTGTACAAAGGATGGTATGTCAAGTATGCACGTGTCAGTTGGTTATTGACTTCTATCATGATCACAGGATTCAGAGTTAATCAATTGATACAACAATGCTTTGTGCTGGTCGCTTTTTGCAGAGACAAAAGACGCTTGTACGTATAAAATGTTGTTACCTTTCACTATAGACATTGCCATGCTGACGCCGCGTTGTACTCAGCAATGCAGGCGGTTCAAATCAGATGTGAAGTTCTTGAACTTTATTCGATTGCAGGACCGTTCTTCCAAGATGGGATCAGGAACGTCCATTCGAATGCGAAACTCCGGCTTGGAAATACTAGCGGGTTGGCCAAATTTTACCAAAGATGTCTTGCTGTACCTACAACCCCATCTTGTCTATGATGGATCAAACACGTTGTGGGTGCGTGATTGGCTCGATGTCATCGTTGTCCACTGGATCTCGGCACGCTAGATGTGGCTCTTTTTGGCCACTCACAGTTTCCGGCTGGTAAATAGAGTCCCCTCCAGTTCCACAGATCCTCACTCTTTTCCTTAACCATTAGCGACATCTCTACTATTGCGATGCATCCACGATCAGCACTGGGCTCTCCCACACCATCCGCTGCGAGTCGCCTCTCAGACAGCAGCCGTTCAGATGGCAGTCGTAAATTCTCGCGGAACGGAAGTGTATCATCAGAATTCGAAATCGAGCGACCACTCAAAATGAATACATCATCTCCAAAGCGACCAGGCGTTCGTCGTCGTCAGTCTGAATATGGCGCTGAAAGTGCTCTTCGTGCGAGCGTGTCTCGTTTACTCACCGCCAAAGCGCGTCCATTCACTGTCACCGGTCACATCCCAATGGACCCGGCGTCCTTGGTACTATTCTTCCGCTCCAAGGTGAGCTGTTCGTGGCACTGATTGATAGTCGTTATCTGAATCTGGGTCCGATTTACAGAGTGGCATCACGCACTCGCTTGATTTCCCCATCAACATTGATTACGACACACCTCCGGCTCTCGAAGTGCTACTTGCAGCATGTAAACCCCACCCGACACCTGGATTTGATGTATACCCTGATCGTGAGACCCTCTTCTACCCCGCAAATCTTCCCTTGACCGCCACTCTCGAAATGGCCAACCATCCCATCCTCGATGCGGTACGCAACGCACTGTTCCCAGCATTACCTATGGGACATTACCTCACCGCCCTGAGAGATAAGCTGGAGGTGATGGTAACTGGAGCGCGTATGGCGCCCCAGCCTCGTACATTACGCAACGATGGTAGAGTCGCTACAATATGCGTCACTCTACCCGTCCACCATCGCGGGGGAAACATGATTGTCCGAGATGCAGAAGGGACAGAAGAGAAGTTCTTCGGAGGTGGAGGCAAACCTTCGGAGGTCCACTGGACCGCATTCCTTGGGGAATGCGAATACGAAGTCGAGACCATCCAGCAAGGATGCAGAATGAGCTTCACGTACGCGGTGCATCTGAAGACATACGGCGCAGCAGTCGATCCTCTGATCACACCGAGTGAATACTTCCTTGATCTTCTTTCCCCAGTCCTCAGCCTGTCTCGCGGACGAAAAGTAGCATTCTATTTGACGCAGGATTACGGCGTTAACCCTTCGGAGGGCCTAGCCGAGTCATTAGTACCTCATGTGAGTCTCAGCTGACTACGGGCAGGCCTTTATTGACGTAAGGTGACCAGCTTAAGGGCAGCGATTCACTATTATACCATGCCCTGAAGGTGTACAAACTTGCACCGGAACTGCATTGGGCAGCAGGCGGATACGTCTGGCCCATCGATCGGACCGTAGAATGCGGAAACGATGTTCTGGATTCGCCAACAAGCTTGTCATCGATGGGCTTTCCCAGCGCTTTTGGATCACCTGCTCGTTCAGCAAAATCCATCCGCGGCCCGATGAGTTACTACGGAGGTCCAGAAGAAGATGACGTGGAGATAACGAAAATCGAAGCTCACAACCTGAGGATGAGGGTTGAGGAGAGCGGTGCAATCCCTCTTTCTGAAGCGGAAATTTTCATCCTTTCTGATTGGGTTCCCGGTCCGCTTGCGAAGGAAAGGGTATACTTTGTATCGAACGGAGAACTGGAGAAGCTGATTGTTAATGTTCTCCTCGTTATTTATGTTCCTTGAGACTTGATCGGAGGGTACGAAGGACGTAATCTGCTAATCATGCTAATCATCTAATAATTGGCTGCTGGAACGGCCGCGATGGAACTCAGCCCGAACACTTACTAGTATTTGTACTTGTATTATTTACTGCCTGCAAGTAATGACATATCTGATGAACATGTACAAATGTTTCTGCCGGAACAAGTTCGGCACCATGACAGATTCGAACTCCGCCCGAATCGTGTAATACTCGCGATTTCGTTGGTCGCTGTGTATCACGACGAGCACCGATATTCTCCGCTTTTTAAACCGGTAGCGCTCGTCCGTGCGAGCGACCTACACTTGTCCGGTTTTCTTTGCACATTTCTTGGTCCTCCAGATATTATCTTAATGTTACGCTTGGTTTCGCGGCCCTCCTCAACGGGGCGACTCGGGAAGGTCGTTTGCTCTGGTGCTTCACATGGAGGTGCGCTGCTTTGACGTCCATGTCATCTTGGATATTCATATTTTGTAGGCCGCAGATCTATAGCGTCCACATCCACGCGTCAAGCTGACATCACTCTTACTGTTGACGGGAAGGAGGTAACGGTTCCGCAAGGTACACATCTTTATGTTTCTGTTCGCGTTTCGCGTTTTACAGAGCTTATTATCGTGCAGGGTCCGCGTTGATTCAAGCTTGCGAGGCTGCTGGTGCTACGATTCCTCGGTAAGTCTTTTCTATCGATTTGTACTACTCCGGTAGGAGCTCACTAACTCCCTCTTCAGATTTTGCTACCATGACAGGTTCGTCAGAATACACTTTCTCTCTTGACAGAATGTAGAGGCTGAAACTGCCTTTTAGACTCGCGATTGCTGGTAACTGCCGGTGAGTGCAAAGTGTGACGGCGAAAGGGAGACGGTATGTTGACGCTTACTTTTAGTATGTGTCTGGTTGAGGTCGAGCGTTCCCCAAAGCCAGTAGCATCATGGTATGACGATATACTCATTTTTCAAGTTCATGTACTTATTATTATTGATATTCAGTGCCATGCCGGCCATGCCTGGTTCCAAGGTGTTCACAAATACCCCGCTGGTTCATGAAGCTCGGTAAGATAATGTTGAGGGTATCTGCATTTTATCGGGTCTGCTCACAAGATGCGCAGCGAGGGTGTCATGGAATTCCTTCTAGCCAACCACCCACTCGACTGCCCTATTTGTGACCAGGGTGGCGAATGTGACCTTCAGGACCAGTCCATGCGATACGGCTCTGATCGTACGCGTTTCCACGAAATCACGGGTAAACGTGCAGTGGAGAACAAGGACCTTGGACCTCTTGTCAAGACTTCCATGAACCGCTGCATTCAATGCACGCGGTGTGTCCGGTTTGCTAACGAGGTTGCTGGTGTCGAGGAGCTTGGCACGACGGGTCGTGGTAATGACCTTCAAATCGGCATGTATGTTGAGAAGACCATGGACTCCGAACTTTCTGGCAACATCATCGACCTTTGTCCCGTCGGCGCTTTAACAAGCAAACCATATGCCTTCCATGCCAGACCATGGGAACTAAAAAATACCGAGTCCATCGATGTCATGGATGCCGTTGGTTCGAATATTCGCGTCGACTCTCGCGGTGTCCAAGTGATGCGAATCCAGCCTCGAACCAACGACGAAGTCAACGAGGAGTGGATTAGTGATAAGACGCGTTATGCTTACGACGGCTTGAAGTTCCAGCGTTTGACTACGCCTCTTATCAAGCAAGGCGACCGTTTTGTTGCAGCTTCGTGGGAGGAAGCTCTACAAACAATTGCAGATGGTATTGCCTCATCGGGGGCTACTGGCAATGAGATTCAAGGCGTTGCTGGACACCTTGCTGACACCGAGTCCCTTGTTGCCTTCAAAGACTTGATCAACCGCCTAGGATCGGACAATCTTGCACTCGACCAGATCAATGGCAGCGCACCGCCCCCACATGGTGTTGACATTCGCTCCAATTACCTCTTCAACTCTACCATCCCTGGTGTTGAGGAAGCTGATGCCATCCTACTTGTTGGCACTAACCCACGCCACGAGGCTGCTGTCCTTAACTCTCGCATTCGCAAGAGCTGGCTGCACACAAGTCTCGAGGTCGGCCTCATCGGCGAGCGTACTGATATGGCGTACGGTTACGACTACCTCGGAGCAGACTCTAAGGCTCTTGCTGACTTCATTGCTGGCAAGGGAACATTCGCAGCCAAATTCAAAGCAGCCAAGCGGCCCCTTATCATCGTTGGGAGCGCTCTTGCGGAGCAGCCTGACGGTGCTGCTGCTTATAACGCGTTGGCCAAGTTTGTCGAGAAGAACAAAGATTCGCTCATTACCCCTCAGTGGAATGGCTTCTCTGTCCTACATAGGGTAAGCCTTGGCTTTTAACTTCTGAATCTCAGTCGAATGAATTGATTGCCTTTTAGATTGCCTCTAGACCTGCGGCATACGAAATTGGGTTTGTTCCCTCGAAGAAGGCCGCCAGTACCCAACCCAAATTTATCTACTTGCTTAACGCAGACGAAATCGACCCCAAGTCTATACCTGCGAATGCTTTCGTTGTATACCAAGGCCACCACGGAGATCTTGGCGCCTCGCTTGCTGATGTTTGCTTGCCTGCCGCAGCATACACTGAAAAGGCTATGACATGGGTAAATACGGAGGGCCGGTCACAAGTAGGTCGTGCCGCTGTTCCCCCGCCTGGCGCTTCCCGCGAGGACTGGAAGATCATCCGGTACGATGCTATTTTTGTTTGACTGTTATTTATGCTCACTTCCTATATTCTAGTGCACTGTCGGAGGTTCTCGGTTCACCACTGCCCTACGATGATGTCCTGAGTTTGCGTGACCGCATGTGGGATATCTCGCCCACTCTTGTTCGCTACGATGTTGTAGAACAGACATCTCCCGAAGTCGCTGTAGCGGGTCTTCAGACAATAGCAGCCAATACGGCATCGGCGAAGGTCTCTGGCAAGCCCTTCCTCAAGCCCATTTCCAACTTCTACCAAACCGACCCCATCTCACGCGCGTTAGTATTTCCTTTTTATTTATTTCTACACTCAGGCTCACGCATCGCTGGTAGCTCCGTCACTATGGCACAATGTACGCGCGCTTTTGTCAAGGGAGAGGACTATGGGTTGAGTGAAAAGGGCTCGGAAGCAGCTTATGCGTGATAGATGTATGCTAGTAGTAGGAGTAGTTGTGGCAATTTCTTCTTAGGCGTATCATGCTCTTAGTCTAAGTGCTAGGCGGTCATCAGAGCTTCCTCCTGCTAGGTGCCATCCTGTTTGCAGCTGTTTGGGGCATATTGACAGACCGGATCTATACTGTATTCTAATACTTTTATCGCTTTTGTTCGACCTCGAGTTGGAACTGCTGCCAAGATGAGGTAAAAGCAGTCAGACGTGCCTTTCTGTCCGATTCCCTTTGCTCCATTCCCATGACATCCTTCATTATTGGCGCACATAAAAACCGCAGTATACCAACAGAATGGAGGGACGATGCGGATCGTAATTGCCCATTCTGTCGTATCATCGCAGGCGAAATGCCCTCGACGCGTCTGTACGAGGACGACAAGGTCATAGCTATTCTGGGCGAGTACTTGGCGCTGAGAAGTGGGCGAAACTGTATTAACCTCCTGCACAGATATCTTGCCTTTGAGACGTGGGCACACTCTTGTTATACCCAAAGCCCACTATTCGCGGGTATCAGAATTACCCCCAGAATATGCCAGCGCAGTGGGGCAGGCTGTAACGAAAGTAGCGAATGGACTGACGAAAGGTGAGGATGCTGTTATGATATTCGGTGGGGTATGTTGAAGATATCGACCCGAAGCATTGGATAATACCGCACTCAATGTGGTGTGCAATCAGGAGTATGCGCAAGCAGTGCCACACGTATGTGTTCGAACCTTCATCTCCAGCTTTGAAGCTCACTCTATGACGTTGCTACTTAGGTTCACTACCATATCATTCCTGCCCCATCATTTGACTCGAGCGCAGGAGTAGAACCGTCGGAGAAAGCAAAGGAGAAGGAGATAGCTTTAAGCCGGCGGGAGATGCACCAGCGAGAATTTGAGTCGAGGGAGGAGCTCGATGAGGATGAAGGGAAGGTCCTGGCTGTGAGGATACGAGCTAATCTGTAATGGTACGGGACAACGTCCATCTCGCTTAGTATCTGAAATATATCCTACTCTTATTATACCGCTGATGTCATCTCCCAGAATCCTGTTGCTGTCATGTAGGTAACACTCCTACAGTGATGACATAAGTATGTACCGCCCATCTTTGACAATTGATGTGTACTTCATGCATTACACTGGTCACGATTGCCTTGCCGTATTGGTTGCAATATCATCCGCATCTAGACACCTTCGGATCTCAAAAGCCTTCCAATTGTGCAGTGCCACAGCGCCCATAATACAAAACACTCCTCATCTAGTCGGTCATGAGATCTCGAGATATAAACTCGGTCCCGCACAACTTTGCTCATCGGATGCGCGCTACATCACAAGCGCTGTGGCTCTGCTGCACTTTGCAGGTGGGACTTCGTTGCGCATTGTTGCGTAGTCAGCCCAGCAGTCCTATGCTTCTTCCCTGATTTCAGGCCACCATTCTAGCTATGGGCCCGAAAAGGGAGCTGAAATACTGGTATAAGAAATTGCAGAGATAAAGACCAAGTCCTGGACGCTTGGGAATCAAGTAAGTACTAATATGTCAAGTACACATCACAGTATTTTGAATTATACTGCGTTATAGATTGCCTCTCCCACATATCTGGCGGATTGCAACTATGTCCTCTGATGGCTGTGAAAGCGAAGGTTTGCACGGATTTTTGCGATTGTTTCAAAAGGTTGCAACTGAAAGATTGCAGCGCTTCACTGACTGAGTGCCGCCCATGTCCGAGAACAGCCGCTCAACGTCGCCTGCATGTGGGACGACAGAAAGAAGGTTGCTTGCTTAACCATAGACAAACGCCTGATTCTAATGTTCATTTATTGGGTAGATACAATTAAGATTTGCATTGACAACTATACAGTTTATCATAGATTCATCTCACGCATGCTCTGGTGCCTTTTCAAGTTCTGCCAAGTTCTGCCACGGCGAATGGCAGAACGGCAGTAATCTGTCAACGACACTAGTTGTAGCTCTGCCAGTGATCATGATCATGATGCGGGGTGGACTTCTCTAGACTTCGGTGCGATGCTGTGATCGCCGGATGTTGCATTGATGCACACGTAATTTTTGCATAGTATGTCCCTAGGTTCTAGCTAACAGGTTCCTCGCAGACGACTGACTGCAGCGGGTACTACTAAGGTTTTCGTCAGCACAGCGGCACTCGGCTGTTTGCTGTTTGGGCCTATCGCCGGTCGCTGGCTCAAACAAACTAGCTTGTTACAGTTAAACCCTTATCATTGCCGGATATACGAGCTGTAAAGTCCACCTGCGGCTGTGGCCTTAGATACGTCAGCCTATCTGCGATGTGATACTGCCATAAGATGCCACCACGAGATCCGAATGTGTAAGCCCCACTAATAGACCTCGAGGCCAAGTCGTTTCTATATATAACGATATACGTGAAAGCTGGTGAAGATTCCTTTGCACCTTCCCACATCTCCTAGTCCATAGGCAACTGGACATTTCTATCTCTCCATGGTCGCAAGTGGCATACCATTAGATGCCGGTACTTTAATGTCAACAGTGCTGGAAGGCATTTTATACGGTGGATTTCGCAATAAGTCTGTCCTTCCCGTGCTCACCAAGCTACGGTCACTTCTCCAGGCTTTTCAATCCTTCTGTTTATAGGTACGATCTGGTCTTTGACCTACAAACGGCGCATACGAGACATCAATCGCCCCATTGCCGTGGTCGCCATCTTGCTGTGCATGCTGAGTACTGCGGTTAACACTTCTTATTAAATTTGAATTTGTTATCATATACTTACATCCCCCAAGCACATCATCGTGGACATTGTTCGTGTCGAATACGCATTTGTGACGTATCGCAGCACGTACCCAGGCGGGCCATCGGCATTCTTCGCAGACGTTTCCCAACAAACGTATGTGCTCAAGCATGCGTTTTACGTCTTACAAACTCTACTTGCTGATGGAGTGGTGGTGGGTTCATATCCTTATCTGCCTGTTTAAAACACTCCGTATCTTTCTTTTTCGGTTTCAATTGATGGCTGTTTGAATCTCTGGGCTTATCGAAATTACCTGGCTATAGATTTATCGCTGCTATACTGTTTGGCAATCCATCTGGATTATCATCCTACCAAGCATACTGTGGTGCAGCGTCGCAGGTTGGGGCACAACCAGGCTCAGGAAGTCGTGCATTCTGACGTTGCTTCGAAGTGACTGGTGTTATTGGCCTCTACAGTGCATCGCAATCCGGGAGTGACTCTGGAAACATCTACGCCCAGATGCTTGCGAACTGGGTCACGGCGTTCTTTTCCTTGACGATCGCGACTAACCTATTGAGTTCAGGTAAGCACTTTTCTGCGTGAGCGCGATGTCGAGGCCCTGAATGTGTCCAGGATTATTGGTGTATCGCATCTGGTCGATTGAGAGCAACGTCTCTAAAGCTCGCGCTACGAAAGGCACTATGATGCCAATTGTGCGCGTGCTTGTGGATACTGCTGTTTTGTACTCTGTGATGCTATTTATAGCATTAATCTGTTTCGTCTGCACGAACAATGGGGAAGTTGTTATGCTGGACATGGTGATTCTGCCCTAAATACCTATCGTCGAACATGAAACTAAGCTTCAATTAACTAGATCATGCCGACCGTGTCGATCGCCTTCTACATGGTGCTTATTCGCATCGCAATCGCTAGAAAAAACCGCCATTACTCAAGTATCAGTATGCCCAGAAGGACAACTAGCGAGGCGGGACAGGAAAGCTCGCGGCAAAATGCTATGAAGCCTTTGCAGGTCCATATATCCCAATTCGATGACGGTACTCCAGGGTTTGGCAAAGGGAATGAGGACCAGCTATTGCCATGCCCGGCAGAGTCTGTGTAACACGCACCTCGAAATATGTACTCTACTTAAATTTGACCTCAATGCTATACTATCGTAACAGTGCTCGGCCGCGCCAGTCCCCGACACCTACTTAATTTATTAGTTTGATCAGAGTTGATGCATCATGAGTTCTGCCTCTACATACAATCTCGTGGTACTAGTACAAGTAATAACAGAACGGACATGACATCATTTTCGCGATTCGATCGGGATATAATACTACTAACTTGTACTATGTAGGTACATAGAGGTGACACGCGTAACAAATGCTTCAAAGTACTTGACTACAATGTATTGCCTTCAATGATCCATATGCGGTCCCTCTACAACGTGTCGGTGAGGTCAATCGTACGACTCAGATCATCGTGTAAGCCCTGCACAGAAGATAATGCAGCATCAGCTAGACTATTGCACGAGAAGTACCATCGCAGCCGCAGCCTCGACCACCCCCGGATTCGTTGATGTCTCTAGTATCCCGGCATGCAGATACAGATAAAACCACAAACGACCACGCATTCGGGTCGAACACCCCCCCAATGATGATGGCGTCCATCTCCGAGAACCTGCACCGTGTATACCTAGTAAGGCCATTCATGATAGGTACACCCTCGGGCTGATCCGTCTGGGGCTGACTCCTTAACCTCTTCCTCCGGCGCATCGTCCTTTTATCTTCACTTCTCTTTCCTTGCACAACGCAATAAGCTCACTGGTGACCCATCTCCCCATGACGCGTCTTCTGGATAGCCACCACACCTGGCGTCCTGCGTCGCACATGAAAATCTTACGTTCATGACCTGCCAATGTGCCAATCGCCTGATAGGGCGTACAGGTTATTCGGATTATCTGCGTCCCTTGGCGTGGAGTCCTGGACAATCGACGAGACTGTCCAATTCCCTCCTTCCACTGGAAGCTGATACACCAAAGCCCCAGGAGAAGTATTGCCGACAGTTTTATCTTGAAGAACATCAGTAAGTGCGGGATGTAGAGTGAGTGAAGTCGAGGAGAAGGTAGTAGTGGGATTCGGGAGGCCGCGGGTGAGTGAGGAGAGGAGTGTGAGTGTGGCCGGTACGGACGGACGGACGACCTTTGATCTAGGAGCCATTTCCCTCCTAGTTGGTTGTCGATGTGTATCAGTTTGAGTGAAACGTGGGTGTGATTTGAAATAGTCCGAGGAAGGGTGTGGGTCCCATGTACATCGTGTACATCACAGTAGTAATACCTGACCGCAAGCCTCGAGGCGCAACTTCAAGCGCTAAGCATTCAGTGGACGCTACGGACTTCTGGGGAACACTTTATAAATCGCAGACTGATCACAGTCTGACACTCGCAGGCAAGTGCTTAGTAAAAATCAAGCAGAGTTTGGCGTTGCAACGTTGAACCGGTTGAGACGTTGGAGTCGTGACTGATGGTGAAATTGCAGCTCGCAAGCTTTGTCAGCGGCTTGCGACCGTGACGAAGTCTAATTTCTAATACACCCTTCTCATTTTCAATATAATGCACCAGTCTTTTGTACTGATTCACATTTCACCCGTCACGCCCTATCTTGCAGGAGACAAAGTTCCAAGTTTGAAGCTAATGCTTAATGCACGGGTCCAGGAGTTGAGCTTACATGGAAGGTGACAATGACAGGCCGCGGTGGTGTTACTTCGGAAGTTCCTTCCTTGAACTTGACTGTACTTCGTGCTCGTCGACTTTCTTTTTTCCGCAGCAACAATAAAGCCAATCCAATCTTTCAGGTGCACTGTGACCTGGCACCCACCCACTGCAAGATATTGCAGGAGCAGCTTGTCTCCTTGCGAGGGTCTGCGAGCGTTATCGCCTGTCTTTGAACTGTATTTCGAATTCTTTTACAAAGTTTGACTACAGGGGACCATTCGTATCCTGCCCTGAGCCCTATCCTTATCTACTTTCCGCTTTGGGGGAATTTTGGAGAGGTGGGTGAGGTGGTCTATCTGCATACAGCAGATAGTGCTACACGATGCTGAAACGAGGCAGCATATTCAAAGATCCGTACAACCTGTTCATTAGAACAGCCTATATACTGATGAACCTGTTTGCGGCTGAAGCGGATCCCAAGCTGATCCTAAACCTCATGTTCAATTGGAGGATCTGCGCCCTCGACTATATAGTAGTGCAGCCTGCTTGGGGGCACTTATCGTACCCTTTAAAGAGGGCGTTATTGGGGTACTTTTTCTTTACTGTCATTCACCATCATGAGTGGGTCGTATACACCACCAAAGTTGTTCCCAGTCGACGCTAACGACGCGGCTACTCAAAATACACAGCCCTTCCAGAAGGCAAACAAGAGGAAAGGTGTCGGTAAGTGAGCTGTACTATCTACTGCTAGTTGAAAGCTAAACATGACTTGCGCAGATCGACCATTCGATATTGGTGATAAAAGCGATCTTGCCCGGGGCTCATATTCCTGTGTATCCACCCCATCAATCATGATCGACGAGCTTGAGATGGACGATCATGATGATGAGGACTTTACGTCACAAACATTTCCTTCAAAATTTGATAACGCAGATCAGACATTCGCTACCCTTAGACCTCAGCACTCGGATGATGATATTTATCACTCCGTAAAATCCGATGACGACCATGCAAGTCCACTTTTCTTGCTGTTGTCATCATGGATCTAGGCTGAATTTTTATTCTTCAGATGTCAGACGTAGAAGACTCCCCTCTGCATAATAATGCTGGTGACCTCGTCCAGTCGATCAAAGGGATGTACCGGGTCCTGGACTTGATCAGTGAACAAGGGAGCGGTGGGCTAGGTGACTTCATCGTCCTTATCGAGCCTTCCTTCGCTGATTGCCACTCCTAGTGGACAAAACTATTATTGCACAGGATTCACTCCGGGCATTCACCAATACCATTTGTCCCGGTGCATATGTGTCCATGACGAAAGTCAACTTCAGCGCGCTGGATGCCTTGATCGTGAAGCCCGTTGGCATATACGGGAGCAAAAAGGAAATAGCGCGACTTCTGTTGTCTCTTGGTGTTGTTGACGACCACGTGTAAGATACAAGTTTGAGCTGCAGATTGACATCTTAATGAACTTGCTTCTGTAGAGCAGCGCAGCTTGTTGCAGACCACAGCGAGACCAGTGTTTCAACACCAAGCCTTCGTTCTGGACTTTACATGGTTCGAACAAATTGTGAAGCTAGCTCCGATGAACAACTGTTCGTTGTCTACTGGCCTGAGGATGGTACTTGGGATGATGCAGCTCCTTCCTCCATGAAACGAAACCGCGTCACCTTCATGCGGTTCGTCCAGTCCTCCCTGGTTTCCGGTAATTAAATTTGACAAGGGCTACAGGTACCTCACGAAAATGTGTGATCAACTCACAGCGCTCGTTTCCCCTGAGCATTCTCGCTCTATTGTATGGAGTGAACGGGAAGACGAAGACACCTTGACGGAAATGGAAGACGAATCTGACAGGATGTTTACGTTTGAAGTTAGGAAATCCAACGAGCAAGAAGAATCCGTAAAACCGCGTCCTGGATTCCAGGTTTGCCCCATTCGTCATGACTGGTGCAGTACTGACAGTCGTGTGTAGGCTACGTCCGATCACATAGCCATGTCTCAGCCTGATCCGGAGGCGACAGTGAACATCGGACTACATAAGCCTTGGCTATTGCATGGCGAGATTACTCAAGGGTTCATGACGGTCAGCAATGTACTGGCCAGGGAGGTCACCGTTGCGTCAAAATGCCAGTCCATCAATCGCTTCCGCTTAGGTATTTGGTTGTGGGTGTCGCTCTTCGTAGTCAGTTTTCCAAATCTAAATTGATACGCCCTCAGGAAACAAGACAATTTACATGTGAACGAGAATCTGGATACCAACGCACTTCGCCTTTTGCTAGGCGCAGGCCTTGGGAATCGCTTCCCGCAATCGTACAGACAATGGCAGCAGGAGTCTGCCAATATTTCATCGAATGCCAGGGACACCAAAGCATCAACAGAGGCCAGAATTAAGATGACATTGGAGAAGGAATCGCCCCTTCTCGTTCGCACTATTCACAGGGCATTGGTCAATGCCATCATTGGGGTATTTCCGTGAGTATTCCTTCATATTTCTGGATCGTATTTATAACTTGATCCTTTCAGCACATTCACACATGATTCCTTCCCCGACCCAACTAAAAGCAAGCAGGGTAATCCGATAGCTCAAGGTATAACGTCTGTGCAATCAATTGTTTGATAAGTTGATTAAAAACGTATCCAGGACTGGCCGAACCCGTTATCGCCCCTTCGTGAGTCATATGTAGAACAATCTTCTCCATTTCTGATTCGATTCACTAAGTAAACTGACCGATGATTCTTCGTCTCATTCCATGAAAAGCGAGCAGAATAGGTCTGAGATTCAAGGTATCTATCTATACAGTGAAGTTGTGTCATAGTAACGGGCTATCCAGATCAACTTCAAACTGTCATTGAGCTATACCCAGAAATAGGGGAATCAATTCGTCGCACGGTGCAAAAGCTGCGCATCGAGGTCATTGACAGTCGTGATTTCAAGACCTGCAAGGAGCGCGTTTGTATCGTTCAAAGCCTACTTCGACAACTTCCCGACGTCCAGACGAAAGATGAAGACTTCCTGAATGCAATTCTTCACGAGGACATGAAACGTGTCAAGGAGTACCTCAGAATCTTAGCACATGGTGCTACACCGCATGGGCAGCAGAAGGGATTGCTTAACAAAGCTTTGAGTGGCATTAATTCCTTCATCTCATCTGGACCACGCTCCCAGTCCGTCGTAGATCAGATGCTCAAAGATGCAGAAGCTTCTGCGTCTACGTTCAGTGATGCTCAGTTCCTCGTTCAGTTGGATGACGTCGAGAAGCTCCCTGTCATGAAAAAAATCGTTGCAGAGACCAGGGCTGTTGCATTCATGCACTTCAAATCACTTCTGGCGAAGCAGACGACAAGCTTTGACTCATTATGGGCTCCGCATACAAATCGATACATGTCTGGCCCGGGCTCGTCGGGAAGCGGTCAGCAGTGAAGAGCAACAACTGGCCGAATCACGAAAGAGGTTCATCATTGAAATCAATGCCTGTTCACAAGCAAGTCGTAATTCGTAAGAGAATTTGTGGTATTTATGCTTCAACACATTCATAAGTCAGCAGGCACACTTTTCTCATTGACGCAGTCGAAGATGGACAAGGTATTTCTTTTGATTTCGAATGTCAATGAAATAAACAGTCCCTATTAGCGTCTTCCGTGCAAATAACTGGTTCAAGGCGATATTTCAAGCAGCCAAAGCTAAAATTCACAGTTCACCTCATGCAGTTGACTACGCAAGATCTTCATTCCTTGCAGTTCGATCCCAGTTCGATTCCTTCGCCCAAGTTTAGGAACTCACACTCGTTCAAGTTACCCATTGGTGATTCAGTGGTGTATGTGTTCTTTGTAGATCGATACATAGGTATTACTGACGAAGAACTCCGTCCCAGGAGAGCGCAACTTCTTCCAGGCGAAAAGATCTTGCTTGCGACGACTGACCGGGTTGGAAATTTGACGGTGTACCTGGAACACCTCACTGCTATTGAGGGCGCCTTGGCTCGCGGCAGTCGCGGGAAACGGCTGAACCGCGATAAAATCGGCGAATTTGTTCTTGCTTTCGACGAGTCAAAGCATATGCTCGGCGTTATTGCCACAGAGAAGGTTCGTTTCACTGGGATTCTTCTGGAAGAGGCTCACAGGAATGCAACCAGCTTTTATTACATATCTTCGTTTATGATGACACTCGAGGTCTCCAGGCTACCGGCAGTGCGATCAACTTGACTCAATGGTACACCGAAGGGACCTCCATTAGTCACGCGTGTTTTATCTGCGGCTGCGAAGAATTGCTGCTCGTTGATACATCCGCACAAGCAAGAGTCTACTCTCTGATGACAATGCAGTTCAGGTCAGACTCGTGCCTACAAATGTTAAAGTTATCTAATTTATATATCATAGGCCTGCGACGCTCGATCTCATCCAAATTCCAACAGCAGTTTACTCGACTCCAGATGGTTCTTGCTTAATCACGGCTCACGTCCATGGGTCTAACTTGAAACTAACCGCCTACCACTGGAGCACGTTCGGCTCAACGGATGGCATCCCGCTCGAGATCCCTGATCTTCCAACTGACCAGCCACTGCTTCTGACTTCGCTGACTAGCCGGAATATCGTGCATTTAGTCACACTCGACGTCGACACTCAATCATGTCGATCTATCGCTCTTGATATCACCCGGAAAGTGACAGAGTTCACCTTCAAAGAAAAGGGTGCCCGAGGAGGGCATGCAATGTCCGAGAACGTCAGCGGCACTGCCAATAACTGTCTCATTGACTGTCACGCCGAAGTGTGGACTCGCTTCCCAGTTCTTCCCGCCGTTCAGCGGGAAACGATAACATCGTCCAGTAGCAGATGTCAGCGAACATTGGTGTTCATTACGGATCGGGACCATCATCTATTTGCGCCGCACTTCAATGACCTTATTTCACACTTCGAAAGAACGTCAAAGAAGCCAACCGGAAATATTCTCAAGTCACTGATGGTCTCTGCAACTACATTCTCCGATTTCTCCGGTAGTTTCCTGTCAGGTACGGAGTGGAGTGTATCAAAATTTCGCGCTGGGGAGTGGCTGGCGGAGTTCCTCTGCCTCATTCCTATCCAGATTGCTGTAACCAAGGAAAACCGGTTTATTCCACTCAAAAACGGCGTGTATTCTACCGAACTGGAGAAGTCCCTTCTCGGCGCGGATGTCAACCGCATTGTCGACTACGTGTCTTTTGGTTGGTATGAATCTCTATTTCAGTCATACATGGCCAAAAAGGTATGAACCGGCCTGAACACTCAACGATTTTTCAAAGCCACTGACTTTACTTGGTACCTTCAAGCCTGTCAAAGTTGTGTCATCTATGGGTGAACAATCAGTAGGGAAAAGCTTTTCCTTGAATCATCTCGTGGATACATCTTTCGCTGGATCAGCGATGCGCACGACAGAAGGAGTGTGGATGTCGGTGACTCCAACGAAAGATGCTCTTGTAGTCGCTTTGGACTTTGAAGGCATGTCGAATCAGGCACCCTTGCGCATCACGTGCTGATATGCTCATTCTTGGAAGGTGTTCATAGTATCGAGCGTTCCGCTCAAGAAGATACCTTGCTCGTGCTGTTCAATACTGCAATTTCTAACTTGGTTTGCCACTACTTTCATGTTGTAGATGGGAGCTTTACCTTGTTCTATAGGTATTATTCAGGAACAACTTTGCCTTGAACCGCGATATCACAGGTTTATTCCAATCATTTCAGTCGAGTTCGACTGTCCTAGATCCAGCAGCCAATCCGAGTCTGTTTCAATCAGCATTGGTTATCATCATCAAGGTAATTTTCTCCTCCTGACGGTTACTTTTCATGTTCCTTAACCCATTTCTTTTCAGGATGTCGTGGATTCGGACAAAGCGGAAATCACTAAAGAGTATGTTACTGACCATGTATTAGAACGCATACTCAAGTCGTCACTCAGGTTTGCTCTTAAGTTTCAGAGGATAGTCCGAGACGAACAAGAAGCCAACTTCATCTCTCGCCTCCACGCTGGACAGTTGAACATAGTTCCTTGGTCTGTAGAGTGTCTCACATGTCCACATATTGTTTATTGTTTTTAGGCCGGTTATCGAATCACGGGAGTTCTACAAGCTGTTCCCGACCCTCAAGCGTCGGTTAGACAAACAAAAACTGACGCACAATACAGCAGGAGAATTCCTTCATACGATGAAGACGTTGATGGCGAAACTGAAGGTATGCTTAATTTACCGTACGTTTAATGAAACTATTGATTCAAACTACCCCAGGCAAATGACTGGGGAGCTCTCTCACGTGCGTGCTCTAAAAATCAATTCTACAGTTCACGAATACTGCATCCCAGAATCGATGGCCTCGCATCGAGCACAGCTTCTTCTAGCTGTGTTGCCAAATGCTCTGGCATTTGGATTGCAAGAGATCAATCCTGACCCGGAACCTTTGAAGGTATGAAATACTTCTGCCGTCTTTTGCTTTAATCGCATTTGCATTACGTCTATGCAGAACTTGGATAACGACATTCCTATTGACATGCCCGATACTTCTTCTGAATTTTCGTTGGCGACTGGGGGTGTCCAGCAATCGTCCTCCCGCGAGGTCGCATTGCAATGTTCTGTGTCGTGCATGGGGAGACTATGATTCTCGCCATTATGTTTCGGAAGATATTTGGATTGAAAACTTGACGATTCACATCAATAGCCTGGTCGGTCTGCGCATCGCTCACGTCGGCGAGTGGATATCGTCGAACGTCGCTCGTTTCCAAAGCGGGCAAGCTAGCATTGACGAGCTTATGAGAGCCTTCGACAGCGCAACAGTGGACTTGAGGAGCAACTGTCAATTGTGCAAGCTGAAATGTGCAAGCTGCGAGCTGCTCTGTATTCAGAGCCGACTGCACGATGGACAGCATACTTGCCAAACTTCCCATGCTTGTATACATCCTTGCGATTTCTGTGTTTCGTCTGGAGAGACCAAGGCTTGCTCGATGTCGTAAGTCAATTATCTTAGTACTCGCTCGGTAAATGACTGATGTTTTCAGAGCGGGTCATCCAGGCAATCACATGTTAAGCCAGTCCTGATGATATCCGTCCATGAACTCACATGACTTTTGTTGCTTCTAGATGTGTTGTTAATGCGCATCTTTGTGGTCCAAATTTGCGGCCTATTCGGGAGACAGGGATGTCTGGATGAGTGTATGAAGGTGAGATAATCTCCACCATGGTCAGAAGGCCACTGAACCAGCTGTGTAGGTGATCGGTCACACTGAAGGCGATCATTTATGCGCTGCCACTGTACATGCCTGTGGCCAGGTATGTCCAACCCTTGAATCAACTTTTACGTGCTCAAATACGTGTAGCCCTGCGATCTGTCAAGGCTGACGTTGGCCGACTGTTCCACTCCTTGCCGTGATACTTGTGGCGTTGCAAGGTAAGTATAAGCAATCAATGCTTGGCGCTTCGTTCTGGATCTTATGTTATGCAGCGATGTGGACCATGATCAACACCAGTGTGATGCCCGACTTTGTTCTTTCCCTTGCCAACTTTGCAAAAGACTCTGTACGAACACAGACCATCTTCACGGCTTGCAGGACGGCGCTGTTCATCTCTGCGGGTTCGTTGATATCATCTATGTCGTGTATTATGATGATCAAAATTTAATATCAATATAGGGAGGAGCATTTGTGTTCTAGGGCATGCACCTGCTGATGGCATCTGCGAAATTGAGACTACCCCTCAATCGATAGAGGCAACGTTCACCGGAAGGCACGAGACGTTCCAATACACAAAGGTTCCGTGCTGTGTTTGTTGTGGGCGTCATTTTCCGAGCTAACAGACGTCTTTGATTCACAGTACTCCCAAGGTACGTTTGCGAGTCAGTTACCTTTTACATTGCCCCTGATTCGCCCTCAACAGTGGCTAAACGACTGAGATGTGTGAAGACGATACTACCAGGAGCGGTGGTCCACAAAGGTTCACACAATCATAGTTTGGATAAAAACGTGGTGCATTTTTGCAGAGAGAGGTTTCATTTTTTTTTTCATTTTTGTGGACATTGCTCATATTTTGAAGGTGTGAGCATTGTGGCTACTATTGCACATTGCCGCTTGGTAGGTGTCGTGATATATTAGACGTCACTTGTCACAAACCATCGCTCCAGGTCACCCGCAACAAGAACATGAAACTAGACACGGATCCATGTCTTCGTCTCGATGGGCAGTGGATGGCCTCGATGATACGGGTCTCGAGGTCGAAGGACGTCGCTTCTCTTCGAATGACGAGGGGACGCCGATGATGTGCAACCTTGTCTGTCAGGCATTGGGACGCCATGTCCACATCGACTACTGTCGTGCCCCGGACGCCTCCGCTTGCAGAGGGAATAACGAGGTTCAGCATATTTCTAAGAGACTTATGCCCAACCCGGAACGTGCCAAGGACTACGTGACGCACAATCTCTTCTGGCGGCGGGTTGGTGAGTGGCACGGTCGTCCGTGTAACTGTGCTCACATTGTCCGCAGGCTTTAAGGATCCTTACTCTAGAGAGGAGCAAGCAAATTTCGCCAAGTGGTGCGTTTCGGATGTTTAAAGTGTGATAACACAATTGAATTCATGCTCTTGTTAGTGACTCGATGTGTAGTGGTACGATGTATCCCATGCTTGTTCTATTGTTGATTTACCGTGTTGCCAGGACCTGAGCACACTGCTGCAGCCGGAAATGCTGCTCAGCCATCCTATTGCACTTTACCTTTGTTTCACCCGCCAGTAGATCCTAATAATACCCAAGTCGGTTTAGGATACGTTTCCGAAGACGGACATCTCTTTTCATGCAGGAATCCCGTGATCATCCAGCAAGCATTCCATGTGTGAGTGATCATCTTGGGTTCTGTCGCGAAGACATTAATAATTGTACCATTACTACACTTCAGAATCTTTGTGGCTGATAGGTGCGAGGCAATTCTTACGTCACTGCGATTGCTGATGATGAACAGATCCTCCTCAATGAGCCTTAGTGACAGACGTCCCCTTCCGAACACTCCTGCCTCGGACAGAATTACGCAACGCTCTAACAACCGATTTGGTGCCGTGCTGTCTTCATTATATTATTTCTGGTCTGCCCGTGCTGCAGCAGTCAGTGCTCAGCAGGGAGCCCGGCGCGACTCCTACAGTGTTATTCTTTTCGACACGTCCACAACAGACGCCATCGTCAACGATTTTTCTAGTTCTCCCGACCAGTTGCTAGATGCTATGTTGCCTCATTCAGCTTATGGAGGCACCAGCTTCACTGCTGCGATTCAACAAGCTCGATCAGTTATGGAACAACACTGGAGCTCAGAAAGGTGCTCAATCAAATCTCCCCACGAATGTATTGCAGATCTGTAACATTGTTTTCAGGAGCCCCGTAATCATATTCTTGTCGGATGGCGAGTGCTATATCGCAGATAAGCCTGTTCAAGATTTGTGCCGCTCCGCGGTCCGTTTTGGGTCCGTGACCGGGTTTCCATGTATTAGCAACCTCTGACACACAATCTAGCAAACCACTGTCTTTCCACGCAGTATCATTTGGTTCAGATACATCTTCTACATACTTGCGAAGAATGTCTCAAATCGCGCTTGACATTCAAAACAATGCTCCAAGAGATCCCTTGGTCCCATCGGCAGCTACAGTCGCGTCTTCATATACGCAGGCCTTAGACACGGTAAGAGTGCTTCTGCAAGAACGCGTACCAATCGTGTTCAACACTGTCTTTAGGTACAACTCGCCGAAACGTTCCTAGGAATTGCAGAATCGCTCAGGAAGCCGAGAGGGTCTCTCATCCATTGATTGAAGGATGCGTCGAATATTTAGAGCAAACAGCAATGTTTGTTTTGCATACAATAGTACTAGAGCCAGTGTGAATATGTAAGTCGGGGACTACATATGAGAGCATATTAGTGAGTAAAGACTCAAAAGTAGGGCGCAACATACTGCGTCGGAGCTTGAGACACCACTCAGTACGTATAACCTCCGTCACCTCGCTTCCTGCAGCTGCTCGACGATCGTCTTCTAACGCCCTTGTCCTCCTGTACGACATGTGGAGTCTTGTCTAATTCCTGAGTTGATCCATGGCGCTTAGTATCTCCCTAAGACTGATGGAGAGGTTGGAATCGCTGTATAACGAGAGCGGGGGCGAGGTGAATGCGTTTGTTTGGTACTGAAAGGAAGTATTAGTTGGATGAAAGGAGGGAGTATCACATCATCTTTCAAGTGAATGAATGAGTATTATCTCGCAGCCAATTTCGACAAGAACAAATAAAACAAAAGTGTATGGTGTTACTGAATAGAACAGGGACGGGCGAGATTGGGGATGCGGGTGACAAGGAACGCACATCAACAGCGTAGCAACCACAGATGAAAACCGGATGAACGAACTTAAGCACCTCTCATCAACGAGTCATCCTGCTCCGAGGACCGGGGAGGCCGACGATAGCGAAGCCGAGCGGGTAGCGCAGTTTGGAGTGCAATGCTGTTGGCGCAGGAAGTGTTGTGTGAGACAGGCTGAAGTATATGCAAATACAGATCGAACCACAAACGACTACACATTCAGGTCGGACATCCCCCCAATGATGATGGCCAGGCTGCACCATGTATACCTGGTAAGGCCATTCATGATAGGTACCTCCTCAGGCTGATCCATCTGGGGCTCTGAAGTTGACACAGGGAAGAGAAATCGGGGAGAATGAAATTGTCTGTGTCTATGAACGCGTTTACTAGTATGATGCGTTCAAGATTATGCTTCTCTGGCTGAGGTAGTATACAAAGCAAAGTTGTGCGAAGACGAGGGTTCGCTAGCGGCTACAAGCAACTCGGCCCGATAGAAAAACAAAACACGCCCAAATCTGCGCTTGGCCTTTCCAATTGGATGGGGTACCGAGAGTCGAGACACTTGCACGGTGGCCGTAGAATGAAATCTTCGAGTCAGACGCTCAATGTCCGATGGCTGGTAGCGTATGTATTACTCAGCACATTTCATTTCCACACAAAAATGACGCCGGCGGTAGTGTACCGTGGATATCCACCCTGGAGAAATTGGGGGTCAGTTATCTACCGGTGAGTATGGTGGATATCCACCGCCGGCAAAACCGGCCCGGCGGATCCGGGCCTATCCGGGCGCTGCAAAATTTTCAATCCATGGCGTTCGCGAAATTTGCGTTCATTCACCAGTATCAAGTCAATATGTATCATATAACATCTATTCCATGTCCCAATCTGCCTCTGTCAAGACCCTCTCTTGCACAATGGTGCTTGCCGGTGGAAGAACGACAGTGCTTCTCGGCGCTGCAGGTGCCAAATCTTTACTACTATCAGCCAGCACGTCGACTAGTTTCCTGGAATTGAGATTGATGATACTGGCAGCATCGAAATCTTCACCGTCGAAAGAATCAACTTTACTTGAGCCATCTTCTGCTATATCCTTGGGGTCAGCAGTAACATCTGAGTCTGACCTAGGGATTCCTTGGCCATAGCGATCCGAACACGATCCCGTAGCGTTAAATCGATTTTGTCCAGTTTTCCGCATTGCAATGCATGTCCGAATACTCGGGTCTTCCAGCGAGGTGCAGCCCAGGTTGTGGCGCATCCATATTCAGCTCCAGAACACCGAACAATCATCTTCTTGGGATTACTTTTGAGGTACGTGTTGACAGAGAGAAGATCCATCAGAGGATCAACTTTTGCACCACCTTTTCCCTTCGCAGATTTATGTTCGGCATCTGTGTATAGGTGCATGACAGACACGTCGGACTCGACAATCTTGATCTTTTTCTTCTTCGATGCCTTGGCTTTTTTGATTGGGGAGCTCACAAGCTCTATGTCCGGATCGTCATTTGACTGATGCAAATACTTTGGTAACTGTATGGTGCGTCAGTGATGAGTTTTTCTGAGGTGCGAAGTAAATGTAATTCACAGCTTTTCCAGCGGCAAGAATGACACTTTGCGCAGCTTCGAGGATGCCATGCACCCACTTCTCGAGGATGATGTCACCTGGACATTTTTCGATCCATGTTTCCAAAACATCCACTATGGCCTCTGTTTCTGGTCCTTGCTCTACAAGTTTCAGGCCATTGACGCGATTACCAAAACCTCGGTTGACAGCACCAGCCTCGCCAATGTCTATAGTCCATTCAGCATCTGGGCTGAAGTCGGAGAACTTGTACTTGGATTCTGTTGCCGGTGGAACAGGAATGTCCGTTGGCAGTGCCTTGAGACATTGTCGCAGCTCAACTAGTTGATCTTTGAGGTGTTGCTGCATGAAAGTTTTGTGGATCACGAATCACGAAGCTTGGCTGGGGGGATGAATGACTTGAAGTTCACACTATTCCATTCAATTTTCACGTCGATGTTCGACCAAACAAACATTGCTTGACATTCCACCAACTAAGTAGGCTTGTAGATTCGCAGTGTTCGATAATTAAGAGTATCTAGTACTATTTAGCGTAACCCTGCGCATGTATACTGTTATTTGAGTTATTCACATAATCCACCCTATCAATTTTGACCTCGAGTTATCCACCTAGTTATTCACGTGAATAACTGGGTGGATATCCACGCAGGTGGATAACTCGGTGGATTTCCACGGTACACTAGCCGGCGGCATCTCACACGCACGGACATCACTTGGCGCGTCATTTATCCGACTTCAAGTATCTGCATGTTTCTCAAGTCATCGGTTACCAGTCTGGTTGGTTGCCCACATTCTGTTCTGTCTGGTCTGCCTAGGGGAGACAAGAGATAAACCAAACTCACGCAAACCGCCCTTCCCAAGAAGGCCCCACCCACTACATGTCTTGAAAGCATCAAAGACTCCCCAATATTCTAGGCTCAAACAAGTACACGGCAAAGACGTGCCCCGAAGCAGAACGATGCGGGAGCACGTACCCCGTGGCATAATGCATATATAGATTGAGCACTGAGCCCTCATCAGCAACTTGAAACGAGCTGTGAGCACGTGAAGAAAGAAATGCCATAGTTACAATTTCCTGTGGTTCATCCTGGGGCGTACTTATTTTGACGCACCCTGAAAGTCGTTCAAAAGGTTAGCTGACAGTTCATCCCAGTCCAGTCCCAATCTAAATTTCTACAGGTCCTACTAGTACTCTTGTGCGGCTTCGGTGTTTATTTTTGTGTCCTACATTCATGTTTATGCACGACGCACACTAGACGCAGCCCATATGTTGCACCTACTGTAAACTTTCGTACCCTCCGTATCGTGGGTTCTCGTCCATTCCGATCAGGTGATGAGTCGGATCTCTTCTCTATTTCTGATGTTCAAGGTCACTTTGGGATTGCGTGGGATGAAGTTCTCCTGGGTATTTATGTGTGTCACTGGACAGTGCGTGTACATTCCATGCTTTATATCAGTTGGTAAGTAGCCAGAACGAAGGACATACATTTATTGTGAACGGCCTCTACAGGGCTTATACAACAGTTACCAGAGAAATGTCAATCCAAGGCAAATCCAAGGGTGAGGTTCACCCTAGTCAACCCTACTCAAACCATTTTGAAGACAATCGTTCCTCCTGCAGCTTCAAACGAAAATATCATATTTCCGGCAGACTAATTGATAGACGAAAGCGATGCATGATGATACAGCAACGGACCGTCCCCACGGTATCCATCACTAAACCCCACCTCGTCCGCGGCGGATGAATTGAATCGGTGCAAATCCTGACACGATGACATATTTAATGATACACAGAAACTGGCACAGATGCCCACATCTCTCAGCTGGACTGTAGATTCGCTATGGCTGAGCTCCCTGCGGATACCAGCGCCTTGATGTCAGCAATACTGGAGGGTATTTTATATGGTGAGTATCGCAATGGGTTTGTCCGTCCTATGCTCACCAAGCTAGGCCCACCTCTCCAGGTTTTTCAATCCTCCTGTTTATTGGCACCATCTGGTTTTTGACATACAAGCGTCGAATGCAGGACGTCAATCGCCCAATCGCTGTGGTGGCCGTCCTGCTATTGTTAGTGAGCACTGTGGTTAGATTCTTGCTTATTACTTAGTATGGTGTCGTCGGCTAACAATTTCCAAGCACATGGTCGTGGGCATCGTTCGTGTCGAAAATGGGCTGGTGAAGTATCGCGATACGTGGCCAGGTGGGCCAGTAGCATTCTTCGAAGACGTTACAGAAGAGACATATGTGATCAAGCACGGATTATACGTTTTCCAAACTGTACTTGCTGATGCGGTGATGGTGCGTTCTTATTTAAATCTGCGTTCAAAACCCTGTGGGCTTATATGAATGCCTTGTCTGGCACAAGGTTTATCGCTGCTATGTTCTTTGGAAATCCGTCCGGGTGATCATCCTACCAATTTTGCTGTGGTGTAGCATCATAGGTCAGCTTGCCATAATACTCTGGAAGTTGTGTGCTCTGATACTGCCTCGTAGTGACTGGCGTTCGTGCGGTCTACGGTAATTCGCAAGCCGCTAGTGATCCTGGAAACGTCTTCGCCACCGACGTTGATAAATGGATCATGGCTTTCGTCGTTTCGACTCTTGTAACTAATTTGGTCTGTTCAGGTAAGCACGTTTCCGCGATCCCGGTGTCGAGGCTCTGAAAGTGTCCAGGACTACTGGTGTATCGCTGTCTGGAAGATTGAACGTCGTGTCTTTAAATTGCGCACTTCGAAGGGCACTGTGATGGCAATTGTACGCGCGCTTGTGGATGCCGCTGCTTTGTACTCTGTGATGCTGTTCTCCTTTCTTTTCTGTTTCATCACCGCGAACAATGGAGAATCTGTTTTGTCGGACATCGTGATTCCGCCGTTTACCTCTTTCATGGGAAACAACGCTGACATCTGATTGACTAGGTTGTACCTATCATATCGATCACCTTCTACATGGTGCTTATTCGCATCACGATCAATTTTCGACATCGCCCCTCGACTGCCACTACTAGACGAACAATTGAGGAGATGGAACAGGGAAACGTGCGGCAATATCCTATGATGCCTGTGGAGGTCCACATATCCCAATTTACTCAGGACGACAGCGCCTCATCTTACAATGTCGGGAATAAAGACCGACCATCAACAGGGATTGCGCAAAAGAGTTAAAAGGATATTTTGTACTTGACATGTAGTCAATATGAAACGATTGGTATGAATGCCCTACTATTAGCTACTATGTTTCCTCTGGACATTAATATTTAATATTTAACCTATCTGCCATGGTGGCGCATTCGAGCTAGGGTTGACAGGGTGGGCACCGTTCGAATATCGTAAGACTCGAAGCGAATTCATGTCACACTGGTGGGCGAAGATAGATCTTGACGTGGAAAAGGGATCTAGATGGGGAATCAGGTGAAAACAACATTCCATGACATCACATGCGCAGAAAACCTCATGACAAGCGATGATGACTACTAGCGACTGTTCAATTGGCCACACCTGCCATACATGCGATGCGTAGCAACCCGCCTATAAGGTGGTCGTGTGTCATAATGCTTCAAATTCGGCCGGCGGGAACGGCGGACTGATGGGGGCACGCCTAACATCAGGGCATTCGCGACTTCAGAGATTAGAAGGGATACCGGGGGGGTCCCATAGATTAGAAAGTATTGTCATACATAGGGTATCATCCACAATGGACACAAATTGGAATAAAATAAAGCTTCAAGTTTCAACCTCGCGGAGGAACGCCAAGTCGATACTTTGGGATGCTACAAGGCTCAGGAAAGCGCTGCTGAACTTATCGGGGCGCGTCATAAGCCGCAACTACCATCGTCGCGCCGTGACAAACGGGGAAGTTGTACAGGAGTGCCTGGGAGTGACTGGTGCCGGTGAATCGTGAACCTGGGATATGCTATTACTAGTAGCGGAGGTTTTGATCCTATCTTTAGTGACACACCAGAGACATGGTAGCCTATGGTAGCCCAGTAAGTAGGAGCCTAGATGTTTTTGAGCGCTTGACCATTGGTTAACCGGCGTTCCAACTTCCCAGCGTACGTCGACAAGTGGCTTTGCATCAGTTACTCCGTCGCGCGTGCGTGTCAACCGACCTAAATATGCAAGGCAGCACTAGTTAATTTCCAAATTAACCGATCATTGCATCACTGCGTCCGCGTGGCCAAAATCAGCTCAATAGTTTGCAATTCTGGGGCTGTCAGAATGAGAAGGGTATTCAGCGCAGCTGGGAAAGGTAAACACAAAGAAGGTTATATAGTGCTGCCGCCTCCGCGTTTCCCATGCACCTACCCCCTAATAACACCCACGCACACCTCAACCTTCACTCCAACCCCTCTCACTCCATCACCCACAAACGCGCCCCTAACCCTCTCACATGCCCACCGCGTAAACTTCAATATCTCCTCATCGCGCAACGAAGACGGGACATGTGGTGAGAGCGTGATTATCAACTGCGGTTCCGGTCCTCTTGGCGCATCGGAAAAAGGTGATGAGGAGTCAGAGGGTGAGAGAGTAGACCGTGGCGCAGACGGGAACGCCGGCGAGAAGGCAGACCGTGGCGCAGACTGTAACCCAGAAGACCTCATCTCCCCCTGTCCAGGCGGACAAACCTGCCATACATGTGGAGCAGGAAGACTCGTGACATGTTCGTGTCGCTCGATTTCGCGGACGACACGCCAGAAGGATTCCATTTTGGATTCTAAGGTGTTTGTGCCTTTTGCGCCTGCACCCATGCCTTTCGTGCCTATACTGCCCACGCTGCCGAACGACGCTGCAGGTGCAGTCTGCAACAACACACCACCTAGGACTATACACGCTACGTATGCGACGTGCGTGGTAATAATAACTTGGAGAGTTGCCAGTGAAAGGTCGAAGGGTGTGTAGTGTGTGCTGCGTGGAGAGTTAGCGTAGGTTATGTCATCGAGCAAGGTTATTTGAAGGTGGGTCGTTGGGCAAGATGTGTTGCGAGTGGGGAGAAAGGTCGTGGCAAGAATGAATGAAGTCGAGCGACAAAATTACTCACACATTCAAAACCATCTCACCCCCCAGGATCGCTACACAAAACAGAATCGGAGGAAGAGCGTATGGGTTCCTCAGTATTCTCTCCCATGGCGCTTGCGCTTGTCCTCTTCCTGGGACTGAGAACGATGGAGGGAGTCGGGAGCGCTGGAATAGAGAGAGTGGGGATGGGAGGTGAATGTGTTTGTTCGTTACTGGTGGGAGGTGTTAGTTGGGGTTTAAAGAGGAAGACAGAGAATGGAGACAAAGGAGGTAGAGGGAAGGGTGCGCGTCAGAATGAGGATGCAATCAGTGTTCAGACAAATGCTATGAACATCATTGCGCACCCAACCAGAAGGACAAATAAACCGAATGGAAAGCGAACGAACTGGGGCTACAGACGAATCGAAACGACACTCGGACAATACAAGAACCACAGAAAGCACACACCTCTAACCAACACATCATGGTGCTCGAATACAATGGAAGTAGCAAGGAGTGAGAAGAGGACGATGATCACAAGACCGAGGGGGTAACGCAGGCTGATGTCGTCGGCGTAGATCCCCCGCACAAGAAGCAGAACAAGAAGCAGAACAATGGAAGGCCACAATCAAAACCAAACCCCAAAAAGAAACACGAAATCCATCAGCTTCGCCAAAGCAAACAAGAGAAGAGAAGAGAAGACGCACCCCAACATCTCAGGTCTCTCATCCCCCCAATGATGATGATGTCCATCATTCCCCATCTCACCTGCGCCGTGCAGACCCAGGCCTCGCGTGATACCCCCAGTTGCGTTCAGTGATACATTGAAAGCTAGCGTTAGTGCAGCGGAGGGAGGGGAGGGGGAAGGGGAAGGGCGCCCGTGCCCATGTCCGTGTCCCGCAGAAAGGAGAACATGTTCGACAGCTTCTTTGGCTACGTATACGCCTGCGAACATGAGGTAGACACATTGGGCGAAGAGGAGGGTTGTTTGTGTGCGTGCTGGGCTGGGTAGGGTGTTAGTTTAGGGCAGCAACGTGGGATGGTAGAGAGGGTAAAGGATGTGTGTGGGGGAAATATAGATACATGCGCACTTGCGCAAACGACGCGGCGATATATGCGTGGAGACGACTGAAGAACAAAACTCACCCAAAACCACTCTTGCTTCTCCCAAGAAGAGGCCCGCCCACCGCGATTCCAAACGCGTCGAACACGACCCAATACCCTAGGCCTGTACAAGCCAACGACCCGATAGCCTGTCCGCGCACCCAGAGCAACCCGCCCAAGCAGAATTGCAGTATGCATGCAACTCGCGCCAAAAGACCGTCTTTGCTTAGATTCAAAGAGAAATAAGGCGATGGAGAGGGTGCAGGGGATGCTGAGCTGGAACGAGAGCTTGTGCCTGCTGTGAGGTCGACGTTGCCAGAGCTTGCGCTCTCTCCACCTTGGATGTTGCTCACCGGACTCCACGGGGACATTGGAGCAGGGGTAGGAGCCGTATGCAACTCCTCAGGTTTTGCTTCCGGTTGTGACTGACGAGCGGGATCAAGGAAAGAAAAGAAGTTATGAGAGAGTGAATGTTTATGATGATGACCTCTACGTGCTGTCACGCCAGCTGGGACTGCACCTGTAGAATTTGACTTGGGCATAGAGCCCGAGGAGCCGAATGAAAAAGAAGCTGTACGGTCATGCCCGATCTGAAGGGGCTCGCTTTGAGATGCGGGTATATGAAGGTCGATTTGGGATTGTAAATTGTTATTTGGGGCAGATTCGACGTCTGAAGGGAGATCTTCAGAGATGGTTGCGTGCGGGCGGGGAAAGAATAGCGATAAGTTGCGAGAATGCATTCGACTGTGTCTTCGTCCGTGTCCTCTGAGTCCTTCTGCGGCGTCGTCAACCTGACCCGGTTCAAACGGATGAAGTGGAACATGGAACGTATTCGCGAGCGGGGATGACACGGGTGGCATGAATGGACCCGAGGATATGCTTCGTACCCGAGCATGTGATGCACGGAAGGGCGAGGTAGGCGGTGAGTTTAGAGAAATGCTAGGTGGACGTCTTACTGTTGGTGGACGCGCTGGTATTCCTGGACCAAGCTGTGGTAGTCCACTGGCAAGCCTAGCAGGCGCCGCTGTCAACGTAGGCGCCGTCGTTGGCTCATTGTCTGGAATAAGAACAAACGTGTCACCGTCGTCTAAGTCTTCCTTGCTAGACTTTCGGCGGTGCATGCCTGCACTGCTAAAGTAATTATGATTCTAAAGAGAGTGGAATGGAGAAGGAGCGGCTTAATGGTCGTCGTTTAATTTTACGTCCTAGGTCACTTGCTTATTTGGACTTGCAGTGACATCCTTTACATCAACCACCATCCGACGTCAACGATAATTAATGCCAGGCAGTCAACATCGATGAATAAAATCATGTAACATCAGTCCCGCAACTAGAGTGCGACCACCACGGTACGACACTCCCACTCCGGAGTCCGAAGTAATAATCATGATGTGATTAAGCGTCATGCTGGTAAGTCTGTTATGTCCCTTACAAGCATGCCAGTGGCCACTGGGTGATGTGACCCTCAAGTCCACTGATACCTTGGTCGAGGATAAACCAAAGGCATTGAAGACACCTACTCAGTGAGCATCATGATGTGATACGTTACATCTCTCGCTTGCAGGGGCATTGTTTTTATAAGTGACACGCTTCCTCATAGCTTATGATGTATTAACATCATATAAATTCACCGTTGGATGCGCAATGCGCGCTCTACTGTCAACTTGTCGCACTGGTTCCAACTCGAACAAAATGAAGGCTGAACAATTTTACGTGAATGCCCTTCACGGTCCTCCATACCCGATACGTCTTCCCTGGTGCGTTCAACGCGCTCCCATGTGAGTCGGGAAAGTTCATGCATACTTATAATACTGACTCGAATCGCGTATATAGCTGATGACTCGGCAACTTTCCAGCCATCTCGGACTCGGTGCGACGTCAACGTTTTCCGCCCCTCGTAACGGCACCCACCTAATGAATATGCTTTGGTCCCTCTTGCACTTCGTAGTAAGGCTAAACACCCTTAATACCCGTGTCCATTCCACCGCTCCACATGTTCCTCAACGACTCACGACCGAAGTCGGTCTATTATACCTGGACTCAGATGCATAGCTTCTTTGTGCTGATGGGTGGTTTCATGCTTTATGCGAACCAGAAACCTTACCACAAACTGCAGCCTGACGAGATACTGAAGCTGATACGTGCCGGTATATCGATGCCCCTTCCCTAACGGAAAAGCAGATATATGACAAGAGCAAAGGCAATGCGACATCGAAAGAATTGATCATGCTTCAGGTGGCCTGGTTTATTATGCAGCTCATCACCCGCGCGATCTATCACCTCGAACCACCCAGCTCGAAGTGAGGACACTCGCTTATGCGGCTCTTAATTTTCTACCTTATGAAACAAGCCTCTCAATGTGCAATGTCCACATCCAGTGTACTGGAAGTCGACCGAGTCAAGGCCAGAGGATCACATAGACAAGTATGTAGTATGCCCTCTAACAATTATACTGCTACTGATTATGTCTGTCTTAGTGTCGGTGAAGGTGACGAACTTGCTTGGCTTGGGATCTTGGCTCCAGTCTTCCGCCCGACTTTAGAACTGGTAAGCTATCCTGAGATTCCTACATCTCGAAAGCTCCGAGTTCCAACATTTGATGGCAGCATCGATCTCGAAGTTTCGGACAAGATAGTTCTTCAGCTTGCCGCATTGCTTATGGCAACTATATTTGGCGGCATCCATTGTATGGCTTGGTTTTTTGGCTTCCCCACATACCAGGAACAGGTATTATGGTGCATGAGTGCCGTTGCTATAACTTGCACACTCTGGCTTAGTATCCTCACTGCATGCCTCGTTTTCTTCATGAACACCCACGTTTTCTTCCTGAACGCACCATGTGGAATGGTTGTGGCTATGCATTGTGACATGCCATGTTGTACGTCGCAGCACGTGCCACCCTCTTGGTACTCATGTTCACCACTTTACGCAATCTTCCTCCTGACGCATACAAGGCGGTGTCGTGGACTAGTTTGGTGCTGCACTTATAATTCTTGATCATGGTACTTGTGATACACTTTTGTATGTAACGATATTCAGATGCGGCATTAATATTCTTGTGGTTGACAATAGCATGACGCGATCACATGACCTGCACGTTTGGCGTGACGTGAACCGAACAAACTCTACGGGCCAAGACTACCAAGTCTTGCTCATCACCATGGACGGCAGAAAAATAGGGCTGTTTGGTAAGCTGCGGCTGATGAAATGGACAACTGATGAACAGGTAGCAGCATTACCAATCGATGAGGAGACTATTACAATTGAACGCGACCCGACGTGCAGTCACGGTGTTTGTCTGTATTACCCAGAGAACTCTGCGTCCCTTGACGTGGAGTCCTGGACCATCGATGAGACTTTCTGATTCCTGGAAGCTGACACGTCAAAGCCGCCTTGCCGACAGTTTTATCTAGAAAAGGATCGGTATCATTCTCAGCAAGTTGTATTTTAGCATGGCATCAAACCCACTATACTTTGGCTGACGGAGTATACGTTGAAGCGGCGCAGACTCAGACGCCGCCGAGGAGCCGATTCCTCAACCAAGCACATGGCTCAAATTTCTCGATGCTGTACCGTGCATGCGTTGTTATAGCCTCTCCGCTCGTGTCCCACTGCGTCCAAAGAAAATGACGAGGAAGACCAGTAAGATGAAGATAAGAACGAAGAGGACGAGGTCAGTCTCCCCTTTGTTTATTTTCGTTACTACTGACCATGAACACCAACACGCGCAAATGGACCCCCGACTAGGACGCGCAGCACCCACCCCCATCCTCCTCTCCTATTCACATCACACCCCAAGTCAAACCACATCTTACACCTGCAAGAGCCTCCGACCTCTGGGCTTATTCATGATGCCGCAAGTATTACACCCATAATCAAGCATTTATATCGGCCTGGGTTCCAAGAGTGTGTCGAGCCGAAGTGACGCATCGGGGTGTTTGGGGTGCGGGATGTGAAGTGAAGACAAGGAGAAGGTAGTGGTGGGATTCTGGAGGCCACGGGTGAGTGACGAGGAGAGGAGTATGAGTATGAGTGTGGCCAGTACGTACGGACGGACACCATGTTCCCTCGCTAGGGTTGATTATCGTTGTGCATCCTCGCACATATTAGACGTCAGATTTCTAGCACCGATACGTGACTATTAAGGGACGTGACCTCAATCTCTACCCCAACCCCCCTCACTCCATCACCTACAAACGCCCCCTCACATGCCCACCGCGTGAACTTCAATACCTCGTCATAGCGCAACGAAGACGGGATATGTGGTGAGAGCGTGATTATCAACTGCGGTTCCGGCCCTCTTGGCACATCGGAAAAGGGGGATGAGAAGTCAGAAGGTGAGAGAGCAGATCGTAGTGCGGACGGGAACGCCGACGAGAAGGCAGACTGGCGCAGACCGTAACTCAGAAGACTGTCCAGGCGGACACACCTGCCACACATGCGGAGCAGGAAGACTCGTGACATGTTCGTGTCGCTCGGTTTCGCGGACGACGCGCCAGAAGGATTCCATTTTGGATTTTAGGGTGTTTGTGCCTTTTGCGCATATACCCACGCCTTTCGTGCCTATACAACCCCCACAGCCGAGCGACGCTGCAGGTGCAGTCTGCAACAATACACCACCTAGGACTATGCATGCTACGTATGCGACGTGCGTGGTGATGATGAGGAGAGTTGCTGAAGAAATGTCGAAGGGTGTGTGGTGTGCGCTACGTGGTGTGCGCTGCGTGGAGAGTTAGCATAGGTTATGTCATCGAGCAAGATTATTTGAAGGTAGGTCGTTGGGCAAGAATGAGTGAAGAGAAAGGTCGTCGCAAGAATGAATGAAGTCGAGCAACAAAAGCCCTCCAAGAACAAGTACTCACACATCCAAAACCATCTCACCCCCCAAAATCGCCACATAAAATAGAATCAGAGGAAGAGCGGATGGGTTCCTCAGTATTCTCTTCCATGGCGCTTGCGCTCGTCCTCTTCCTGGGACTGAGAACGATCAATGATGTCGGGAGCGCCGGCAGAGAGGGTGGGGATGAGAGGTGAATGTGTTTGTTCGTTACTGGTGGGAGGTGTTAGTTGAGGTTTAAGGAGGGAATAAGGGAGATGGAAGGGGGAGAGGGAAAGGTGCGCGTCAGAATGAGTATGCAATCAGTGTTCAGAACAACAATCTACTATGAACATCATTGCGCACCCAACCAGAAGGACAAATAAACTGAATGAACAGCGAACGAAATGGGGCTGACAAAACTTGGACAAAACAAAAACCACATGAAAAGAGGGACGAACGAAAACACAGACCTCTAACCAATACATCGTGGTGCCCGAACACAACATAAGTGGCGAGGAGGGAGAGGAGGACAATGATAACAAGAACGTGGGGGTATTGCAGTCCTTCGCAGTCTGATGTCGTTGACGTAGATCCCCTGCACAAGAAGCAGATCAAGAATCAGAACAATGGAAGACCAAAATCAAAACCCAAACAGAAACACGAAATCCATCAGCTCCACCAAACCAAACAAGAAAAGAGAAGACGCACCCCAACATTTTGATCAGGTCTCTCGTCCCAATAATGATGCATGATGATTGGCCACGTATATACGCTTGTAAACGTGAGGTAAACACGTTGGACGTAGGAAGAGGGGCGTTGTGCGGGGGGTTATAATTAGTTCAGGACCATAACATTGATTGGGGGTGGGTAGAGGGTGGAGTGGGCTGGCCCGGGATAGGGTAGGGTAGGGGGTTGCCAATATAGTAATTAGTCAAGGGCAGTAACGTTAATTGAGGGCATGGGGTGAACATGTGGGAAACATGCATATATGTATGCGCACTTGCTGAAGAATAAAACCGCCCAAACCACCCTTGCTATCCATTGTCAACTTCGAACGTGAAGTACCTTGGCCTGGACAACGAACCGTATCAACTGAACTCGATCCACATTTCTTTGACCGTAGGCTGATAGAAGAAAGTATGGAGAACCGGCGCGATCCGGGGTATGATTGCATTGTGGTTGGTGCCGAAGTATCCGCGGCTTTACTGAACTTAGCGTGTAGGGCGGAAGACTTGCCAGACGATTTAACACCCTTTATCACTCGAACAACTCAGGACCACATTAGTGGAGGTGCGTTTGGCGATGTCTGGAAATGCAATTACAATGCAAACAGTGGTATTTCAACCTTCGTAAGTCCATGTTTTAGATGGGCCTGTGCTGGCTTACGCTGATCGATCGATTGGTACTTGTATAAGGTTGCGGTCAAGTCATTCAGATTTCCCCAGAGTTATGATTTGGAGCGAATCAACAGGGTAAGTGACGCGCGCCGGGAGAACCGGATGAGTATATTATGTAACTCTTGAATGCTATCCAGAAAATCAGCCGAGAAATTGGCATTTTGAAGATTCTACGCCATGACAACATTGTACCGTTGTTGGGTACAGCGACAGGATTTGGACGAATGCCAGAGTCGCGCTGCTTAGTAACTCCGTGGATTCCAAACGGCACCTTGATTGCCTACCTAGCATCCAACCACGATGATCTCACAATGCTGGACCGTTCACGTATGGTGAGTAAAATTCTCATCACACCTTTCACTTCTCAAGACTCACTCGAAGTTGCAAGGTAAAGGATGTCAGCGCTGGACTGTGTTATTGTTAGTTTCATATATCTTCTGAAGACGTTTGGAAACGAGTGGTGACTTACCTTTGGTGCAGTGCACTCTGTACACATCGTGCACGGGGATATAACAGGGGTGAACTCGGAGCTGCTACTAGGCATTCTTGACAACTAATTTCGAACCTGCAGGCGAATATACTAATTGACGAGGGGGGGCGTGCAAGGTTGATCGATTTTGGTCTTTCCACCATTGTCCGACCCCTTCTCGGCCAGTCGCAATTGGCTGCGACATCTATAAACCCAGGCGCAATCCGCTATGCAGCACCAGAGCTCGTCGTGTCAGAAGATGTCCGTGGCCTGCCTCTGGAAAAAACTGATATATACTCTTTTGGTTGTGTCATGCTTCAAGTGAGTCAGTAGTTTTGTCACGAAATGTTTGCCCGAGGACTCATTAAACAGATTCTCTCTGGTCGGCACCCTTGGTCCGAGATCATCTCTGAAAGACCTGAATTGCGTATCGTTGTTATGATATACGAAGGTCACGGACCACAGCGCCCCGACGGCCATCCTGCAATAACAGACTCAGATTGGGACATTATACAAAGGTGTCTGTTACGCAAGCCCAAACTTCGACCTTCAGCAAACAAAGTACTCGATTTACGTAAGTCCACCGTTCTCTTTTACGACGCATCCAGGAGTGCTAACCACTCCCCTTCAGTTTGCCCACGTACGAGGCCACCAAACTTCGTTATCTTCGGCGAGATGGGCGTCGGCAAGAGCTCATTGGTAAATCTCATTGCTGGGGACCAACTTGCCGAGTCCTCGTCCGGCGCTCAGTCCTGTACATTCGAAACAACCGAGTATCCCATCACATTTTCGGATTGCCAGCTTAATGTAAATCTATTTGATACAGTAAGTGGGCGCAATGAATCTCAGCGTGTGGGTATTCTGATCCAAAAACAATCTAGGTGGGCTTGGACAGCCCCACTATGAATAACGCGGGGTATTTAGATGCCCTGGTGAAGGCACATGAGCTCATCATCTCGCTGAAGAACCGAGGAGGTATACATGGCTTGCTTTTCTGCATCAAGGCTGGCAGAGTGTCGAACACCATGCAACAGAACTACAGATTATTCTTCGAGTTCCTATGTCAGGAACAAGTGCCCCTCGCTCTGGTCATCACCAATCTTGAGAATGAGGAGAATATGGACGACTGGTGGACGAGGAACAGGGCACATATCGAAAATTCGGGCATTGTCCCCGTCACGCATGTCTGCATCACAACCATTAAGGGCTACCAAAACGCATACGAAGTCAGATACTTCGAATCCAGGAAAAAGGTGCTAAATATGCTTAAGGAACTTGGAGGTCGTGACACGTGCTTGGTAGACGTGAATGATAGGTTTGCACGGATGTCTAAGAGGCTGCGGGAGTTTTTGATTCCAGGCAGGGGGTTCCGGTCAGGGGCGAATCGCGATAAGATGGTATAGATGCTTACGCAGACGCGATGCATCTTCTTCGAAGGATTGACGCGGGTGAGGAGAACTGGTAACTCGCCTAATTTACAGAACGTCACCATTAATATTGGCCATTGAGTACTACCTAGTACGAGGCTCTGTTAGTGTTGATCACTCTACTCGTACATGTAAACGTCTAACACCTGAGTTCAACATTAGAAAATTTCTGACGCACGTTCATACCCGGATCCTGAACAGCTTCGTTTGCTGGTCTTGACATTCTAGTCTCTCCTAGGCAGACCTTAGACCACTGTTTCCCAGCTAGAGCCCAAACCACCGCACTGGATAAGCCAGTAGTGGAATCGATTGATTCCAACCGCTGATGCTGTTTGTTATGGGTCGCGGAAATTTCTGGTGCCACAAGGTTTTACTGTGGCTGAGTAACTCAGAGTAAGCAACGAGTCAGACCCAGTTGTGGATCACCTTCGCCAACTACAATAGTTATCGACTTCCTGATTTCGCCATTACATGGAGAGTATAGTTAAAAGGTCGTTTTCGAAAAATTTGAACTGAACAGTCGAGAACTACTCATACCCATGCCTCTCGTGCCTATACCACTCACACAGCTGAACGACGCTGCAGGTGCAGTCTGCAACAACACACCGCCTAGGACTTTACACGCGCGATGTGCGTGGTGATTGACTTGGAGAGTTGCGAGAGAGAGGTCGAAGGGTGTGTGGTGTGTGCTGCGTGGAGAGTTAGCGTAGGTCAAGTCATCGAGTAAGATTATTTGAAGGTAGGTCGTGGGTAAGGAGTGTTGCGAATGAGAAAGGTCATGGCAAGAATGAATGAAGTCGAGCGACAAAAGCCGTCGTCGAACAAAAACAAGAACAAGTGTTCACACATTCAAAACCATCTCAACCCCCCAAAATCGTCACACAAAACAGAATCGGAGGAAGAGTGTATGGGTTCCTCAGTATTCTCTCCCATGATACTTGCACTTGTCCTCTTCCTGGGACTGAGAACGATGTATGGAGTCGGGAGCGCTGGAATAGAGGGAGCGGGAACGGGAGGTGAATATTCGTTACTGGTGGGAGGTGTTAGTTGGGATTTAAGGAGGGACCAAAGGAGATGGAAGGGGGAGAGGGAAGGGTGCGCGTCAGAATGAGTATGTAATCAGTGTTCAGACACAACTACTATGCTATGAACATCATTGCGCACCCAACCAGAAGGACAAATAAACCGAATGAACAGCGAATGAAATGGGCAGATGAACTGAAATCGACATGAAACGTGGACTAACAAAAACACACACCTCTAACCAACACATCGTGGTGCTCGAACACAATGGAAGTAACGAGGAGCAAGAGGGCGATGATGATGAGACCGAGGGGGCGTCGCCGTCTAATGTCGTTGGCGTAGATCCCCAGCACAAGAAGCAGAACAATGCAAGACCAAAAACCAACATCATCCCCCCAAAAAGAAACACGAAATCCGTCAGCTTCACCAAATCAAATAAGAAAAGAGAAAACGCACCCAAACATCTCAGGTCTCTCATCCCCCCAATGATGATGATGACCATCATTCCCCATCTCACCTGCACCATGCAGACCCAGGCGGCCAGGCCTTGTGTAATACCCCCAGCTGCATTCAGTGATGCGCTCAAAGGCTCTAACGTTGATGCAGCGGAGGGAATCGATGGGAGGGAGCAGGGAAGGACACCTGTGCCCATGTCCGTGTCCCATGGGAAGCAGAATATGTATGTTCGACAGCTTCTTTGGCTGAGGAACAAAACTCACCCAAAACCACCCTATTGTTATTCTAAGAGTAGAATGGAGAAGGAGCGGCTTGATGCATGATGGTTGTCGTTTAATTTCAGGTGCCGAGCGCTGAGCGCCAAGTGCTTATTTGAACTTGCACATCCTTTAATACATCAACGTTTCAACCACTATCCGACATTACATAAAAACCAGGCAGTCACATCGACGAATAAAATCATGTAGTATCAGTCGAACTCTCAGCGCTGCAGCCACAACTAGAGTGTGACGACCACGGTTCCAACCTCGAGGCGTAGTGACTACTCGTGGCGTAGTTTCGACTTAAGTCCGAGGAATGCGTGGTGTCGATAGGTGCTTTGAATTTGTGTGTATCTGCCAATCCTGCATTTGAAATTTGAATTTGAAGCCTGGTATGACACCAACTAGATCATGCCGATCATTTCGATTGCCTTCTACATGGTGCTTATTCGCACCGCCATCCATAGAAATCACAGATACCTCTCGACTGTTAGGACGATCGTCGAGACGGAACAAGGCGATTGGCAGCAGCACACTATGAGGCCCCCGCAGGTCCATATATCGCAATTTATGCGCAGTGACAGTACTTCAGCGTACGGAATAGGGAATGAACACCAACCGTCAGGGAGGAGGTCACCTCCTTGGGTGTTGGCAAAGTCAAGGCCAACATCAGGACCGAATGTGAGGTAAATGACTAGAGCCTCTTAAGTGGAACATTCCAGTCCCGTCCCCCTTGCTGACGGTGATGCTACAAGCTGTAACTTCTCCAAGTCCTAATAACGAAGACTCGAGGATGGAAAAGAACTAACGCTTTCAATACCATCTCGCGCCTCAAAATCGCCATTCAAAACAGAATCGGAGGAAGAGCATAGGGGTTCTGCCTCATGGCTCTCGTCGACTTGATGGGAGTGACTTAGGTCGGACTGAGGAGGGAGTAGAAACTAATGGTGGTTTCGGAGGAAGAAGGAAGACATCAGGTCACGTGTCCGATTGTATCTTCTATATTCGTCAGGTTCCCAATCCATAAGCTGAATATATATATCAGCTCCCGCTCCCGCTATTCAAACAAAACTTACCTGGGCGGCTAGTGACTGCACCGAACGACCAACAGAACGGAGTGCGCATTATTTCGTCAAGCCATGTCATTTGGTGACTGATGAGGTGGGCTGAGCCCACGCACAGAGCCCAAGAATTCAGCAGCCCACTCAGCCTCGGCTACGCAATCTGCGCGGTACTACCTTTGGTAAGCGACGGTAATCAAGTTCACGTACGGTGCTCAGTTGACTTCCCGCAGCATTTAGAACGTCGTTCTAAATCTAAATCTATGTTCTAAAGTCCTTGTGCCGACGTGCGGCTGTCAAATGTCAGTGTTTTGCAAGTCCGCATGTCAAAAACACCTGGTTCTCAATGCGAGATAAAGGGGTATGGCGTGAATAGCTGTATCATAAAGTCTATTTTCAGGTGTTGATGTTTCCTAGCTTGCGCTTGTGGCCTGAATGCTAATTTGATATGATACAATTCTTCCCTCCTTTTATTCTAGAATCGAGCAGCACCCTTGTTAGCGGCGACCACACCGTGACAACCTGAGAAGAAGTTTAGCTTTCGCGACAAGTCGACTCGTAGCCGAAGGTGAAAACTTGAATGAGTTGTCTAAATCTCTCTGATACAATAATACTAGGTGGCCATGTGACGGCCGCGGCCATCACCAAGATTATACATTGTTGTCGATGTCAAGTTTGAGCCTGCTGCCAGTGACCCCCGAAACGCCCATAACCCACGCTGTACTACGGAGCTGTCGTCAAGATTCTGCAGAGGGCCTACTACTAAATTCACGATTACTTATGGTGGCCTCCAAAATTTTAGATTGCAACAAAAACACGAATAGCTGGCATGCCACAAGGGTGAGGTTGTTTGTTAAATGTCTACTTCTACTTCCCATGACTACGCTAATTATAATAAATCTTGACAATAGGTGATCAGAACCGACCGGCAACTTGAAAGTCCTACAAGCATGACAGCTTTGCTATCACGCCTTGGCGAATTCTTACTCCAGCACCATTCGTCAATTTTCATCTATATTTTTGGTAATCTCTGACATTCTCAAACAGCGATCTATCGGATTCCGCTAGGTATCGTGCGTCAGTTTTGGCCGACTCCTCAATTACCTTTTGGGCGATTTTTTCGTGCCAATTATCTAGCCACAGGGCGTCAGGCACAACTTTGCCGTCCTTAAACTCTCTTGAGGATTGCTGTACCCCCTGGATCAAGACACTCCTCTACATTTCCGCCCATTACTAGTACTAAGTTATACTAGTCATTTAGTAATGCCCGTTCCGTTCGTGTGCCACTCTGAAGTCGATGTTCTCATTATTGGTGCTAGCCCTGCTGGGCTCATGTGCGCAAAAGCTCTGGCAAATGCGAGAGTGAATGTTCGGATCGTTGATCAAACGTCAGTGGGTCGACCCCTTCCATTCCTGCTTTTAACTTGACTTTCCGTTAGGGCTTTCAAACTAACTACTGGCAAGGGCGATGGAATTTTACCTCGCACCACTGAAGTTTTTCAGGTGAAAATACTTGCTGATTGACTAAGACTCGGTATTAACAAGCTGGATATAGAGCTATGGACTTGCAGAGCGCCTTATAAAGGAGTCTTGCTAACTCCATCTAGCGGTACATTTTTCAAGATGGGCCTGCAGGATATATAGCTCATTGGATCTCAGTCCTTCTACAACCCTTCTTCCACCGGCGGTATTGAGGTTCGTAAATTCCGCTATCAACAAAGGATATTCACCGAGTTTCGCCATTAGCTTACCAGCAGAACACCAAGCGTGACAGCTCCGTCTGCAAGATACCCATTCGAGGTGTGTTCATAAATCGGACAGAAATGATATCAGCTGAATGCGATCAAGCTTACGCTCCATCAAGGAGCCATTCAAGACATTTTCGCAGATTCCATGATATCGCTCGGCGTCAAGGTTGAACGATCGACGATACCTACTTCGATAGAGCTCTCCAAGGACGAAAACGAATTGATGGATCCTGCATCATATCCAGTTCGCGTTGTGCTCCAAAGACTAGACAAATCCGAGGACGAACCACGGGAAGAAATTGTCCATGCTAAATTTGTTGTCGGTTGTGATGGTACGTTCCGAAGATGTCAATCTGGCCAATATACTCATTTTCCTTGATAGGTGCTCGTTCATGGGTCCGTAAACAAGTCGGTATTACGATGGATGGAGAACAGTCTGGTGAGAATGTTGATCATTTAGAATTCTCAGCAAGCTCAGTCTGAATCGATAGATTCCATCTGGGGCGTCGTGGACATGGTCACGCCTGACACCGACTTCCCGGATGTCAGGAATAAGGCCCTTGTACATTCCAACCATGGCTCAGTTATATTTATTCCTCGAGAACAAGATCGCATTCGCATTTATATACAATTAAAGGACAAAGATCTCATCGATCCAGTGACAGGCAGGGTAGACAAGGAGAAAATGGGTCCAGATCGGATTCTTGAAGTAAGCGGTATCCACTATATTATCAGCAGTCATTAATATTCTCCTTAGACTGCACAAAAATCCCTTGAACCTTACAAACTTATCCGGAAGAGTGAATTTTTGTGGTGGACATTATACAGCAGTATGCATCTTACTACTTGCTATGAATTCGTGTTTGTTGACATTTTCACTAAAGTTGGACAACGAGTAGCCTCAAAGTTTTCCATCAAAAATAGAGTATTCGTCGCTGGTGATGCTTGCCACACACACTTTCCGAAAGCAGGTAAGCGTCTTAAATCTAGCCCCTTCCCCGGTCTGGTTACAATGGAACTTCCAGGACAAGGGATGAATGCAAGTATAACGATAGCCATAATCTAGGTATGTCTTCTTTTCCTGTTGTCATGATCGAGCTAAATCGCTTTCTCAGCTTGGAAAATTGCCCGAGTTCTTCGTAGGTGGGCAGACATGCCCTTCTTTTGTCAACGGCAAGCTCTTGTGCAACTATTTGACTAGTTGCTCACGCCTCGCCGATAGTATGAATCAGAGCGCCGTAAATTCGCATTAGACCTGATCGCGTGGGATAAAATGTGGTCCACCCTTTTCTCTGGCAAGCCCTTGACTGAGGAGAACAGCGATGGGGTTTCGCCTGAAGATTTCACGAAGTGAGATTGTGCTGCCAACAGTCTTGTCCTTTTACTAATCCTGCGAGTTTGCAAGACTTTCCAAACAGACTTCACCAGTGGCATCGGGATACAATATCAACCTTCAGTTGCAGTAGATCACAGAAACCAGGAGTTGGCTAGTGGTCTCGTCCTCGGTAAATGCGTCCCTCCATGCAAATTCATGCGTGCAGCAGACGCATGGCCATTCGAGCTCCAGGACCTTCTTCCTTCGGATTTCCTCTTCAAATTACTTGTTTTTACTGTTGATTGCACCGATCCGCTTCAGCAAGCGAGGGTTGAGTCAATGGTCACGAACATGCAGAAACCCAAGAGCTTTCTGAACCGTTACGCGACGCATGGGAACTCACGATTCGGCATCGTCACGATCAGCAAAGACCGGAAGGAAACATTTAAGATCTTTCGGCTCCTCACGCTTCTTCGCTCTCATTGGTCAAAGTGAGTGCTTGCTCATCTGTGACGTGTGATAATATTGATTATGGTGGTTTTAGGGTGTTTATCGATGACACCGATCCCTCTGGTACCTTCGGGGGAGAAGGTTACTCATATTATGGACTGGGACCTGAGGGTGCTCTGGTTGCCGTTCGTCCTGATGGCTATGTTGGAGCCATCGCGCCACTGGATCACATTGGGGAACTTGATGCGTATTTCGCGTCTTTCATGAAGATTCCCGTCTAGAAACTAGTGGCGAGCACACACGACGGGAGAGAGCTAGTAGAACTCGTTATCGAGATGGGGATTCTAATAACACTTAAATCTCAGTATCATTGTAATGTGCCGGACATGAACAAGTCCGAGCGCGGTCATAGTTAGCTGTAAATAAAGTACGTGATAATTGTGGCTGTACGTTCCGAACTTCCCACTGGAGTCAAGAAAGTCACCTGTGAGCAAGTGCTCGATATAATGTGGTGCTGCAGGTCAAAAGACACAAATTGGATATGTGGCTTTGTCAGGAAGAGCACTATGCACAGCGCTTGGCCCTGCAGCGACGGATAGTACCGCCCATTGACATGTAGAAGATCGAAGATTGAATTTGAAATATTGAAGAGGTAAGCTCGATTGCGGCGTGGCAGTGTCGATTTGCTCGTGATCAACCGCGTAAGGGGCCGCTGACGCCATTTCATGGGATAGGTCTCCTCATACTTACTACTGAATCTATACACCTTCAACTATCAGTTTGCGATGAACGAAGATGTATTCAACTCCAGAAGGAGATATTCGAGGCTACAACCTCTTCCAGAAGCCGTCAGCAATGCAACCGCAGTTGGAGACTTAACCTCAGTAAGGGACTCGTTTTCGAAATTGAAGCATGATGCGGACATGTTGACTGTTGAGACACAACCTTCCAGGTGAGACCCCGTGGCAACACTCACCATTTGCTACAGAAGGTCAAGAAAGGTGTAACTAGAAAACTTTCTGTAAGTCGACGAGGAGTTGAGTTGTACTGGAATCAATCAGGCGCTGAGATTGTACAAAAGCTCTTCAAACTTTCCCGCAGCCACGACTCTCCGGCTGCTCAAGACGTCAAACCTGAAGGTGCATCATTATCTCCTCATATCGAGGTAGGTGCTTAAACTCGCGCTTCAATCTCTGCACTGTCTCTGAGTTATGGTGGTCGCTCAAATTCAGGATGCGCATTCTGGTGTAGAAGGAGATGCTGGTCCCCAACCGATAGTCTCGCAGGTTCAACATACCTCCTCCGGTGTTGACGAAGGTGCTGGTCTCCAGCCGGTAGCCGCGCGAGTTCACAATATCACCTCTGATATGGAAGAAGGTACCGATCTCCAACCAGTAGTGACATGTCAGGATATCACCTATAGAGTGGAGGGAGGTGCTGGTCTCCAACCAGCGATCGCGCAGGTTCAAAGTACCACCTTTTGCGTGGAAGAAGGTGCTGATCCCAAATTGGTGGGCGCGGAACGTCGAGCTGCCTATGAGGCTGCAGATCACACGAATACACTTGGAAGGACGCATTCAGAAATTGAATTGCCCGGTTTGGACCGATTTACAAGCCAGCGCAACCGCGTTTCTACCTTAGCTGCCACATCTTGCTCGGCACAGAATACAACAACTATTTCCTGTGATCCACTTTCCTATCCGCATCGTCTTGACGAGATGGATAAAGATGGTCGCCCGGTATCACGAGCACGTTCATCGAAAGATGATCAAATAATTTGGACGGACCAGCCTCTCATGTCTGAGGATGCCGATGACGATGCATATCTATCTGCAAAATCCGATGATGGAGAAGACTTTGTAAGTTAACTTTCTTGTGGTCCTCATGATGTAGGCTGAAATTTCCACGTTATTTGTCAGATGGATGCAGAAGACTCCCTTCCGCACAATGATGCCAATGACCTTGTCCAGTCAATCAAATCAATGTACCGGGTCCTGGACTTGATCAGTGAACAAGGGAGTGGTGGGCTAGGTGGCTCCATTTTCCTTTCCGAGTCTTCCTTCGCTGATTGCTCCTAGTGGACAAAATTATCATTGCGCAGGATTCACTCCGGGCATTCACTAATACCATTTGTCCTGGTGCATATGTTTCCATGACGAATGTCGACTTTAGCGCGCTGGACGGCTTGTTCGTGAAACCCGTCGGCATCTATGGGAGCAAGGAGGAAATAGTACGACTCTTGTCGTCTCTTGGTGTTGTCGACGACCACGTGTGAGATATTACTTTCTGGCTGCAAATAAAAATCTTTATAAACCTTTCTTGTAGGGCGGCCCAGCTTGTTGCGAACCACAGCGAGTCTAGTGTTTCAAAACCAAGTCTTCGTTCTGGACTTTACATTGTCAGAACAAATTTTGAAACCACCTCCGATGAACAAGTATTCATCGTCTACTGGCCCGAGGATGACACTTGGGATGATTTGGCTCCTTCATCTGTGAAACGCACCCGTGTCACCTTCATGCGGTTTGTCTAATCCTCTCTGATTTTTAGTAAGTATTTTTTGACACAGGATATTAGGTACCTTACGACGATATGTGATCAAGTCATGGCACTCATCTCCCCTGAGCATGCCCGTTCCGTTGTATTGAATGGGCAGGAAGGCGAAGACATCATGGAAATGGACGAAAACCAAGACGAGTACGACAGAATGTTCACATTTGAAGTTAGGAAAACCAACGAACAGGAAGAAGCCATAAAGCCGCGTCCTGGATTCAAGGTTTGCCTCATCCATCGTGACTGGCGCAGTGCTGACAGTTCGCATGTAGGCTACATCCAGTTACATAGCCATGCCCCAGGCTCACCCGGAGATGACAGTGGATATTGAACTGCATAAGCCCTGGTTATTGCACGGCGAGACTACTCAAGGCTTCATGACAAACAGCTATTTACCTGCCAGGCGGATCACTGATGAGTGGACGCGCAAGTCCATTACCCGCCTCCAGCTAAGCAATTGGCTGTGAGTGTCACTCTTCGTAGCTAGTTCCTGTATTTCAAACTGATACCTTCTCAGGTGCAATGACAGTTTGCGGGTGAACGAGAACTTGGATGCCAACGCCGTGCATCTTTTATTAGATGCAGGCCTTCGGGATCGCTTCCCGCAACTGTGCAACCAGTGGCAGCGGGAGTCGGCCGATATTTCATCGAATGTCAGGGCCTCCAACGCATCGACAGAGGCCAGAACCAAGAGGAAATTGGAGGATGATTCGCCCCTTCTCACTCCCATTTTCCATTGGGCATTGGTTGACGTTATTGTTCAGAAATTTCCGTGAGCATCCCTTCATATCACTCTCGTATCTCTAACTCGATCACTTCAGAACTTTTACCTATGATTCCTTCCCTTACCCTACCAAAAACAAGCAGGGCTGCCCTGCACCTCAAGGTATATCTTCTGTACAATCAATTCATTTGATGATGACGGTCTTTCCAGAACCGGTCGAACACGCTACCGCTCCTTCGTGAGTCGCATCTGAAACAGCCTCAACCACATATTTCTGATTCATTCATTTAGTGGCTCTTCCCCTCATTCCATGACGAGCGCGCAGCATAGCTCCAAAGTTCAAGGTATTCATCTGTCTATATAGTGAAGTCGCGTCATGATGACGGATTGTCTAGATCAACTTTCAACTATCATTGAGCTATATCCAGAAATAGGGGAAGAGCTTCGTCACACGGTGCAAAAGTTGTGCCTCGAGAAGATTAACAGTGGCGATTTCAAGAGCTCCAAGGAACGGATTTATATCGCTCAAAGCCTACTTCGTCAGATTCCTGACACCAAGATGAAAGACGAAGATTTTTTGAATGTAATTCTTCACAAGGACATGCGACACGTCAGGGAGTCTGTCAGGATGATAGGGCGAAGTGCTGCCCCGCATCAGCAGCCAAAGGGATTGATAAACACCGCTTGGAGTGGTATTAATTCTCTCATCTCGTCTGGACAAGACTCCCAGTTCGTTCATGAGATATTCAACGACGCAGAGGCTGCTGCATCTGCCATCAGTGACACTCAATTCCTTACTGAGTTGGATGACATCGAGAAACTACCTGTCATGAAAAAAGTTGTCGCGGATACTAGGGCTGCTGCGTTGGTGTACTTCAAATCACTTCTAACGATACAAACCACAACTTTGACTCGTTTGGCGCTGCACATACAAATCAGCAAATGTGTTGCCCGTGTTCGTAGGGAAGCGATCAGCAGTGAAGAACAACAACTGGCCGAATCACGAAAGAGGTTCATCGCTTCCTTCAATGCCCATTCGCAGATGGGCTTTCATTCGTAAGTGATTTTTCTGCATTTCTGCTCCACCACATTCATAAATTGGCAGGCATACCTCTCTTATCGATGTCATCGAGGATGTACGAGGCTTGTTGTCTCTAGCAGCGTCTTCGGTGCAAATTACCGGTTCAAGGGAATATTTCGAGCGGGCAAAACTGAAATTTACGGTTCACCCCATGCAACTGACAGCGCAGGATTTACATTCCTTACAGTTAGATTCTAGTATGATTCCTTCACCAAAGTTCAGGAACTCGTACTCGTTCAAGTTACCCCTAGGCCATTCAGTGGTGTATGTACTCTTGGCGATTCGACTCCTACATATAACTGATGTAGAACTCTACCGTTGATCGCAGGAGAGCGCAACTGCTTCCAGGCGAGAAAATCTTGCTCGCGACGACTGATCGGGTTGGAAACTTGACGGTGTACCTGGAACACCTCACTGCTATCGAGGGCGCCTTGGTTCACGGCGGCCGCGGGAAAAAGCTGAATAGCGATAAGATTGGCGAATTTGTTCTGGCTTTCGATGAGTCGAAGTGTGTGCTCAGCGTTGTTGCCACAGAGAAAGTTCGTTCCACTAGGAATCTGCTGGGACTTGCCTAACGAACTCACCATCAGCTCTTGCTACACATCTTCATTTACGATGATAACCGTGTCGGTTTCCAGGCTAACGGCAGCGCAATCAACTTGACGCAATGGTATCCTGAAGGGACTTCTATCATTCATGCATGTTTCATATGCGGTGGGGAAGAATTGCTGCTCATTGATACATTGGCACAGGCCAGAGTATACTCCTTGACGACCATGCAGTTTAGGTCAGACTTTGCGCCCACAAGAGTGAAAGACATTTAATTCATATATCACAGGCCTGCGACCCTCAATCTCATCCAGATTCCAACGGCAGTTTACTCGACTTCAGATGGTTCTTGCTTAATCACAGCTCACGTCCATGGGTCTAACTTGAAACTAACCGCCTACCACTGGAGCACGTTCGGCTCAACGGATGGCATCCCACTCGAGATCCCTGATCTTCCATTGGACCAGCCACTACTTCTGACGTCGCTGACTAGCCGTAATATCGTGCATTTGGTCACACTTGACATTGACACACGATCATGTCGGTCTATTGCTCTTGACATCACCCGGAAAGCGACAGAGTTCACCTTCAAAGAAAGGGGCACCCGAGGAGGGAATGCAAAATCAGCGAATGTCGCTGCCCACAGCTCCCTCATTGATTGTCACGCTGAAGTGTGGACGCGCTTTCCGGTTCTTACTGCCATTCAGCGCGAAACGATCACGTCATCCAGTAAGAGGTGTCAGCGAACGTTGGTGTTCATTACAGAACAAGACCATCATAGATTCGTACCGCACTTCCATGATCTTATTTCAACCTTTGAAAGGACATCAAAGAAGCCAACTGGAAATCTTCTCAAGAGAATTGATGTCTCTTCAACGACATACTCTGCTTTTCACAATATTCACCTTGGTGGTGCTGAGTGGAACGTGTCGAAATTCCGCGCTGGGGAGTGGCTGGCGGAGTTCCTCTGCCTCATTCCTATCCAGATTGCTGTGACAATGGAAAATCGCTTCATTCCGCTCAAGGACGGGGTGTATTCTACTCAGCTGGAGAAGTCCCTTCTCGGCGCGGATGTCAACCGCATTGTGGATCACCTTTCCTTTGGTTGGTATGAATCTTTGTTCCAGTCATATATGGCCAAAAAGGTATGAACCGGCCTGAACACTCAACGATTTTTCAAAGCCACTGACTTTACTTGGTACCTTCAAGCCTGTCAAAGTTGTGTCATCTATGGGTGAACAATCAGTGGGGAAAAGCTTTTCCTTGAACCATCTCGTGGACACATCTTTTGCTGGATCAGCAATGCGCACAACAGAAGGAGTGTGGATGTCGGTGACTCCAACGAAAGATGCTCTTGTAGTCGCTTTGGACTTTGAAGGCACGTCGAATCAGGCATCCTTGCGCATCAGTGCTCACATCCTCACCCAAAAGGTGTCCATAGTATTGAGCGTTCAACTCAAGAAGATACTTTACTCGTCCTTTTCAATACTGCAATCTCTAACTTGGTTTGACACCACTTTCATGCTGCAAATGGGAGCTTGACCTCGTTTCATAGGTGCTGTTCCGGAATAACTTCGCCTTGAGCCGCAATATTACAGGACTATTCCACTCATTCCAATCGAGTGCGACTGTTCTAGACCCAGCAGCTAACCCGAATCTGTTTCAATCAACATTGGTGATCATTATCAAGGTGATATTCCCCTTCTGACGGTCGCTTTCATATAGCTGAACTTGGCAACTTTAGGACGTCGTGGATTCAGACAAAGTAGATATAACCAAAGAGTATGTTTATGATCATGTCCTGATGAGAGCATACTCAAGTTGGCACTCAGGTTCGCTCTCAAGTTTCAGAAGATTGTCCAGGATGAACAAGAGGCCAACTTTATTTCTCGCCTTCACGCTGGACAGTTAAATATAATTCCATGGTATGCGCAGTGTTTCTGTGTGTATGTTTACACACAACTTTATCATTTTGTAGGCCGGTGATTGAGTCGCAGGAATTTTACAAGCTGTTCCCAGCCCTTAAGCGCCAATTGGACAAACAGAAACTCACTCATAATACAGCAGGAGAGTTCCTTCATGTGATGAAGACCTTGATGGCAAAACTGAAGGTACGCTTCAGTCACTACATTTTGTCAGGGTATTGATCTAAACTTCTGCAGGCAAATGATTGGGGTGCTCTCTCACGTGCGTACTCTTAGATTTAGAAATAATAAAACAGTTCAGTTGACGAATGATGTATCGCAGAATCGATGGCCTCGCATCGAGCACAACTTCTTTCAGTCATGTTGCCCAACGCTCTAGCATTTGGACTGCAAGAGGTTGATCCTTGTCCGGAACCTTTGAAGGTATGAAACACTTCTACTGCCTTTTGTCTGAATTGTGATTAACCTGGCATTTATAAAGAACCTGGATGACGGTGTCCCAATCGGTATGCCTGATACTGCATCAGAATTCTCATTAGCAGGGGGGGGAGCAGTCTTCTTCTCGCGAGGCTGCTCTGCACATCCTGTCTCATACATGGCAAGACTATGATTCTCGCCAACACATGGCAGACATTCTTTGGATTGAGAATTTGACCGCTCACATTAACAATCTGATCAATTTGCGCATCGCTCACGTTCACGAGTGGATATCATTGAATGTCGCTCGCTTTCCAAGCGGGCAAGCAAGCATTGGCGAGCTCATGAGAACCTTCGGCAGTGCAACAATAGACTTGAAGAGCAACTTGCAGTTGTGCAAGCTGAAATGTGCAAGCTGCGAGCTACTCTGTGTTCAGAGCAGATTGCACGATGGACAGCACCATTGCCAGACTTCTCATGCTTGCATACATTCTTGCGATTTCTGTGCATTGTTTGGAGAGACCAAGGCTTGCACGATGTCGTAAGTCAATATCTGTACTGTACTAGTGAATGACTGATAAGCTTTCAGAGCGGGACATCCAGGCAATCACATGAAAGTTGTTTAATGATTATATCCACACACTTCCTCACATTGGGTCGCCCTTTTCAGGTGTATTGTGAATGCGCATCTCTGTGGTCAAGTTTGCAAACTCTTCGGGAGACAGGGATGTCTAGATGAGTGTACGAAGGTGAGATAGATCATCTTCACCACGGTTAGAAAGCCACTGAATTCGTTATTTAGGTGATCGGGCACGCAGAAGATGATCATCTGTGTGCTGCTACTGTCCATGCCTGCGGTCAGGTATGTTTGATCCTTGAGCAGGCTTTTTCACATGCTAGAATACGTCTAGCCCTGTGAGCTGTCAAAGTTTAGGTTGGCTGACGGATCAACTCCACCTTGCCGTGGTATATGTGGCACTCCAATGTAGGTCGCATCAGCGATGAACGCTTAGCTCCGCATTTAACTTTTATGTACCGCAGTGACGTGGACCATGACCAACACCAGTGTGGTGCTCGACTTTGCTCTTTCCACTGCCAACTTTGCAAGAGACTCTGTGCGAGTACGGACCATCTTCACGGCTTGCAAGACGGCGCCATTCATCTCTGCGGGTTTGTCCATGATCAATCCAAACCACGTGTTTTTGTAATCACATGTCGATATAGGGAGGAACATCCGTGTCCCATGCAGTGCATTGCTGATGGCATCTGCGAAATCGAGACTGCGCCACAATCGATCGAGGCGACGTTCACTGGAAAGCACGAAACATTCCAGTACACGAAGGTGACATACTGTTTCTGTTATGGACATCATTTTCTGAGTTGACATACAATTTTGGTTCGCAGTACTCGCAAGGTGTGTGTCTGGTTGGTTACCTCTGACACTGAGACTGACTCGCCTTCAACAGTGGCTAAACGACTGAGATGTGCCAAGTCGATACCACCAGGCCTGGTAGCCCACGAAGGTCGGCACAACCATAGTCTGGACCAAAGAGTGGTGCATTTCTGCAGAGCAAAGTTGGAAATTTTCTTTCGTTTGTGCGGTCATTCCTCATTTTGCTCGTCTTTTCAGGTGTGAGCATTGTGGCTACTATTGTACATTGCCGCTTGGTAGGTACTATTGATGCATCTCAGCAGTGACGTTTCACAAACCATTACACCAGGTCACCCGCAACAAGAGCATGAAACCAGACACGGATCCATGTCTTCATCACGATGGGCAATCGATGGCCCTGATGGTGCGAGTCTCGAGGTTGAAGGCCGTCGCTTCTCTTCAAACGATGAGGGTGCACCGATGATGTGCAACATTGTCTGCCAGACATTGGGCAGACACGTACACATTGACTACTGTCGATCGCAGGATGCTACCTCATGCATATTGAACCCTGAAGCTCTGCATATCTCCAAGAGAGTGTTACCAACCCCGGACCGTCCCAAAGACTTTTTGACACACAATCTCTTCTGGCGACGGAGTGGTAAGTTGGCATGTTGCTTTGATGCTGGCTGATCTCAGGTCCACAGGCTTCAAAGATCCGTACTCCCGGGAGGAACAAGCAAACTTTGCAAAGTGGTGGGTTTTACAGTGCCTTGTCTATAGCACTGACCACATTCCCTATTCAGTGATGCCATGTGCAGCGGTAAAGTTATCTTAGTTACTAATCTTTGTTGGTTACTCACCCTCACACAGGTTCTGAACACACAACTGCAGAGGGAAATGTCGCTCAGCCCTCTTTTTGTACTTTGCCTCTCTTTCACATCCCAATGGATCCAAACACCCCCCTAGCGAGTCTTGGGTACGTCTCCAATGATGGACATCATTTCTCTTGTAGGAATCCTGTGGTGATGCAGCAAGCGTTTCACGTGTAAGTCGTTTTCCTTTTGTTCCATAGCAATGTCGTTAATTCATGCACTCCAGAATCTTTGTGGCAGATAGGTATTACATGCCACATATTGAATATTGCAGCACATGCTGATTATTATGATAGATCTAGCTCCATGAGTTTGACGGATCGACAACCTCTCAGGAACACCCCCGCCTCAGACAAAATTATCCAAAGCTCTAACAATAGGTTTGGCGCTGTTCTGTCGTCCTTGTATAGCTTTTGGTCTGCCCGAGCTGCAGTAGTTGCTGGTTCACAAGCAGTCAGACGAGACTCCTACAGTGTTATCCTGTTTGATCAGTCTGTTGTGGACGCCGTGGTGAACGATTTCTCCAGCTCGCCTGACAACCTGCTAGACGCTGTGTTACGTCATCGAACTTCGGCAGGCACAAACTTCACTGCTGCCATTCAACGTGCCCAATCAGTTATGGAGCAACACTGGAGCACAGAGAGGTAAGTCTCCATTATTGATCAATTTGTGAAATATTTACATGGGCGTATAGAACGCCTGTAATTATATTCCTGTCCGATGGCGAGAGCCCTATCGAGGACCAAACCGTTCAAGATTTGTGCCGCGCTGCAGTCCATCTTGGGTTTGTGGTTGTTGTTACGTTCTTGATTCACTGATTCCAGACTTCAAATGTAGAAAGGCATTATCCTTCCATTCCGTATCTTTTGGCCGAGATGAGTATTCTTCGTCATTGAGAAGAATGTTCCAGATCGCTCTAGAAGCTCAGAACAACGCCCCGCGAGACCCCTTGGCTTCCGCGGCAGCTACTGTTGCGTCCACATACTCAGAAGCTTTAGATACGGTGAGCAATTTCATCCAATGCCGGGTGTAAAGCCTGCTTGATATGTTTTTGTACAATTAGGTTCAACTCGCTGAAACATTCCTTGGAATTGCTGATTCACTCACAAAGCCAAGAGGGTTTCTCATTAGCGACAAGGACACGTAAAATGTGGGAAGGAATACAAAAATGATGTTTAAACGTTGTGTTTCTGCGTCGGCGACTCATCTCGGGAACAGAATGAAGAATAGTGCGTTGTACCATAGAGTGCACAAGTGAATAGCTTTGGTTTGAGGATATGGAAATAACTGGAAGAATTTCAATTTCAAATCCTAGGAATTAAAGGTACTTTGAAGCAGTATTTAAGTCTAAGCGGAAATTTTCATGAAAGACGCGAAATATGCATCAAGGTCCCCAACGTGATCCAGTGGCGCGATGGCTCCAACATAGCCATCAGGACGAACGGCAACCAGAGCGCCCTCAGGTCCCACTCCATAATACGAGTAACCTTCTCCCCCGAAGGTATCAGTGGGATCCGTGTCATCAATAAACACCCTAAGAGCACCTCGATCAATATTATCGTACTTCACACAGATGAGCAAGTACTCACTTTGACCAATGAGAGCGAAGAAGCGTAGGGAGCCGAAAGATATTAAATGTTTCCTTCCGGTCTTTGCTGATCGTGATGATGTCGAATCGTGAGTTCCCATGCGTCGCGTAACGGTTCAGAAAGCTCTCAGGTTTCTGCATGTCCGTGACCATCGACTCAACCCTCGCTTGCTGAAGCGGATCGCTGAAATCACCAGTAAAAACAAGTAATTTGAAGAGGAAATCCGAAGGAAGAAGGTCCTGGAGCTCGAATGGCCATGCGTCTGCTGCACGCATGAATTTGCATGGAGGGACGCATTTACCGAGGACGAGACCACTAGCCAACTCCTGGTTTCTGTGATCTACTGCAACTGAAGGTTGATATTGTATCCCGATGCCACTGGTGAAGTCTGTTTGGAAAGTCCTGCAAACTCGCGGGATTAGTAAACGGACAAGACTGTTGGTAGCATAATTTCACTTCAAGAAATCTTCGGGCGAAACCCCATCATTGTTGTGCTTAGTTAAGGGCTTGCCACAGAAAAGGGTGGACCACATTTTATCAAATGCGATCAGGTCTAAAGCGAAGTTACGGCGCTCTGATTCATACTATCGGCGGGGTGTTAGTGAGTAGTTAGATAGTTGCACAGGAGCTTGCCGTTGACAACAGGGGCATGTCTGCCCACCCACGAACAACTTGGGCAATTTTCCACGCTGAGAAAACGATTTAGCTTGATCGTGACAACAGGAAACAAAGACATACCTAGATTATGGCTATCGTTGATACTCGCATTCATCCCCTGTCCTGGAAATTCCATTGTAACCAGACCAGAGGAAGGGGCTAGATTTAAGACGCTTACCTGCTTTCGGAGAGTGTGTGTGGCAAGCATCGCCAGTGATAAATACTCGATCTTTGATGGAAAACTTCGAGGCTACTCGTTGTCCAACTTGAATAGAAATGTCAAGCAAACGCGAGTTTGTAGCAAGTAGTAAGATGCATACCGGTATATATTGTCCACCACAAAAATTCACCCTTCCGGATAAGCTTGTAAGGCACAAGCGATTTTTGGGCAGTCTAAGGGCAATATTAATGACTGTTGATCATATAGTGGATTTCACTTACTTCAAGAATCTGCTCTGGACCCATTTTCTCCTTGTCTACCCTACCTGTCACTGGATTGATGAGATCTTTGTCCTCCAGTTGTACGTATATGCGCATGCGATCTTGTTCTCGAGGAATGAGAAGAACTGAGCCATGATTAGAATGTACCAGGGCCTTATTCCTGAGATCCGGGAAGTCGGTATCAGGCGTGATCATGTCCACGACACCCCAGATGGCATCTATCGATCGAGACTGAGCTTGCTGAGAATCCTAAGTGATCGACATTCTCACCAGACTGTTCTCCATCCATCGTAATATTGACTTGTTTACGGACCCATGAATGAGCACCTATCAAGAAAAATGATTATATTGGTTAGATTGACATCTTCGGAACGTACCATCACAACCGACAACAAATTTAGCACGGACAATTTCTTCTCGTGGTTCATCCTCGGATTCGTCCAGTCTTTGGAGCACAACGCGAACTGGATATGATGTGGGATCCTTCAACTCGTTTTCATCCTGGGAGATCTCTATCGAAGTTGGTATCGTCGATTGTTCAACCTTAACGCCGAGCGGTGTCATGGAATCTATGAAAATATCTTGAATGGCTCCTTGATGGAGCGCAACCTTGATTTCATTCAGCTGATATACTTTCTGTCCAATTTATCAACACACCTCGAATGGGTATCTTGCAGACGGAGCTGTCACGTTTGTTGTTCTGTTGGTAAGCTAATGGTAGAAATTCAGTAGATATCCTTTATCAACAGAGGAATTTACGGACCTCAATATCGCCGGTCGAAGAAGGGTTGTAGAAGGCCTGATATGCAGTGAGTTATGTATCCTACAAGCCCGTCTTGAAAGGCGTACCGCTAGATGGACTTGGCAAGACTCCCTTAGAAGGCGCTCTGCAAGTCCATAACTCTATGTACAGCTTGTTAATACCGAATATTAGTCAATCAGCAAGGAAGCATTTTCACCTGCAAAACTTCGATAGTGCGAGGTGAAAGTCCATCACCCTCACCAGTAGTTAGCTTGACAGCCCTAACGGAAAGTCAAGTCAAAAGCAGGAATTGAAGGGATCGACCCACTGACTTTTGATCGACGATCCGAACATTCACTCTCGCATTTGCCAGAGCAGTCGCGCACATGAGCCCACCAGGGCCAGCGCCAATAATGAGAACGTCGACTTCAGAGTGGCGTACGAACGGAACAGGCATTGCGAAATATAATTTAACAATGCGGGGAAATGTGAAGGGGTGTCTTGATACAGGGGGTGCAGGTCCACAATCCTCAAGAGAGCATTCTTAAGGACGGCACAGTTGTGCCTGACTCGACATTTGGCGACGAAAAAGTTGCCCAAAAGGTAATTGAAGGGTCAGCCCAAACTGACGCATGAGGCATAGCTGAATCCCGATAGATCGCAGTTTGATAAGTAGCCGTGATGTCAGAGTGATTGAAAGGTCAGCCGAAACTAACGCACGATGCCTAGCTGAATCCTGATAGTGCATAGTACACACCGGTGAGTAAAAGTGCTTAGAGAATACCTCGCCAAGGCATGATAACAGAGCTGTCATGGTTGTAGGGCTTTACCGGTCGGTTCTGATCACCTATCGTCAAGATCTATTATAATTAGCGTGTTGAAACCAGTCATGGGAAGTAGAGGTAGACCTTTAAGAAACAACCTCATCGTGGGGCATGTCGGCTATTAACCCCACTCAATTGGCAGATTATTTTACGAGCAATATATGTTTCGATAGCAAGCAAAATAAATTGATGTGAACTTGATTGCCTCGGTTTATTTTCGCAATTCATTCGAAATGGACGTCGCGAAGCTTATATAGTGCCGAACAGCCGACAGTCCTCCTCGAAGACGTTTGCCTCAGTACGAACCAGTGCACAGTTGTCCTGCTAGTATGGACGGTCATTCCCCGCTGAAAATACGTACAACTGCAACAACATTGGCGCATTTGTTTGCTAAGCTGCAATTTGGAAGGCCATGCTTGAAATAGCTCACCGAAACCAGGCCTTAAATTGGTGTTCACTGCTGCCAGAAACAGATTTTGGATGGGTGTGCCAGTATGCTCCCCGCAGACTGTACTTCCTGTTGCGGGCGCGCTTCTCAGCTCGCAATGCAAGTGCGGCAACTGCGAGGCTAGTAAATTCGTCATCGGCAGATGCAAGCTGACTCATAGCTTCAAGCTTCAAGCTGAAAGGCCAAGCTACCGTGACAGAGGCGGGCCATACTGGACTCAGTCACTGAGCGTGTAAAGATGAAGGGCAGAGGTACGGACTCGGCATATTTTCTGTTTCAAACTCCGACCTAGAACTCAGTTTATTTCCCGGACGCTTTGAAGAAATAAACTGGACGAAATCATGATAAACTACAAATTGAGTGGGCTTTGCAGTAATTCTAAAATTGCGGTTCGCGAAAGATCTGCACGGCATTAGGCCTTGGTCCAACAAGTTGTATCTGATACCTTATGATTAGTTGCAGAGAGCAACGTACCTACTAAGTACTAACTGTCACTTGGTGTACAAGAGGTTGGCCGTGCGAGGACTCGGAACTTACTAACTCGCCGATCGGCTGTGCGTGGCCTTCACATGGTAGTATTATTGTACCACAGACAATGCATTTAGACCACTCATTCAAGTTTTCACATTCGGCTGCGAGTCCGAACTTGTCGCGAAAGTTGAACTTCTTCTCAGGTTAATTATCATGAGGTGTACACCGACGGTACGTGTGATCCCTGCCAGCAGGTGGCAGTCCTGCGATTGCGTGTGATAGACATAAATTAATTTCTTCTCAGCACCATGTGCCATGGACCTTAGTGTTGTGGGCAGAAGTCTGCCATTAACTGCCAGCCGGTTTGGCAGAACCGGTTCTGCCTGGCAGGCAGAATTCGGCAGAATGTCAAACTACAGGGGATCACAGCGAAAGGGTATTCTAATAAGCCTCTTCACCAGTCTTCACCTTATGTGCATATGGCCATAGTAACCTGAAATTCTCGATCAACTCAGAGTAACTGTACTTCCTCACCTGTAGAGCAGAAAATTTTCCAGTAATACAGCCTGTACTACGTAGACAATCGTTTGCAATCGTACAATGTCTACCGCTGCACTCGGCGCTGGACGCCCTGTCCCATCTTTCATAACCGACAATTTCAACCGTGGCGAGAAGGTCGACAACGAATCTGGACGCTACTACTGGTCCTGCAAACACTGTCCAGATGCTGTCCTGTCACCAGAAGGCCCTCGCTAAGGGCAGGCCGATTCGTCGACGTCATGCGCACATGCACACCAGCGCCCAGCCAGGCATCAACGTTGATGTAGCTGCTGATCTAGAAGCCAATTTTGCGTGGGCACCACCACTCGCGTCTCAGACTCAGAACATCAATGACGATCTTGCAGGTCCTGAATCCATATCACTTGACGAGATCGATGCAGCATTTGCACTATTGGCCCGGGAACACGAGAAAGAAGTCATGGAATGAGTGCTGGATGATGGAAACGAAGTGTTGGTAGGCTTCGAGTCCGAGCGCGCCTGCGGCCCCTTTGCGGAATTTCAATTCTTGCTTCTCATCCTCAAGGACGCCGTGCGACGTTTGTAAGTTGCATTTTCTGCATCTGATATCTTGAGCAACGCATGTATCTTCACAAATTTAAATACAGAAGACGTGACTTACGAGCTCATCGTTGTGTTAAAATATAGCATATTGGTTTTCATCATATGATATGACCGCTTTTTTCTTTATCCCCGGGCCTAGGTCTTGTAGGATCGGTTAACTTCTCGTACTGGTTCCAACTCGAGCACAGTGATGCCTGGACAACTCTGATGCGTTTCCCTCATGTGCATTCGTGCTCTCGCGTGAGTTGGGAAAATTCATGCATACTCATACTCACTCAGAATCGCATACATACCTGGTGACTTGGCAACCCCCCAGCCATCTTGGACCCTCAGTGCGATAAAGATGTTGCCCTCGTAACGGCAACCACACAATGAATATGTCATCTTCTCGCACTCCGTAGTAAGGTCCCAAACCCTAATCGTTGATTTACCATCATGCTCGCAAAGCGGCCTATTCCTATACGAGCATAACACTGAGTAATGCAACCGTCAATGACTGACTTGCCAAGAAGGTCGATCGAAACTATCCAGTTATCCCCAACTCCTGGTACCTTCATTTGCCGAAGATAAATAAAAGTTAGTGAAAGCCACCCAGTCGATGGATATCCTTCCTTATATGACGCGCCGGAGGAGGAGTACGGTATCTGTGAAGACGTACGCATTCGAAGCTAGAGTATCTTCATCTTCGAGCCCGCTCAAGGGTCCAGCAGCGCTTGGAGACAAGGGGATGCAGATTAGATTCTATGCTCTTTGAAACGTCGCGGCTGCGCGCAAGCGTAACTTTCCTTGGCGCAGTTTTGACATAGATCCGAGGGACACGCGGGGTACTGAGTCGACAGGTATACGTACGAGATCAGGTCGTGATGCGTGATGGCACGCTTTGTGTGATTTGGGGTGTGGCGGCAATAGAGGCGTTAATGCAATGGCCTGGCTGTGTTAATAGCTGTAAGTCTGTAACTGATCTTGCATTTGAAATTTGACGCCTAGTATCCTACTCGTTATTGTTACCGTTCCGGAGGTTGCCGCTGCTGTGGTGTATGTCATGAATGTGTAGTATAATTGATCAATATTACAGTGTAGACTCCCTCGCCGTATCAACCTGCTGTTGCGACATGATGCGCACCGACGGAAACATCGCGCGAACTTTGTGCAGAAGGAGACTAGTCCAGGGGAGGTGCACCCGGCCGGGCTGCAACCGACATTGTCTAGCCTCGGGTAGACCAAAAATAAGTAAGGTGAACTCTTTCGTAATTAAAAACCAGCCTATCTGTGAAAGCCATCAAGACACAGCGAGCTACGTTTTGCCACGATCCGAATCACCAAGTTCTACCCGATGAGTCGGATCAGTGATCTCGTACTATGATGACTCAATTCGTTTATATATAACGTATATACGAAACTGGTGAAGGTGCACACACCGCTGCACATCTCCCAGTTTTCATCATGGCTTCAAGTGGTATCCCGTTGGATACAGGCGCTTTAATATCAGCAGTGCTGGAAGGCATTTTATACGGTGAGTATCGCAAATCATTTGGTTTATTCGTCCCATGTCTGTCAACTCACTTCTCCAGGCTTTTCAGTGCTCATGTTTATGGGCACCATCTGGTCTTTGACCTCCAAACGGCAGGTGCAAGACATCAATCGCTGCCCAATTGTCGTAGTGGCCACCCTGCTGTTGTTACTGAGTACCGCGGTGAGTCCTTGCTTCTTACGTCTGTGGTATGGCATCTACTGACATTCACCAAGCACATGGTCGCGACCATCATTCGTTTGGAAGATGGATTTGTGAAGTATCGCGACACGTACCCAGGCGGGCCAGTAGCATTTTTCGCAGACGTTTCGCAAGGACTGTATGTGATCAAGCATGCACTATACGTCTTACAAACGCTACTTGCTGATGGGGTGGTGGTAGGTTCATATTTTCATCTGCCACTCTAGGGTCCTCTGAGCTCATAGAAGTGCCTTGCATGGTCAAAGGTTTATCGCTGCTATGTTGTCTGGCAATCTGTCCGGGTTATCATCCTACCAAGCATGTTGTGGTGTGGCGTCGCAGGTAAGGCCGCACTGATACTCAACTTGAGGAAGTTGTGTGATCTAATGTTGCCTCGCAGTGACTGGTGTTTATGGGGTCTGGAATGGTTCGCAATACGACAGCGTCTTCGTCCCAGAGCTTATGACGTGGATCCTGGGTTTTTTTATCTCGACGATTGCAGCTAATGCATTGAGTTCAGGTAAGCTCGTTTCCGCTCGCGCGATGCAGAGGTTCTGAATGTGTCCAGGATTAATGGCATATCGAATATGGGCGATTGAACACAGCATTACTACAGTTCGCGCTAGTACGCAGGGCACTATGATGCCAATAGCGCGCGTGCTCATAGATGCCGCCGTGTTGTACTCTGTGGCGCTTCTCATCACATTAATCTGTTTCATTTGCTCGAACAACGGAGAGTATGTTATGTTGGATCTGGTAATCCCTCTTTTAACGCTTATTATCGAAACATACTGAGCTACGATCAACTAGGTCATGCCAATCATATCGATTGCCTTCTACATGGTGCTTATTCGCATTGCCATGAATAGAAATTACAGTTATCGTTATCTTTCGGCTGTGGGGACGACCGCCGAGATGGAACAAGGCAATTTGCAGAAATATCCTACGATACCTCTGCAGGTTCATATATCCCGATTTATGTGCAGTGACGGTACTTCAGCGTACGGAATAGGTAGTGACCATCAGAGGAGGTCATCTCCAAGGGCGTTGACAGAGTGGAGGTGATATCAGGGCCGAATATGTGATCCTCCCAAATGGAACATCTCAACGTCATCCCACTTCATAACGGTGATATCACAAGTTGAAACTTCTCCAAATCCTAATGATGAAGACTCGAGGGCGGAAAAAGGACTGACGCTTTCAATACCATCTCGCGCTTCAAACTTGCCATGAAGAATAGGAAGAGCATGGGGTTCTTCGATATCCTTCTCTCATGGCTCTTGTCTATTTGATAAGAGTGACTTGGGTCGGACTGGGGATGCGGGACTGGGGATGCGGGAGTACTGGGGGCTATGAATATTGGTTGTTTCGGAGGAAGAGAGGAGATAATATTGGATCATGTGTCCGATTGTATCCTCTAGACACCCTCAATGCAAGCTATAGGGGACGTGACTCAGATAGCTATCCTAAATTTTCGAGAATGCGTTCATGTAGTAGATAATAGATAAGAAAAACTAGATGGGAAAAAGAGAACCACGGGATGTGAGAAGGCGCGCTGAGCTTCAAGCTTCATGGTTGGCATTTAATTTATGTCATCGCGCTTAGTTACCGAAAAATCAGCCACCGACGCTCATGTTGATAATTCACCAGCACCTCCAAGCTCGGCCCTTTCGAAATGGACCGCTGATGCAGTTGCACTAGATATTTCATCAAGGTTTGCGCTTACTTCTCAGGGTAATGGCAGAATTCTGAGTGCTCTTCGTGGCGCGCGCTTATTTAGACGTCGTTTATATCAAGCCACCATCAAACTCATGATTCACCGTCCGACGTGAACGGCTGCAGCTGATCGTATGATAAGGTTGCTTTGTATTGTCATTCTTCGCGCCCCAGAACAAGTACTACTGGTTCACGAGAACTGCTTCATAATGGATTCAAAGTTGGACACCTCAGTTCCTCGACGCCGTCAAGTCACGACTGCTAAGTCAATTATAGGCAAATACCACTTGATGGAACGTGTTGCCGCATGCAGGTCGAAGCGCAGAAATTGGATGGCTGTCATTTAAGTCAGGGGAGCAATGAAAGATTCCGCCGATGAGTCCGCGAAGATCGAACTTGAAGGGCTCGCAGAATTCCGTCTTGACGCCCGTCCCAATGCCTAGTTAAATCATTCTCCTCAAGCAAGTACACGCTTCTCACACCCTTTCGTACTTCGTTCAGACTGATATACCACTTCCCCTTCTCGATGAGCGAAGAATTCAATTCTCATATGAAACGTTCGAGTTCATATCCTCCTTCAAAAGCTTTCAGCAGTGCGAACGCAGCTAGTGAAGCCTTGGCAGTACGTGGCTTGTTTCTGAAATTTATCGCATTTGATGTATTGACTATTGGCGCACTCTATTCTAGGTAAGACCCCGTGGTAGAGCTCGTTCGTTGCTACTAAAGGTTAAGAATGGTGTAATTGACCAATTCTCTGTGAGTCGTCGATAAGGATGCTGAGTCGTACTGGAATCAGGCGCTGAAATTGTACACAAGCGCTTCAAGCGTTCCCGCAGCCGCGACCCTGGCCAAAGCGTCAACAATGGAGGCGCTTTCAAATCGACCCCGAATATCGAGGTAGTTGGTCAAACTTGCGTTTCAGTTTCAGTTTATGCGCTGTTTCTGATTTCTGATGTCGCAGGTTCAAAAGAATACACCTTTTGCTGAGAAAGAAAATGTTGTTCCTAAATCGATGGCCGTGCAGGATCAAAACACTCTTCCTGATGTGAAAGAAGGAGCTGTTCCTATTGTGGCATCGCAAGTTCAAAATACTCCTGGTGTGAAAGAAAGTGATGTTCCCCCCTTCGGCGTCTCGTGTGGTAGATGGCGCTGAACTCCAATCGGCGGATGTGGCACTTCAAGCTGCTCGTGAAGCTACACGTAACATCAAGGCACTTGGGGGACGTGCGGAAAACGTGATCTCCAGAGCCAGAGATGGACCAGCGGACCTCGATACTGCAGACAATTTGCAGAATACGTATCTCAAACCCCTCAGGATATTCGACTTTATCATCGAAGAGATCACGGATGTACGAGCCCTTCTTCTGCATCGGGACCGGGCTGATCCCATTCCATAGGTGCACCCATATGCAAAGATGGCGTTGGGCGCGTTGTCCTGCGCATCAAAAGTACGTTTGATTTTGCTTTCATTCCTATCCCTTGGTCAACTATTATCGGTGCAGATCATTCTGGCTCAAGTGGATCGTGATAAAGCAGTACTTCGCCTTGTCGACAAAGTGGCTGAAGTTTACGATTTCATGCTTCAGGACAAAACACTTAGCCAGATTTCGTCGATGCGTAACATCGTTGGGCAGATCTCTCAACAGACCCTTGATTGTGCCCATTTTATTAGAGACTACTCGAGGACCAAGAACTTCTGTAAGTCTTGAACAAGGTATTGCACTTTGCATATGCTGAATTCTCTACTATTATCATAGGGACGAGAGTTGGAAAAAACATTTTCTCGGAAACAGACAGCACAATCCAAAAGTACATTGACAATTTGGACACGCTCATGCAAAACTTCCGGGATCAAACTTATCGGAACGTGGCCATCTTCGTTCACCGTACTGGTAAGGATTCGGACATACCTTTGATTCGACAAAAACTCATACCTCGTCAGGTGATGAATTGAACCTCATTGGGATGACTTATGCAATTGGCGCAGGGTTAGATACCGGGAAACAATGCCTACCAGGGACGCGCAAGGAGATTATCTCCCAAATCACGGAATGGATCTATAAAAGTGGAGATTCTGCTGGACGCGTGCTGTGGCTATCTGGCACTGCTGGGACGGGTAAAACAGCCATTGCTCACACAATTGCTAGCTCATTCATCGGTGTGGGGGGGCTTGGGTCTTGTGACTGTTTCGACCGCTACCGAAGTGCCGACCTCCGCCATCAAAAGGTTTTCTCCACCATCGCGCGCGACCTGGCTGACCGTCATCCGCAGATGAGACGAGTCTTGGCGAGTGCAGTTCAGAACGACATCGCGCTCAAGAATACGGCAGATATCGTTCAGCAATGGGACAAGCTTTTCACGAAACCACTGGGGAAGCTCCCTGAATCAACTGTAGGCCCTGTTGTGATCATTATCGACGCGCTGGACGAAAGCGGCAAAGCAGACACACGGAGCGACCTTCTTCGCATTCTTTCTGGGAAGCTTCAAAACCCGGATGTTTTAGAAATCACGAAGCTCCCAAACAACTTCCGCTTTATCGTTACCTCACGCCCACTGCGCGATATTGATGCTCAATTTGCCGATGCACAGCATATCCAACGAATGTCCATGGACGAAATTCCACCAAAAACTGCGGAGCACAACATCCACACTTACGTGTCGAAGAAGCTGAAAGGGCTGTCGAATTTTGGGGAAAGAGAGTTTGAAATCATCGCTGAGAAAGCTGATGGACTTTTCGAATGGGCGCGTCTTGCTTGCGAAGCCATCCAAGAACCTCCTGCTGGCGTATCTCCAGACGAGTCCTTTGATGCTGTGGCATCCCGTGATCCTGCTGAGCGAGAAAGTCTGCTGTACGATATGTACCGCTTCTTTTTGGAAGGGATCATGCAAAAGGATGGACATAGTACGGCGATTCAGCCCAGACAGCTAACAAGGTTTCGTTCCGTGATGGGACAAATCCTTGGCGCAGCAGATCCCCTCCCTATAGAGTCTCTGAATGCTATGCGGTGCCAATTTCCAGACGAAAAGGAGCATTACAAAGTGGAGTTTATAGTGGAGCATATGGGATCCCTCCTCAGCGGCACCACCAATTCATTAACCCCCGTCCGACCCCTTCACGCAACCTTTCGCGATTTTCTCACGGACAAATCTTGCAGTGGGATTTTTTTCGTCGACATATCCAAGGTGCAATACGACCTTGCTTTTGCATCACTTCGAGTGATGAAACTTGGACTTTCTTTCAATATCTGTGATTTAAAGACATCGTACCTCCCCAATTACAACGACACCGGGCTACAGGGACGAGTCAAAAAAAGCATTCCCCCGCATTTGTCCTATTCCTGTCGATTTTGGGCTACGCACGTACAAAAAACAGTCTTCGACACGGCTCTCGCAAAGAAAGTGAGAAATTTCCTGCGTCATGAGCAACTGCTCTTTTGGCTCGAAGCACTCAGCCTTATCAACGCACTCAACCGCGCAGGTCCTGCCCTGTCACTCATTGTCCCGTGGCTGAAGGTAAGCACAGTTACTACTAGATGGCGTTAAATGAAACACTGACGCGCGAGCGCAGGGCCATTCCGGATACGAGGATGTTTCGTCGACTGCAATGGATGTGCAGAAATTCATCCAAATCTTTGGCAACATCATTTTGCACAGCACGCCACATCTATATGTATCAGCGCTGCCGTTCTTGCCCGTTAATTCCGTGATATCTGAAATATTCACTGCAAAGTTTCCGAAGACTCTCCGTCTGGCAGCTGGACGTGATGTGAACTGGACAGCTGTTCAGAGTGTGCTCCGTGGACATACGCGAGGAGTTCTGTCAGTCTCGTTCTCGCCGGACGGGACTCGCATTGTGACCGGTTCTGAGGATATGACTGTCCGGTTGTGGGATGCAGCGACAGGGCAGCCAGTTGGGCAGCCCTGGCAGGGACACACTGGTTCAGTTAACTCGGTCGCATTCTCGTCAGATGGAACTCGCGTCGTGACTGGTTCTTCGGACAAGACTGTCCGGCTATGGAATGCAGCGAAGGGACAGCCCATCGGTGAGCCCTGGCAGGGGCACACTGGTTCAGTTAATTCAGTCTCGTTCTCGCCGAAAGACACCCACATCGCAACTGGTTCTTCGGATCACACTATCCGGTTGTGGGATGCAGCTACGGGAAAGCCAGATGGTGAACCCTGGCGGGGGCATAATGGTTCAGTGAACTCAGTCTCATTCTCACCGGATGGGACTCGTATCATGACTGGTTCTTCAGACAACACTATCCGGTTGTGGGATACAGTGACGGGGCAGCCAGTCGGTAAAACCCATGGAGGATCACACTGATTCAGTTAACTCAGTCTCATTCTTCGCCGGATGGGACTTGCATCGCAACTGGCTCTCGAGATTTCACTGCCCGGCGGTGGGATGCGACGGGGAAGATAGTCGGTCAGCCATTTTTGGGGCATACTCGTTCGGTCAACTCAATCTCGTTCTCACCGGATAGCAGTCGCATTGTGACTGGTTCCTCGGACAACAGCGTTAGGCTGTGGGACGCAAAGACGGGACAGCCAGTTGCTGAACCCTTGCGGGAACACACTAGTCCAGTCCAATCGGTGTCATTCTCACCGGATGGCACTCGCATCGTGACTGGCTCCTCGGATGGGACTGTTTGGCTGTGGGATGTAGCGACGGTACAGCCGGTCTGCCAGTCCTTGTGGGAGCACACTCGTTTTGTTAACTCGGTCTCTTTCTCTCCTAATGGGGCTTACATCGCCACTGGTTCTTTGGACACCGGAATCGTCCGACTGTGGGATGCAATGACAGGGCAGCTAGTCGGTCTGCCCCTGGAGGGACACACTTCCTCGGTTAGGTCACTCTCATTCTCGCCAGATGGAACCCACATCGTAACCGGTTCTTGGGATAACACCGTTCGGCTGTGGGATGTAGAGACGAGGCGGCAAGTTGGTGACGCCTGGTGTGGGCATGATGGTCCGGTCAACTCGGTCTCCTTCTCGCCAGATGGGATTCGTGTTGTGACAGGTTCTTCAGATAAGACTGTCCGGATGTGGGAAGTAGAGACGGGGAAGCAAGTTGGTGAACCCTGGGAGCACCGTGGTTCAGTTAACGCAGTATCATTCTCGCCGGATGGCACTCACGTCGTGACTGGTTCTTCGGACACGACTGTGCGGTTATGGGATGCAGCTGGGCAGGCAGTTGGTAAACCCTGGTGGGGACATCGTGGTTCAGTTAGTTCAGTATCATTCTCTCCCGATGGCACTCGCGTTGTATCCGGTTCTTTGGACAAGACTGCCCGGTTGTGGGATGTAGCAACTGGGAAACAAATCGGAAAGCACTTGCAGGAGGACACTGATTCCATCAACTCAGTCTCTTTCTCGCCAGATGGAACTCATGTCGTGATTGGTTCTTCGGATCACTCTGTCCGGCTGTTGGATGCAGCAAAGGAACAGCTGATTCAAGTTGGCGAGCCCTTGCGGGGGCACACTGGTGTGGTGAACTCCGTCTCACTCTCGGCAGATGGCACTCGCATCGTGTCTTGCTCGGCAGATGGCACAATCCGGCTCTGGTATGCAGGAGATATCAATATGCCAGAGCGCGCCGTGAATTTCTCCCCCGATTCTACCCATGCACTCTGCAACACTGCCGAGTTAATCGCAAACACCTCCCATGATGAGCCCAGGTCGACCTCCTTTTTGCTGAGAGATGACGGATGGTTGGTTGGACCAAACAATCGGCTCTTATTTTGGGTACCGCCCGCTTCCCGACAGGCATTTTATAGTCCCTGGAATGCCTTGGTCATACCTAGGGGATTTGTTGAGCTTGATTTGAGCCGCATGGCACATGTATCACGCTGGCAGGATTGCAGAGGTCCGACTCGGAGAAGTACGAAGGAACGACTACCTTCCTTCGATTCGTCTGGCTAAGGGAGATTAGGTCTGACATGAGTGAGTTTTTACCTTTTCGTCTGTCGCAGTCTCTAAATCAATATTTCTAGCTGCACATCTTATTCCAATGATTGATATGTGAAGATGCCGTATACAATGTGATATTGAGTGTGCAGTAACAGGCGCTTGTGGACTGAGTGAACGACTTCCGGCCAGGTGATACTCGCCATTTCCCTGTTAGTTTTTAGGGCATGTACCGAATTACTGATGGACAACAAATGAAGTTATAAGGGATGTGGTTGCGTGTGGGATGGAGAGAGTCTTACATGGGGCGGGGTTTGTAAACTCCGCCTAGAGTGCCGTTGGCCGCCGTCGTGTCCCAGACTTTGGCCCAGACGTTATCCCAGACCGGCCAAATCTTTGACATTCTAGATGAATAGGGCGATTGCCCATAGGATGGGCGAAGGGATATTAAAAGGAAAAATCCCGTGGGAACGAGATCATTCAAATTTATGTTTAGCTTGTTCTCGATACACTAGGCTAGCGAATTCCTGGCCCTGAGACCCATTGGAACAAAAATACTTCATCATGGTTGAATCGAGATAATTTCAATGGTAGTACGGCATGTCAGCGATTTGCCAAGACCCTCATTCTATTCTCTAAATCACTCCGGAACCACAACGAAACTACACATCTCCACCAGTCAACGCATCTCCACCAGTCTGGAATGAATGATCGTCATAGCTATTCCCTCGTCGGACCTGGCCACAAGCTCAGCGTGATATTCGCGAATGCTGAGGATCAGGCGTGGTCCCAGCACAAACATCTGCAACACCTGGGCAACTTGGAGCACATCGGAATAAAAGGCAGCTCCTACAGACGGTGAAAACTGTAGAAATGATGATGAGCGGACAGACACATATTCGCAGGTTGGCGCACCGTGATATTTGGAGACAGTGAGCCTAGGGTGAAGCAAGTTACAAACAGCAAAGCTAACACATGCGAAACTTCAGCGAAACAAGATAACAACATCCAAACCACCAAACTCACGCTACAAAGTAAAATGCGTGACTTTTAATCAACGCCATAAAACAGTCCCCAATGGTCGATCCTGTCGAAGATTGTCGCAGTTCACGGAAGTGTTTTATGACAATCCGGACTGCCAGAACGGAGGCGAGGACTTCCCATATAGCGGTGGATATCACACTCTCATAACCCAGATTCATTTGGTATGTGCCAATTTTTTCGAAAAGACAGATAGGGGAGCCAAAAAGGACGAATTCCTCTGGTATTTGTCCATGAGTCCTATGTGCTTGAGGGTTTCATCAATAATTAAAACTTACCCACTAAAATACCGGTGTTTGACATTACTGTGGTAATGACGGAGGTGATCGTGGAAGCAAGCAAGACTATAACGAGAAAGATAAGCATCTTTTTGGATCGTCCATACATCGCATGTATCCGAATCAGCATGATGACTTGTATGGTATTTCAGTTAAGTCAAGATCAGTAAGATACCGCAGGTGAGCTCACCGCCCAGCATAGCATTGACGACGACAGGGGTCAATGCCCATATGAAGTAAGAATAAGGCCTGAAAACGCAGGTTATTGGTGCGCATTGATGGACTCGATGCTTTGAATGAACTTACAGCTGAAAATATAACTCACTCCTGTGTGGAGTGCAGTTAGCAAATGAATGGGAATGGGAGGCATCGGTACAGAACACCCACTACGTCTGTCTTGAGACTGGGATATTCCCTACATGTTATCAGTTAGAAGAAAAAAACAGTGTATTTGGGGGGGATACATACATAGTATGAGGGTCCTAATTGTAAGACATGGCTTGTTAGTACAGTGCAGTGTCAACTTATTAGCCTCGAAAATTTACACAGAATATAGTATTCCAATGTAGCGGACCTAGAATAGGTTGAAGTCGACTCAGCACAACATGTCAACTTGCGCTCATGACATAACGTACACAGATATAAAAAACGGTCATGAAGGACCAACGTTGCCTCTGCTCTAAGTCAACCGCATTATCCAGTCTGCTCTATAGGACCTTGCTTACCCAGACCAGTTCGAACTGTCGAAGTGTTCTTAGTGAGACGGCTGCGCCGATGACATCAACTTACCTCTTGTCCGAATGTTAATACTTGAATACCATATAAATATTAATGATACCCTCGGAAAGCATTATTTGACTCACCCCAATCATATACAACCGCGGCAGAAGATACAACTGCAAAACAAATGAGTGACTGTGAGACATCACGATCTTCACCCCACTTGCTCTCTACGGACCTGAAAAATAGCTGATAAGACTAACAGTACTGATAAACGGCAACCAAGCGGGATCATTTGAGACTGCAGTCATATCTGGATGGGGCGTATGGAGTTTGTGCAGACATATCACCATTCAGAGTTTTTATAGCGATCAGTCTGGATATCGGTTCCTCGAGTGAGAATCTTGATTGGTCGTAGCAACTATTGTCAATGAAACGACGAGAACGGGGAGGACGTTCCATGATCAGGAGCCCTCGATCGAAGCAAAGTAGTACATGATTGCGGGATTTTGGATTTCAATGAAGCGTGCGAAATATTTGAAGGCGCTGAAAATCAGTCGGTAAAGTAATATGTTCCAAATTCAATGCTGTTCGGCACGTTCTGCATCAGTTTCATTCAGCGGTCATCTAATCATCAACCTAACCTAGACTAATTGTAGAGCCTCATTAATATTGCATGACAGAAAGCATCGGTGAAGGAACGTGTTCCAATATTCTGTTCGGCACGTTCTGCATCAATTCCATCAGTGGTCATCTAATCATTAATCTAACGTGGACTCACTGCAGAGCTTCATTGGAGAGCAAACTGACCAGCAACACCAAGAGTCAGACAGCTAGGAACAGCTGAGTTAATGTCGTCTTCGACGCATCGAGACATTGATCATTATTCTGTTGCACCATCCACTCAGAAGGTAGCGACATACCAGCAAGTGCAGCCTAATTCTCGCAAGACTGTGCTTGGGAGGGCAATTCGTCAGGATTTCATCAAGAAAGGACCTTCAGAAGCAATGTTATAGGTAGCAGATGTGTACACTGGTCATCGACAGACTGGACGCTAGAACTTCTCAGTGGAATCCGCCAAAGGTGTTCCAGCTGCTAGCTCTCGACTGGCTTGATGTCATATGAGTCGCACCGATCATGCAGGGCTTCATCATACGACCACACTGCTGTTCATGGGATGCAGGATAATCGGAAACCTGCGGCATGAGCTCATTCTTCGTGTTCTAATGATCAAGAAGAAATTCCTTGCCTGAATGGTGTGATATGTATTGTGCTGTTCAAATATATTACTTGCATCAGTGAGACGATGATGTAAGGAGACAGAAATGAATTACACCCGCGTCTCGAGAGCAGAGATAAGAATGGGCAACGTGCCCAATCATCAGCGGCCTGCAAACTGTTAATATCGACAAGGATCTCTCCTGGCGCCATCTGACGGTAACGTAGTGGCGTACCAGAAGGTTTTCGCTTAAACAAAGTCATCTTGATGCATGAGATACTGCTGCTTCAAGGGTGGATAAGGGTAAAATATTCCACCCGCTGCTCATCTGTCGTCATCACTTCAGGGCCGAGAACCAGGTTTTCCGGGGAACGTTTTGACCGTGTCAGCAATGCCTTCAGAATCAGATACGCGCGAGGTCAAGAATGTACATAGGCAAGCTTGAAGTTGATATAAATCGAGAGTTGGGAGAGCATTGAACAGGGTGCGCATGTTCGATTCTACATAGCGAGCTTCCAGAACGCATACATTGGAAAGTGATAGAGCATTGAACAGGCCAGACATTTTCCTCATGTTCCCAGGGTCATGAGCAACACGTAATGCAGGAGACGGTGGAAAAAATGTGGGATAAGGCTGATATATCGATATATTGGACCTTGGTAGACCTTGGTTACTGACACGAGGGATCCAGGAAAGATTGAAACTGTAGAAGAGGGATTAGACTCGTGGTGACAGTCGTTCCTTGTAATAAGCACGAGAGATTTACTGGTACTCTCGGTCTCTGAACTGATAGTGATAGCCGCTACCATTCAGATGCACCGGGTTCGAGTGCAGCGGATTGGTCGTCTGCCACGCATAGCCATCAGAAGGTTAAATTTGACGTGTTTGTGATGGCGGCCTGTGTCAGACTCGAGCCTTGTCAGTAACGTCACCTTTTCTTCTTCGACTCGCACACTAAGCGGCGCAAAAAAGGCGAACTATCACGCCGGTGGGTCATTTGGTTAAATCCAGGATGCAAACTACTCACGTAGTTGCCGCAGCACTGGCTACTTTTTACGCAAAAGACAGGACAGTTCTTTGTCAAAGCAGCAACGACCTGAGCGAGGACAAAGAAGAAACGCATTGTTTGTGAGGATGTAATAGGGGATCAAATAAATCTGAAGAAGACAGTAGGAAGACACCTTGCTTTATATGCTGAATATATTGGCGAAGGAGGAACCTATCCACCTGGAATTCCCTTTCGAACAGTTGATATCTGCAAAGCCGACGGATTTCCACCACCTTGTGAAGCAAGTTTTGTTGGCGATTTGGCGTGGAATAATATATCATCTTGCGAATGCAATCAGCAGATTGGGTAGATCCTCTGACTTGATCACGTTGGCTTAAACAGCAGCTTGAGTTTCCGGAACTTTGCCTCGAATGCGTGACGCTCGTACTTTATCAGCAGAAAGATCGAGGAATTCCAGGCCCGGTAACTCGTACAAACTATACCGCGATATATGCACCTCCGCAGGGAAGTACCATGAGAATGTCGTGTAAAAGGGTATGCGGGACACCCTAGGCCACGACAGTCAGGAACATTTTCGATGACCGGGGTATCTTGGCCATCCGCCGCGTGGTCCATTTCAGGCACAAATTGAACTTCAGTAGAAGGTCGCCTCCACATGAGAAGACACTGCAGGATGGTAATATGGTATGGCCATGCAGATTCATCTTACTATCAAAATATTAATTTCAATTTCCTCTGACCTTGTGATGATGGTGGTTTCAAGAGTCGGCCATCTCCGGCATCCGCGGCAATTCGGAACACTGCACAGTGCACAGCGAGCAACTCAGCCTGGCCCTTGGCCAAGTGGTCACTGGTAAACTTTGGCATGGCTGGTGCATTTAGGTGGGCACAGTTCGATTCTCGAAGAGTTGAGCATCTTGATGTTATGTAGTATCATGTGAGTACATCATATTCAGGAATTCACACCCCAAGACTTCGGCTGACTTTTCGAAGTGACTGAATTCGGGCTATGTCCATCACAACCCGAGTTATCGATGGCCGTGTCGGCACTGCTCTTTTCTCATCACCATATGATCACCTGTCATCTGTGTAGACCGGTCTTCTTTATATGCGTGCGGTTTTCTGATCCCGCGGCAACGAACAGGAAGTAGCACTTAGTATCATATACCGTCATACTTATGCTCGTTTCATGCTGGGCCGCCATGATTAATCACCCATACGGCGCCCCGTCGAGTTACTTGTTTGCTAATGTGGTGAGTTTTCATGTTGTTCGAGTAGAGTGTTCTCAGTCTTACGTTTCGGGAATTCTTTCAGAACGATAGTTATAGTCAAGTCTCTTATGTGTCGCCTCCCCCGGATCGCCTCTATAGCTTCATCCCGGTAGGCTGTCTCACGGTCTTGTTTAACCAATGTTGAAATTGCAAATTCGAAGAGGTTGTCAGTCGATTCCATGCCCTGGTACGGGGCAACTGAGTACTCAGGTACAACTTCAAACAGAGACTATGACCAACGAGATTCTTTGCCAATTCGATGGACACCTCGGGTATGTCTCTAGAGAACTTTATAGGACCTGTTTGGAATACTGTCTCCCCTAGGAACGTGCTTGTCGGTTTTTTAAAGGAGTGCAGTCGAAAGTGAGGAGTAGATGGCGACCGCTTCATTTACGATCCCTACTTTTACGCCCTTGTCACAATGACGTCCGTGATGACCCAGGTGAGTTTTATGCTAGGTATATTTGGCTCTATATCTCATTGGAGGCAGATATATATATCTAGTTATTTAACGATGTACTCGAACTTCTACACTCAACTGTACTAGTAAAACATATCTTTATTGTTTTGCCCTGCTATACATCGCCGCTCAGGGCTTTCTTCCTGTTTACCGGACGTCGGTCCCTTCGAAGTCCCATACTGTTCTAGGTATTTCCCAAACGACAAATGCTTCAGCTAGAGGTTTAGTCGATAGTCGTTGAACTATTTCTCACCGTTCTTGCAAGTTGTACATGCCATCCTAGAAAGAAAAAAAGGTGTAGGTGCAGACAGGCATGTCATTGTGATCGACAATGTTCATGTCGGCTAGCCTCGACTTAGCACATGCATACTTCTGAGTCAGACCTTGAGCTCTTCAAGTTGGACCTAGTAGTTACGTACAGGACATGCATAGGCTTGTATGACGTAATAATATTCTTTCGATTCTGATCTCCGTTCTTTCGTGCCTGCTCGTGCCAATGCCTACAACACTCATCGAAGACCTGCATGCCTCAGTCGAGGCTCATAATGATACCTTCGAGGCTTTACTAAACTTGATACCCGCCAAGTACTACCTGGCGAAAGATGATCATGATGCAGACAACGTGCGTTATTGAAAATTTCAGTCGTCTATTGATGAATCTGAATAGCATGATGCGCGTCGAACAGATTCCGTCCAAGTATCAAAAACACAGCAAAAACCAAAAGGCACCCAAACAAGCTGCGAAGGAGGCATCAAAAAAGGCTCGCAGGGATAAGGTCTTCTACTATCATCACTGCTTGATGTTCCCTTCTAAGTCTGAGTTCTTATTTTCCTAGCTGGACCCAGCCAATCAAAAGTCGGTCATTGACCTTCAGAATGAAGCTGCTCTTGAGCTGGAAAAAACCAACTCGAAAGTCAAGGGAAACGGAAAGCTGCGGTGATCGGGTCCGATTCTGATGCCGACGACGACGATATGCAAGTGGATGATGTGGATCTCAGCGATGCCGTTGTGACTGCCCCACTCGACTCCATAGTGCCCATGGCTACACCAGAGAGCATCGCTGCTCTCCGAGATAAACTGCATTTGCGCATGGCAGCTCTCCGACGTGGTGGACAAAGTGGCGGAGAAACCGGGAGACAAAGATGAGCTTTTGGAGGAACGGAGAAGGCAACGTGCCGCGCTTCGTGAAAAAAGACGAAAAGAGACAAGAGAGAGGCGCAAGGCAGAGGCTGAAGGCAAAAAGGGAAGCAAGAAGGAAGCGACGAAGGGTCTTCCTGTCAAGGTATTTTACATCTTGCAAGGTTCCAGCTTGAGTTCATCCCTTTGTGCTTGACCAACAGAATCAGCTACTTGTTCCGGACTTGCCGGTCGCTTCAAAAGGAACTGCGGCATCTCGTCTTAACGACGGACCCTTGACTAATGTATCTTTTTCTGTGGTGGCTGGGAGTTCGAGCAAAAAGGCCGCATCACTCAAGACGTCTTCCATCCCAATCAAGCTTTGTCGCAGCTCGCTGCGCGGAAGGAAAATTGGATTCGATGCCGGAGGACAAACGCAAAGCTATAGAAGATAAGAGTCGCTGGCAAAGCGGAGGGCGCGTCTTGAAGGCGTCAAGGTCAAGGATGATGAAGTGCGCCTCAAGAAAGCAGTAAAACGGAAAGAAAAGGAGAAAGCGAAGAGTAAGAGTCCTGGTAAGCCGTTAATGATACATCCAAGTTCTTATTGATACTCACCTCGTTGCAGGGAGGAGAGGAAAGGACCAACTCACAGCTTCCATGGCTGCAAAGCAGAAAAACGTTCAGATAACATCGCGATGCGAAACGAGCGACGGAGCGATAAACGAAAGTCTTCGTCGTCAAAGGGGAAAGCTAAAGCTCGACCTGGTTTTGAGGGCAAGACTTTCCATAAGGGTAAAGGGAAAGCTACG